TACATGCGACTGTCCAAAGAGCTGTTTTAGAATGGCCTTAGCTCTCTTATATCCTGCTTGTGGATCCATAATAATACAGCCTTCGATCGCATTTTTTGCTTTTCCCTTACAGTAGTGAATTAAATACAATAAACGCACTTGATCGTCTTTTATTCGAGGTTCTATAAACGTCTCGAATTGTCGCATGAACCTAAAATAGTCGCGAGACCTTCCATCAAAAAATGAGAGTTCAACCTTAGGTAGTTCTAAACCCTCGATCGATGTCTTTCGTATCTGATCGGTCTCTGGTACTTTAGAACTCTCACTTAATCCTTGTTCCTTAATGCCTGCCAACGGTGACTTACAATAATAAATATCAGACATAACATGTGGGTGACCCATAAAAAAGTCATCATTAACGACTTGCCTAGAGCCCTGTGATCCGTCGAGCTCTTCCACCCTCCTCATGTGTGATTTTTTTCTGTTTGACATCATAAATGAAGTTCAAAATGAAAGGTAACAAATACAAAATATAGTAATTCCACAGTTCAGCTTCGGAATATGATAAATAATCCAAACTTCTTCCTCCAAGAGAGTCTAGTGTGATAAACGATTAAAATTCCAAATGTTTCTTTATAATTGTTAATAATCCAACTGTAATCGTAATAGATAATTCCAGGATAGAAATATATCCAGACTGTAAATGAATTTCTACAGTGGCCGTCCCAATTGGTTCCAATAGAGGCACTCCTGTACACTTTCCCCAGTTCCGGGTCCCAACCAATTCAAAAAGGACAAAATTCTAGGAGAAAACGTCTCTGTATTAGTTAAAAAATGGAAATACAAAGCATTACGGATATAGTGCTTCTTCCAGGGTAAGGTTACTCCGCAGAGTATCAGACACAATAACAATAAGTGACGCTAAGTCCAGCGGCCACTGCGTCCGTCCAAAAATGTGGCGGTAGCCATATTATATCAAATTTAAACAACATATGTACAGTTCAGAAGCAAACACAAAAACTTCAATATAAGTACAAAATATAGAAAGAATAACAATATACAATGATAAAATCTCAAATTGGAATCAAATAAAATACCAAAAATGTCAACAGAAAAAGTCCGTCATGTCATAGCAAAAATATGTAAACATGGAGGGATTTTCCAAAAAGCAAAACATTCAAGAAGGATTCTACAGACTGTAGAGTTATATCTTGAGAAACTTATCCTTTCTGATATTTCTATAGTTAATGAGGGCCATTCACGCACACATTGTCACCTATCTGTCATAAAGTTCATAGCTATCTTCATAATTTATACCTTAGCTGTTTCTATTGACATACCAGCTGAATGGTCGGCTAACCGCTTACTCAACACTAGCTAAACATTATCAGAAACATCATAACTGGCCACTGGCCTAAAGTACAAAACTGTCCAACCACTGTTCGTCCGCAGTCGAAGAATAGTAAGGCAGCTGATATACTCACTTAACTGGGTCAGTGGTAAATTCAATAAAGAATACCCTCAGTTTGTAACAAAACATAAGCGTGAATAAACACTGTACTATGGCGCAAGCTATTGCAGAGACCAGAGGCCCCGAAATAGAATGCTACTTTTATTCGACAAGTTTCCGGCTCAGAATCATCAACAGAGTAGGTTTTAAATTTAAAAGTCAATCAGGAACTTGTGTTGATGTTAGATACCAAAATCACTTGTCTTTGAAGGTATTAAAATTCTAGTTTAAGTGGTAAACTTTTGTCGATATGTAACATTAGTTCTCATTGTTTGCAACTTCGTGGTCGCTAACACTTTATAGCCATTGGGATTGAAATTGTAGTTAGTATTGAGATAACCACTATATGTGGATTTTAGTACACACTAGAAACCGTGTAATTATACGCTTGTCAGTGACATTTAACAGACAACCTTAACCTTCATCCCCAATAAATGTTATTGTCATGATTTTTCAATAGCCTTATCGTTTTTTTTAAAACTTATTTTACGAAGTCGTATGACAGAAACCAAAGTGTAGCTCCAATTATGATTATGCCTACTAGTTTCTGGGTTTGTTTAAAAAAAATGGGAAGAGACTGTTTGTTATGGGATTTATTTCACGAATGTTTCAATAGTTAGGTTGAAACCTAAGATTATTTATGCTTATAGAATAATAGATCTAATCTAATAATATTGACTTGCTATAGTATGATGGCCTAATCTTCTCATTCTTACATCAAGTTACATCATTCTCCACCCAGACGTGGAGATTAAGCGTACCACTCTGTAGGATAAATAAGGTCCCACAAACGGAATAATACATTCAGTATATTGATAGGTGATACATTTACGGTAATCGAGCCTGCATGGTCGAGCCATGAATATTCCACTATGCTCCCGGCACTAACTTTTTTGGCAACCACTGTTCCGACCGAATGCTTAAGTTTTAGTGTCGCCAGTTACTTCAAAAGCGTCTTTACTTCATGGTTCGGTGTTCTTACATTTTCACCATACAAATTAGAATTCTATCCTAGCGGATTTGCTTACAACACTATAGAAATAAATTAATTTATTCAACTGGATGAATTCTCCGTGTAAAGCTGCCCGTTTCCTTCACTTATATATACAATTTGAAATTTGAATCAAAATGTTTGTGTGGGGTCCATATCCAATATAGCTCATATGAGCAATCCCAGATTAAAAAACAGAAAATTTAATTACTACTTGGAGCACTCATTATAGGATTGTGGAGGGTTACGGGTTACTTTTAAATCATGAATAGATCAATATTAGTCCACCATTAGAAACCTTTAAGCACCGGACCACCATTTCGGCCTATTTATTGAACTGACTTGCGGTATCGTTCCTCGACTTTTGATCTGCAAGCTGTCGAAACTAAAAAAATGCATTTTATGAGCATTGACGAATCAGATGGCTAAAACTGAACCTAGGCTGAGACTAAATACAAACTTTAGCATTAGAACTGATGGAATCGCTTCCCAGGTTCAAATCAAAAGCGAAAGAGAAACAAAAGTAATCTCCACCCCAGTTATTGTCACAATACGTGAGAAGTAACATCTGTATTTATAGTTTTCCGTGCAGAGCGGAAACATCATTAAATAATCTAGTTACAATAGCGCTGTTACACGATTATCTAATCACCCTACCGCACGTCACTGTTCCAGGAATTTTATCGAGCGATAGTTGAATAAAAACTCTGGTTTCTTGGGAACATTAGTAGGCTTTGTCGCGCTTTCTATGAGCCAATCCATCGCTAAAAAATTGCTAGTAAGTGATAGCCCTCACAAGTACAACCAAACCCGAACAAGGTTAGTACAGCAAGTTGGTGTGACACTTGACTAATACGATAAACAACTCATTTATGCCTAAATACTTTTCTGATAATATTACTTAAAATAAGAAACCGAATCCTGCAGTTTAACCACATCGGTCTATGAATGTAGCATAACAAGAAAGCATTAACCCAGCTAATGAATATTCTCATTTATCGGAATGGAGTGTTCATGGGGATTGTTGTTACTATTGAGATCACAATCAAAAATTAGCGCAATAGTGTACTGAAATAATATCAGTCTCAGTAAGTCTACAATTTCAACAAGACACAAACAAGAACTCACATTTGAAGTTAGCCGTATACAAATGTATTGTATTGTTATAACATTTAAATGCAGCCTCATTATTTAGTTATACGTTAAATATATTTGTTATTTAGCACGCTTAGTTAGACTGTCACAAAGTTCCTTATGCATAGCGAATCGAATAATATACTAGGTCGCAGGATAAAAAATGTTAATCCCGTTACTCTAAGAATCAGATAAAAGATTATTCTAAGGGAAGAAGTATATTTAATGCTAGCCTCGTGATATCGAAGTAATATCGGGGCCAGAGGGCGCACAAACGGCTAATGTCCAGGTAGGAGAAGCTCGTAGAAGAAGATAATGGGAATAACACGCTTGCCTCGTGAGAGATAGTCTTTAGTACAGATAAACAAGAGGTGTACAATACAACAATTAAGTACAATAATAAATGTTTATATTTCAGCAATTGCGTTTTCTTCGTAAAAGTATACCACTACATACTGACGAGTTATTTTGAATGATAAATCCTAGAGTTTTAGTTAGCTGTGATCAGTAAAGTTCAGCTGTTTCAACTTTACGCTCTCTACTCTCTTAAGATGAGAGGATAAAGTTGCGCACTATCAAGATTTAGTAGAATTTAGAAATGCAAGTCAATAAACTTCAATTCAATAGTTTAGAGGTGGTTAAGGGCTATCCATGAGAACTAAAGGTCCTGGTTTCGGTACCTGACAGAGATAGGGGTTGTCATCGCTATAAATTCACACAGTAGAACAAAAAACGATCTATTTTTTCCTGATTTCTAAATAGCTGTCCACTTGAAGTTGATTCGTGATCTTTAACTATTCTTCAATATCGTTGATATAACTAACTAAAAAGAATCAAAATCTATAATAATAACAAAAGGTATATAAAACTAATCATTACAACTGTTATAATTATTAATTTTAAAAAAAAATGTTAATTAGTAGTCGATTTCTGAAAAAAATAACATAAAATTAGAAAAAAAACACTAACTTACACCATTATTTTATTGAATTTATTTAAAAGAATACGAATAGAGATTAGGACTGTCGAAAGTATTATAATTAATTGAACACTGATCAAATATGAAATTGATCAGATAATGAATGTTAACAAAATGAATATTATTATTACACTAGATATGAATTACATACATTTCTAATTTAAATGTTAGTTGATAGATAGACATTACAAATTAGACATACAGTACAAAATAAACAGACATATCACATTGTAAGAAATTTTTTCAATAAATAAAGTAAGTGTAAATTTTTATTTACATTAATTAGCGCGCGCTATAGACGCCAAAATAAAACAAAACAAAACTTCATCTTGTTCATTTAAAAGAGTAATCATAGTTAGTGTTAACTTGAGAAATTAATTTACTTCACTCAGAACTACTTTATTAAAATGTCAATTCGTGAATATCGTACAAAGAAAAACAATTGTATTAATGTTTTATTTACTTCAAATGAAAATAATACTCATCATAAATTATCATCAAATGATTCATTGAAACCGAAACACAATGAACGTGATCAATGGAAAGGAAAAATTGATTTTCTTATATCATGTATGGGTTTTTCAATTGGTTTAGGTAATGTATGGAGATTTCCATATTTATGTTATAAAAATGGCGGCGGTAAGTCAGTTTTGTTTGTTCAATTATCAATCTTGAAATAGATATTTACATATGAACTATTGTTTTTTTGTGTGTATTGACATAGAATAATGGTATTAAGTAATTTAGGCTGATTCATTGATATATCAACTGTAATTAGAGTTTAATTTAAACAGGTATACTACAGTATGCTTTAGTAAAAGTATAAAAAATGCGTAAAAATTTGTTTATCTCTTCTATTGTTCAATATTTAATATTAAGATTCATTTAAAAGTTGTCCAGTGTAAATTCAATAATAAACTTTAGTAATTATTAAAACATTATCAGACAATAAGATTTATTTTTGACATAAATAGGCATTCTGAACTCCTTTATGTTCAAATTGTTATGCCCAGATTTGATAGGTGCACGTTAAGACACATTGAAAGCTGATACTGGATTCAGGGGCGGTTTAATTTTTCACATTATACAATGATATATCCTGGGACAGCCGAGTAAGCAATGCTATAGTTAGGAAACGAATACTAGGTAGGGATGGCAGGACAATATATGAAATAGTAAAACTTCATCAGTTGACGTGGTTGGGACATGTGCTGCGTATACCTAACCACCGACTGTCACGACGAGCAATGTTTTGCACTGTAGGAGTACATTGGAAGAAAGCTAGGGGCGGCCATACCAAAACATGACAGAAATCCATGAAGTCACTGACAAATGGATTGAGTCATGTTTTAGAAGTGGGCTACCTGATTGGAGTCCGCGAGACAAAAGTCACCGATGGTTAGAGACCTTGAACGACATGGCTAAAAATCGTTTCCAATGGCGCAGGTGCATTCATTCATTGCGTTCTCTCGAATCCTAATCTTCTGGATTCGTCAACATCTCTTCCTTTCTCTTTCTAGAGTTATCTCACTGAATTATACTTCTGGAATCACATCTTCGAACCATACTATTCTCTGTTACTGCTAATACTTCTACTATCTCTACCACTATTGAATTTGAACTGAAAGTTGCGTCTCTGCACTGATGTGGTATTGCAACCTGAACTGATGTACTAACTCAAAAAGTTCTTCGTTGTAACTGACTGACTGACTCAGAATACAACAATCATGATGAAGAGTGTTTATTCCTTAAGTACTTTTAAAATATATATATGAAACCTAATGACTAGGTATTCTTATTAAGATGTTTTTAAAATTTGTTAGGCTATTTTTTTGTAGGCGGTATAAATTAGATAGTTAAAGTTAACACATTTAATCTATTTATACGTTGTGAATATACATTTTGGAGATGAGACAAACAGAATTCGAGGAAATATTTTAGAATTTTAGTGAATAAATTTTTCACAAAATGCACAATTGAAATACTTTTGTATGATGATCGGGACATTTGAAATTGTTAAATAAATTCATTCTGTTTTTATTGTTCGTGTGTAGTAAAGAATTTACACACATGAATTCCTCATATAGATATGGTGGGGATGATAAAACTTCTCACAGAACTTCACTTCGAAGACTAATCAGCTAACTTATTCATAGGGACTTTGTAGGCGATGATGAATTTGTATTAAACTATTTACTTACTTTACTTACGAACACCTGTTACCCCCTCTAGGGCATAGGCCACCGAACACTATTCTCCAGTCTACTCACTCCTCCGCCTTCCTTTCTGGTTCTGTCCAATGACTGTTCATCGTTCTCATGTCTGCTTCCATTTCTTAGAGTAATAATGTGTTTCATGGCTTCAGAAGCTGGTATAAAACTATTTTTAGGTATGAAAAAAGAAAATCCACAAACAATCTACTTAATGGAATAAAGTCAAACTCGGAATTAGTGATGTGATGTTACGATGCTTCAATCATATTCAGTTCCTTAGATTGATTGTAAACTTTGAGTAAAAAAAAATCAAACTTTTCAATACCACTAAAATACTTCTGGATGTTTTTGTTATTTCTATTGGAAAATACTTTTGATTGATTACAGAATCTTTTGATAATTGACTGAACAGTAAGAGTCCGCTTGGAGCCCTTCTGGGTTTACTGCCGGTCCTAAGCCTCCAGACAAAGGAGGATGGTTGGGCATGGGGTTAGCGACTCCATCTTGTAGAAAACCAACAAGCTAAGCCCGAAAAAATGATTCAAACCATTTAAACTCTCTGAAAAATTAAATTCAGAATCAAACAGGTCATTTTAAGAATCACATAAGTTCCTTGCTACACTTTACTCTTATAAGTGATAATCTGACTTGATTCCTATAACGTATTTTAAACTAACTGGATTACATGATTAGTAGAAATGGATATGGGCTGGTAATGAAGTCCTATTTTGAGACTCATTAACTGAATGTATCTGTATTTCAAAGTTAGTGTTCTATTCTGAGATTCCAGATAATCTCTTCAATAGCCAGATCATGTTATTCGTTTGACTAATGAGTTCAGACAACCACTAGCTTGAGAGATCAGGTGAGTCAGTCAGTCAGTTGCAACGTAGAACTACGTACGTATGTTCATAAGTTCATGTTGCCATACCACATTTGCACAAAGACGCAGAGGTCAAATCAAATCCCATAGTGATAAAGATAGTAGAGGTATTAATGGTAATGAAGAAGAATAGAGTTCGAAGATATTATTCAAGAAGCATAATTCAGTGAGATAAGGTTAGAAGGACAAAGGTAGAGGTGTTGACGATTCCAGAAGATTAGGATTTGAAAGAGCTCAACGAATGGATGCACTTGCACCATTGCAATTGATTCTCAGCCATGTCATTCAAGGTCTCTAAACATTGGTGACTTTCGTCTCGCGGACCCCAACCAGGTAGTTTACATATACCAACATGACTCAGTCCACTTGTCAATGACTTCATGGATTTCTGCTATGTTTTTGTTTAGCCGCCCCTAGCTTTCTTCCAACCTACTCCTACACCACCAAACATAACTCGTCGAGGCAGTCGGTGGTTAGCCATACATAACACATGTTCCAACCACCTCAACTTATGAAGATTAATTCATTCATATTGATGATATGAATCATTCTACTAATGTTTTGAATGGAATCATTGGTTGTCTTAAACAACAACGTAAAACTTTCAAACGACCAGTATACATGAATTGTAATTTCAATCAGTTTTCATTACCTTTTTCCATAACAAACAGACTATGAACAAAATCAACTTTACAATCAAATGAATAATATCACATAGTGTTGCACTTTTTCAAACAAAGTAAAAATAAAAAAACCAGACATTCTTTTTTCATATTGAACTTAGTCATAAATGTCGAACCATTCTAATTGCAGAAATTCTTGTGTAAAATATACAAACAGGTAGATAGATAGATAGATAGATAGATAGATTTGTGGATAGATAGATAGATAGATAGAAGTGTGGATAGATAGATAGACTGACAGAAACTTAATTTTTTCGTATACAAAAATGTAATAGTTCACACGGTATTCTCATAAGACATGAGTTTAATTAATTTTGAGTTGTACAGTTCCATTCATTATCTAGAAATGTCTGAATAATTTAAAGTATGCAGAAACTGAAAATTCTTTTCTGTTGAATGATTCTTCTCATTAATGAACATTTCATTAAAATTCTTTTTTCATTACAAAATAATTGAATTGGCTGTTTCGTTTTTTTTAATAAAATGAAAATTGAAACAATGAAATTCGATTATCAATTTTGGACCGTAATTGGAAACCTGAAAGCATGAATAAGATGGGTGTCTCGTTCTAGTATGGGACTGACTCATCAGTAGTAAGCATCCACGACCTCGCAAGAACAATACAAGTCCAAGAGATTTGGTATCGCATGTGAACGCCTTAACTCTTGATCGCTAACTGGCATCTATCGGCGTTAATAATATCATTAAGCATCTGAGTATGAGACTTACGTTTTTCTGTTCAATTATCGCCCTTGAGGTAGGGGATGTTCACTACTGACAAGTCCCTATACTAGGACGAAATATCCATTGAATATTTCCAGGTTTCCAGCTATGGTCTAACTTTGATTATTTTACTATTTCCACAAATTTTCAGGTGACATATTTATATTTTTTTCGAAAAAATTAAATAATCCAAAACATTTTATGTCTGCTGTTACGAAAGTACAACTAACAAGACGTATCGATCTGTCTCATTCTATGAATAAATCTTACTTAGAATGTGAAAAAAGAAATTCCAGACATTGATATGTAGTTAGTTACCTTCTATGATAGTCGATAATAATTGTCCACTGACATGCAGCTAATTAGTGACGCCAATCATTGTGAAATTGTTTGCCACAGATGACGTCAAAATTTACATATAAAACTTATTGAACATGGCTGTCTAGTTCAAGACCGAAAACGTTTTGAAGATTGCTTACAATCATCGACATTTATACAAATGATAGTTGTGTTGAATAGTGGGTTTTGTAGAGATTATTGTGACTTTTAATTGGAGTTCATCATGAAATAACCTGACTAGATCATTGATGTACACCGCTAACCCATGTAACACTTAAGAAGTAATAGCTATCTAGTGTTATTTGATTTTCAAGTTAGACCGAAATTAAGGTCAGTTTTCAGTTAGAGATTTGGAGATTTGTGTTATTTTTACACATTTGAAACCATCAATCAATCAGATTGTCAGACCACCATTAGAAACTTGGAAGCACTGTACGGCCGTTTCGTCCTGGTATGGGACTCATCAACATTGCGCATCGATGACTCCCGCTACTTGCAGGATTCGAGCCCGGGACCTTTGTGCAGGTATCCAATGGTATTCATGTCTAACTCTTATCAATCTAGGGACCTTTTTGCAACCCCACTACTGATGAGTCCCATACCAGGACGAAATGGCCTTCCAGTACTTTCAGGTTTCTAATAGCCAACCAGCGAATCGTTTTTTATGATTGGCGTTTTAATTTGGTGAGTTGGATTTCTACGGGAAAGGGTCGCTAAGTCCAAATGGGCAAACCTCCTCCTTCATCCATGCTTGAGACTGTCATTAACCCTAGAACGGCTCTAGGCGGAATTCTTAAAAACCTTCACATCGCTTAATTAAGCCCAAATAATCCAAATTACTTCGATAAAAATGAATGTTACAGAAAAGATAAATTATTGTAATTGTAAACTTATCCATTGTTCAATCAACATTCAATTCCCATGAGCAGAGGTTGTGGGTTCGCACGGTTGATGATTCCTATATACTAGGACGAAACTGCCATTCAATGCTTCAAGATTCATTGTTTCAATGAAACTTAACTCAACTACATAAATCTTTGGTAGAAAAATATTATCGTATTCTGTTTTTCCCTTTGATATTTATTTAGGTGCTTTCCTCATCCCGTATTTCGTCAGTGTATTCTTAGCTGGCATACCATTATTTTTATTAGAAGTAACTGTTGGACAATTAACACGTCGTGGAGTGATTGCTGCATGGAATATATGCCCACTTTTTCAAGGTAAATTAAAAATGATTTCAGTAGTGAAAGAAACATTGATTTTCTAAAGGATTCAGGCAAATATATAATTCAGCTAAAGATGTTTAGTCTTATTTTTTATTCTAGCGTTACTAAGTTGTTTTTGCGAAAAAGTGAATCATTTAGTTTGCTGAAAGGAATTTCGATCACTTTACTTCTTGCATGTAATACAGGTAGGTCCATTAAAAGTGGGCAGATAAGAAATGTCCTGAAGGGGGAATACGTTTCATTGGTCAGCAGATGAATCCGCTTACTAAGGGAATGAAATATTTGTGGTGGTGTTTAGTTCTTTGAGCTGGTGTTGTTTTGGTTGTGGAGCTTTCATTAATGTTCTTCTGAACGACAGCATCGTCGGCAGCACAAACTTCAGTTAGCAGAAGTGAAGCATTTGAAGCGAAGACACACTGCAGCACACATTAGGCACTAAAAAACGAGGAAAAACACCTTGTGACTATTATCCAAAAAGACGGCTATCCACGCAACTTCATCAAAATACATCAACCGAAATCATCAACAGAAGCCAAATCAAGCACAGGAACCAATAAACGCATCATCCTACCATACATAAAAGACATATCGGAGCATACAGCAAGACTACTGAAACTATTTGGAATAGGTGTGGCACACAAACCAACAGAATCACTTCAATCAATCCTATGTAGACCAAAGGACAAATTGACAAAAGAAGAAAAACCAAATATCATCTACAAAATAAACAACTGCTCAGATTGTGAAAAATACTACATAGGACAAAGTCGACGGCCTCTTCAACTTCGTTTAGGTGAACACTAATTAGCAGTCAAACACCACGACAACACTTTCCTTATATCAATAAATATACGGGCAATTATGGACACATACTTGATTGGAACAATGTGGAAATACTGTATAGGGGGAGGACAAAGAGCACTAGAGAACTGATAGAAACTTGGCACTCAAATCAATCAGCAGTCGACAAACACATTGACATTGACCCAATTTATCAACAAATCGGAAAAATCACAGACAAACATAGGATCAAGAAACAGATCGAAATTGGAATACAATCAAAACAAAGGTGCGAACAACAACAGGTTTAAGGTCAACAGCAACCAATCAAGATCGAGGTTAGCAAAACAAGCTACAGGTCAAACTCGGAGAAATTCGAATGCTTCACTTCTCTATCTGAAGTTTGTGCTGATGATGTTGTTGTTCAGAAGAAGAACAATGAAAGCTCTACAACCAAAACAACACCAGCTCAGAGAACTAAACACCACCACCACCACAATCATCCACCTGAGCTATGCATTTTCTCCACCATCTCAATGAAATATTTGTATCAACAAAGACAGACAAGTATTTGTACTTCTTGTGTGTGAGTCAAATGCACACTGTCTTCCACTATTGCCTTCTCGTTCAAGTAGTCAATTTTGGTAGTTAGTAAGTATCATCTTCAGATCGTGGACACCATACATTATAACAACAAATTCGTTGCGTTATTACAAATTCTGTTCTCCTACAAACAAAACTTTAAAAATATAATTTCAGTTTAAAAGTATTGTAGAGATATACTTCAATCTAGTAAAAACTTATCAGACAGACAGACAGATAGATACAACACAGAAATTCTTACGTACGTACATCAGTTCAGGTTGCCATGCCCCATCAGCATAGAGACGCAACTGTCAGTTCAAATCCAAGAGTGATAGCAATAATAGAAGTATTACCAGTAATGGAGAAGATTAGGGAGCAAAGATATGATTCGAGAAGTATAATTCAGTAAGATAAATTTAGAAGGAGAAAGGTAGAGATTATGAGGAATGCCGAAGCTTAGAATTTCATAGAACACAAACAGTGGATGCACCTACGCCACTGCGAACGATTCTGAGCCATGTCATTCAAGGTCTCTAACCATCGGTGACTATCGTCTCGCGGACCCCAACCAGGTAGCCTAAATCTACCAACATGACTCAGTCCACTTGTCAGTATTGTTTGATTCAATAAACTATTCACTTTTGTACAAATTCCTATTCTTTTCATAGCTTTTTAAAGCTAATGTGATTCACAGTTGCGTTCAATGAATTTTATTGTTCAATAAAATTTATTCCTTTGACATTTAACATTGCTTTTGTGTTCATTCATAGTTTGTTTAACTAATTCCAAATAAAAATATCAACAGTTTATTATTTATTCAGAGAATTAAAATTTATGCCAATAAGTCTTCCCAAGTATTTATGTATGTTTCTATTCATAATTTCGAAGTATTCAGCCGGTAAATATCAAACTAGAAAGATATATTACTTATATGAGTAGTAATCTTGTGAATTACAAAATACTAATGGAATTTCATTGCAGTAATTTATTATTACTTTACATAAGACAAGATTTGATTTATTGTACATTTCTGATCCCATGAACATTTTGATTCAATTGATTTTTGTAATCTGTATGATGACATTTATGTAAACTTCCCGAAAAAAGTTGAATCAAATTAACACCATAGAATGAATGAATAGATAGCACATACAACTGAAGCGAAAATATCATACCGTAATCTATTGTGTTCAGTGAGATGTATAACATGTTGGTCAGAAATCAGTTGTTGCTTAATCAATGGTATGCTGTTACATTTCAAATTGAATTACGCGCTGTTCATCTGTGTTCAAAAAAACAAAAATAACTTCACATCACTCACCATTTAAAATTGAACATTGATTTTCATTGCGCATTTCAAACATTTATGTTATGTTAGGGTAAACATTTGTCAAGAAACACAATTCATTAAAACTTAAAAATTTAAGAGCTATAAACTGATCATTGAGTTTATATTTTGAATTGTTTCTGTTAAGCAACCAATCATCTTATATTTGATAGCAAAGTAGTCAGAAAATGATTATTCCTTTGAATAAAAATGTAAATCTTTTGATGTTCTTTTTCTTTCTATCCGAAAACAATAAACACATGAAATTGCATAGTCTACCAATCAAGTAAGAATTGGTTCACAAATGAAAACTCAATCAAGTGTATTACACTGTTCTATAAAGGGGTAGAAATAGAGTGCTTTTGTGTAGCAGTGATTGTATAACAATATAGAAAGAAATAAGACAATAGAATATAGCATTGTGGGGTTGTGAAGATTGTTAAAAAACACATTTTTGAAACCGTGAATCGATCAATGTTAGACCACCATTAGAAACCTGGAAGTACTGGACGGCCGTTTCGTCCTGGTATGTGTAATTTAACAATCTTCACAACCCTGTAATGCAAATTACCTGTGCTCACTAGTGACTAGCTTCATGAAGAATCTTCTCCGAGTTCTAGTGGGAAGACGTGACCAGTGAAGTTGAACCTGTTCGGGTGTGGACAGTAACTACCGAAGACTGTACATGAGGTTGCGCAACTCCGTGAATTGATCAAGTTAGACATTAATAGCGTTGAATGCCGGCTCGGTGGTCCGATGGTAAGGCGTTCGCCTACAGTACCGAAGGTCCTGGGTTCGAATACTGTGGGGTGCAGGAGTCGTGGATGGGCACTGCTAAGGAGTCCAATACCAGGACGAAAAGGCCGTCTGTCAGTGCTTCCAGGTTTCTAATGGTGGTCTAACATTGATCGATTCATGGTTTCAAGAATGTGTAATAGAATATAAACTCAAAAAATTTGGAAAAACTGAACAACTTTTATTTTGGTTGTGCAGCGTTCATTGTTTTTCTTCTGCACAACATTTGTTACGCTTGTCTCTAGGTATGCTTGAAAACTATTACGAGTTCACCTAAGTAGAATAACGAGAACGAAACAATGAACCAGTGTCCAGGTAGGCTACTGTGATCCCTTGACCAAAAGGAATCAGCAAGAAGTCTTGATATAGTGTAGAAATTGTATTCTACAAACACCCAGCCAGCACACAATGAATCCAAGCATTCAAATTGCGCTTTTATTTGCACTCTAGAGAGACGTCCTTGGGACAGTCAAAAAATAGCACACTAAAATGACACAGTGAAGAATCCCAGCCAAGGATTTTCCTGGTGGGAAATATGATCTCAAGGTCAACTGATCGGTCCATGATATAAATCTGGGGATCTAACATCCCCAACACATTACTGTCAGCACAAACTTCAGGTGTGGAAGAAGTGAAGTATTCGAACTTCTCCACGTACGACTCGTAAATTGTTTTGTTAACCTCTATCTTGATTAGCTGTTAATTACCTTAAATCCTCTCGTTGTTTGCACTTGTATTTTGAGTGTATACTCCTTTGCTCTGCTTCTTGATCCTATATTTGCCTATGATTTTTCTGATTTGTCGACAAACTGAGTCAATGTCGATGCGCTTGTTGATTGCTGATTGACCTGAGTTCCAAGTTTATGAAAATTCCCTAATGTCCTTTGTTCTCTCCCTATCCAGTATCTCAACATTGTTCCAATAAAAACAATACATAAATTCAATCTATTTCTTCATTACCAAAATACACGTATCTTTCCAGATTTCTAATTACACTTGTAACCTAATTCAATTAAATCTTGCCTATGAAATATCAATTACTGATGAACTGTGTGTTGTAATCAGATTAGTTTCAAAACCAGATTGATTTGGGCGGATTGGACGGCCGTTTTGTCCACTGTATGACTCATCAACTCCACAACCCTATGATGACGAAATTTTCGGAGTTCTACCAAGAAGGAGTAACAAGTGGAATTCAGTCGTGTGGAAGGTAAGTCAATCACCCACGGAAGACAGTATAGGAAGTTATGAAAAACCGTGGACTAATCGAAGTTAGGTATAATCATCGTTGGATGCCGGCTCAGTGGTCTAGAGGTTATAGCGAGACCGAAAGTCCTGCTTCCGACTCCCGCTTGCAAAGACATAGATTACTTACTTACTTAGTTACGCCTGTTACCTCCAATGGAGCATAGTCCACCCACTAGTTTTCTCCAAACAACTCTGTCCTGGGCTTCACTTTCCAATTCTGTCCAATGTTCGTTCATTCTTCTCATATCTTTCTCTATTTCTCGACGTAATGTGTTCCTTGGCCTTCCTCTTTTCTTTTCGCCTTTAGGGTTCCAAGTGAAGGCTTGTCTTGAATAATTCAAAGTCACATATTAGGACAAAGCAACCATCCAGTGCCTTTATAGGTTTCTAATGGTGATCTAACATTGATAGATTCATGATTTCAACCTCCAAAACCCTGTATAAAGATTAGCAATCGTTTAAACGTGTATGATGAGCGTCTTATGAATGAATGATGACATGCATCACATAGAAATTAAAATAACTCAATCTTATTCAATCACTTGTCTTTATACAATGATAAATCAATAATTAGTAATGAATTTCATTTGATTTCTTCATTTTGTTTACTTTTTTGGTAGGTATCGGATATGCATGTACATTGATTAATTTCTTTCTCAATTGCTACTACACTGTCATATTGGCATGGGCATTTCATTTTATATTCTCATCATTTACAAGTGAATTACCATGGACTAAATGTAATCAATCATGGAATACACCAGCATGTCGTGTTTTCACTAATCAACCAATCACAATCAATTCTAATCATCTAAATGAAACCAGTATGCAGATTAATAATAATAATAATCAAAGCTTACTGACAGTAGATGCAACTACAGAATATTGGGAGTAAGTAAAATGAGAATATGATTCCTTTAAAATTGTTCATTTCTAAATCATACTACTGAATTTGATAAGTAGTTAAAAACTAGTTGTGCTAACTTGTTATCGCTTTTGGTGATTTCAGGTCGTAATTATTCCACATTAACACAGTGAATCTCATCGAAACACAAATATAAGCTAACTACAATTCATTTTGACTTAGACTGTCATCAGGTTGTACTCTCAAATATAGACAGCTAAGAAACTGACTTCTGAAGTAGGTTGTCTCGTAACGCAGTTAGGTGCTTTCCGCAATGTGTGGCCTATACACTTCCAACGCTTCTTCCTGATTTCCTCCTCCACTGCAATCCGGTTTGTTCTCTCCCACAGTAGGTTGCTGCTGATCGTGTCTGGCCAACGGATCCGAAGTATTTTGCGTAGACAATTGTTCATAAATACTTGTAACTACTGGATGATGGCTTTCGTAGTTCTCCAAGTTTCCGCTCCACACAGTAGAACTGTCTTCACATTTGCATTGAAAATCCTGATTTTGGTGTTGGTTGAAAGTTGTTTGGAGTTCCAGGTATTTTCCAACTGTAGAAATGCAGCCAATGCTTTGTCAATCCGTGCCCTCACATCTGCATCCGATCCACCTTTCTCGTCGATGATGCTGCTCAGATATGTAAAGGTATTAACATCCTCCAAGGCATCTCCATCAAGCGTGATTTGGTTGGTGCATGTTGTGTTGCATCGGAGAATTTCGCTTTTTCCTTTATGTATGTTGAGACCTACTGCTGCAGAGGCTGATGCTACACTGGTTGTCTTCTCTTGCATTTGTTGTTGCGTGTGTAATAGAAGAGCGAAATATGACGCTTTACTATCTAACAGTAGTATAGTTTCAAAAATAAATTCCTTCAGTTATACAATAAACTATTTAGTCACACTAATCCAGTTGTTTAACACCTTTTGTAATATCTATAAAAATTATTTCATAATCATTCTCATCAAATTAGCAAGTTACTAGTCATTAATGATCAAGTTTCTTAACGATGATTAAAACAAATTTTGTTGAAGAGAACACTTTCAACACATTGAAATTATGAATGAAACCCAAAAGACAGCCGTCTTGTCCTGGACATGTGACTCATTGAATCCTATGAATAGCAGGAGTTGAGGATGCTCACTGATGATAAGTCTTATACCAGGAAGAAATGGCCGTCTCTCAGTGCTCCCAGGTTTCTGATGATGGTCTGAAAATGATTAATTCATGATTTCAACTTGTAAAAGCAACGATTTTCATAATACTATGAAGAAAAACGAGAAACATGCTCACTAGTGACTAGCTTCGTGAGGAAATTCTCGGAGTTCTAGTTGAGAAGACGTGATCAGTGGTGTTCAAACCTGTTGAATATTGGCAATAACTACGGAAGACAAATGGGTGATGTCACGCAAAACCCGTAGATTGATGAAAGTTAGACATCAACAGCACAGGTAGCCAGCTCAGTGGTTCAAAGGTTAGGTGCTCGAGCTCCAGACTGAAGGTCCCAGGTCATGGATGCGCACTGTCAAGTTTCAATATGATATTTTCATGTCTATATATGAGTAAAATTTTAAATTGAATCCTCCAACTGACTTATCTTAAATTAGTATATTTTAAATGTGTTTATTTTTAACAGACATCGTGTATTACGTATTTCGGACGGGATACATAATATTGGAACAATACAATGGGATTTAGCTTTGTGTCTTCTATTAACTTGGGTTGTTATCTATTTATGCATTTGGAAAGGGATTAAAACATCAGCAAAAGTAAGTAATGTATAATGTTGCATTTTACTGTTCAGCATGTTCATTTTTGTTTTGTAACTCTTCTGAAAACAAGGTTGACCAATAACTTTTCACATTCTCAGATGAACGACTATCATTGTTAGAATATTCGAATACACACTGGAATCTGGTTTGTTCTCTCACACAGTAGGTTGTTGCTGATGGTGTCTGACCAACTGATCCGAAGTATTTTACTGTTAATCAACACTTGTATCTTCTAGATCATAGCTTTTGTAGTTCTCCAAGTTTCCGCTACATACGGTAGAACTTTCTTGACATATGTACTGAAAATTGTGACTTTAGTGTTGGTTGATAGTTGTTTTAAGTTCCAGATGTTTTTCAGTTGTAGGAATGCTGCCCTTGCTTTGCCAGTCCGTGCCTTTGTATCTGCATCAGATACGTCGCGCTCATCAATGCTGCTTCCCAGACATGTAAAGTTTCCTACATCTTACAAAGCTTCACTGTCAAGTGCGATTTGGTTGGTGCATGTTGGGTTGCATCGGAGAAGTTTGCTTTTTCCTTTATGTATGTTGAGACCTACTGCTGCAGAGGCTGTTGCTACACTGGTAATCTTCTCCTGCTTTTGTTGTTGCGTATGCAATAGAAAAGCCAGATCATCTGAGAAGTCCAGATCGTCCAGCTATATACTGGTTGTCCATTGTATCCCATGCTTCCCTCCAGATGTTGACACCTTCATAATCCAGCCGATCACCAGAAGAAAGAGAAAGGTTGAGAGTAAGCTACCTTGCCAGGAATCGGTCCGCACCTCGAAACGAGTCTGTCATCTGTCCATCATGCACGAATTTACAGTTCAATCGATTTTTAAGAGTCCCATATTATGTTGACTATCTTCTCAGGCACACCATAGTGTTGAAGAAGCTTCCATAGAGTTGTCCTGTCCACCCTATTAAATGCTTTCTACTAATCGACAAAGTTGGTATATAGTGGTAAATTCCATTCAAATGACTAGTAATAAGTGAAAAAGCAGTGATAAGTTATTCATTTGAAACTGGATATTAAAACTTTAGCAAAGTATAACAATTGTTATGAATAAATAATCTTGCTGACTTAAAAAATGGTGGAGAAAACTGGTAGCTCAGGTGGATGATTGTGGTGGTGTTTCTTTCTCTGAGCTGGTTGTTTTGGTTGTGAAGATGAACAATGAAAGCTCCACAACCAAAACAATCAGCTCAGAGAACGAAACACCACCACAATGAAATTTAAATTTCTGTCGACTTTTCAACATATTTCATCTGTGTGGAATTCCAGCAAATACTAACTAACCTAAGGTAACGATAGTATTATTAACCGCTTGAACAATAAACTCATCAACTGTTTGTCTTGATTGTGTTTTTTTTGAAAAATGGAAACTGAGAAATTCATTTGCTTTGATGAAGCTTTTGTTTAAATCTTAGATAAAAATCTTTTCGTTACTGTAAATAACTTCATACACATCTCCCAAATTTAAGTACAAAAGTATTTACGTTTTGTAGATAGAATCATTAACCACTACCTAGTTTGATATGAAATTTTATGAAACCTGAAGCAGCGATGAAAGTCACTTAGATCGAGAGATGATATTCAGTAATCAATAATTATCGAAAAAAACCGACTTGTATTGATGATTGTAAATGATCAGTCAATTTGTGGAGGATTGCTTTGGTCTAGCACTTTTATTACTAACTACATTCAATCCACTTTAAATATGATCTTCTTACATTTTGATCATAACCCGACAGTAGCTGCTACCTTGACGTAGTGCTCGAGCTTACCTATCGTGATGACCCAACCGAGCTATATTGGCAGGAACACACGCTCCTGAAGGTTCTACCATGCCAAGCAGGTCGATTGGAGAACAATGAGAATAAAAGCAGCTACTCAAGGTGTGAGGGCGAAGTCGTACTGCTGACTGTGATGGAGGGGTGTAATGACAGCAGTAAGGTGTTCCCCTCGGACAACCAGCATCTGCAACAATGCTGCCTTCTCACGAAGAAGGGAGCGGCTAGAAAATGCGGAACCTGAAAACGTCACACCTCACGGATTTCCGTCTCCGGGCGCTAAGGGCTTTTAAACAAGAACGGAGCTAATACTCTAAAAACGTCCTGTAAAAAGACCGTTCAAGACTGACCACAAGCAGTTATCTATCGGGCTCTCAGGTCACGCTCCCAGGTCTTCAAGACCAACACTAATCCGCCTTCCTTTTCAAGTCCGTCAAGAAACACCCTTCCATTATGTGAGCAGCCAGGAAGCTCCATCCACCCTCATACCCGTAATAAAATGATAGTATCAACTACACTGGTTCATTTGGTTCACATAAGATTTAACTAATTTCCAATTTGTACTTGGAAAATAATACTGCAAAATTTTATTAACATATTCTGTTCTAGTTAGTAATTCTTTCTAAAAGTTTTAAGTCATTGACTATTGAACTGAAAACAACATTTCGGACATTCAACTGTTGTTGTTTCATTATTCAATTATAGACTATACCATAAGTATGACATCATGCGTTCCATTGTACAGAAATTTTAATTAATACAAGTAATTAGAAAATCATTCCACATATTGACATTCCAAACATCATCAGATTGTTCTCGCTGTGTTGTATGTTTTTTCTTAAGTATCAGTTACATAAAAAATTTTGGACTTAAAAGTTTGCAAATCTATCATAAATGTATTATACAATGCTATGGTTTTCGGAATACTTAGGGTCAATATAACTAGTGATAATTGAGAGAGAATTTTAAGAGAACGGTGTTAACAAAAAGATATTTCGGTTCTAATTGATCTAAAGTAATGAGTAGATTTTAGAGTGGTCAAAAATCCTGTGAGGTGCAGGAGTTGTGAATGTGCAGTGTTGATGAGTCTCATACAAGGGCGAAACGGTCGTCTTTCAGTACTTTCAAGTCTATAATAGTGGTCTAATATTGATCGATTTTATGATTTTAAAAAGTAACTCGACAAGCGACACATCTCGATAGTACAAGTTACGTATGCTTACTAGTGAATAGTCACGTGAGGAAGTTTCACCGAGTTCTGGTGAGAAGTCGTGATCAGTAGAATTCAACCCAGTTCGGGTGTGAAGTAGTGCCCACCAAAGACACTGGATGAGGTTGAGCAAGACCGTGAATTGATCGAATTTAGACAATAACATGGTCAGATTCCGGCTAAGTGGTTCATAGGTTAGGCATTCGCACACAAGATCAATGGTTCTGGGTTGGAATCCTCAGGGTTTCAGGAGTCATGGTTGCTCATTGCTGATACGTCCCGTACCAGGACTAAACGGTCGCCTTACAGTGCTTCCAGGTTCCTAATGGCGGTTTAACGTTGATAGATTCATGATTTGAAAAAGTAACTCACTAGTCACCACAATCCCATAATCCCGAAAATCTAATGGTCTGTTTTAGTTAGATTAAAATATTGTCCAAATGAACTAGTTAAACTGACTGATATTCAATACAGCTTTAATTCTTTGTAATGATCGATCACAAATCACCTTGAGAGAGAGATAGAGAGAAAAAATCACCACTGAGATTCTTGAACTGGGTTTTAGATTTCTATTAATGGAGGTCTGCATGAAGTGTGTTCAATAAATTTGAAAATTGAGCAACAAAAAAAATTCTGACGTACGTTTGTATGGCTTGTTGAAAACTGATTGAATAAAAGTGTGTAATATCCGTTTTTTGAAGACTGTGTTTGTGAAAATTCCTCCATGTGTACACCTGTAATTTGTCCGTACTGATTCCTTCAGTTGTACATTTTGTTAATCTGCTCGATTCCATTTTTGAGATGATAATATTTGTATTTTATTATAATTTCTATTTGTTTTGCCTTCACTGAGTTTCTATGGTTCTCTGTGAAATGTATTTATGTAGTTTAAGCTGATACTTAGTCATGGTGACAACCATATTGATTTGTTCCTCATTTGATTGTGTTGCTTGTTTTGACTGGAATTGTGCATTTTGTTTGTAAATTGAAGCACCCTTCCAGAATAGGAAACACTCTGTGTTATAAAGCAACCAAATATTATCTTTTGAAGGAATTCGATCTATTCAGAAAGAAATGAATAACATTTATTTGTTGCTGTTGATTTGATTAGTTGAACAACTGTTGATGGGATAACTGACTGGTAATATTTGTTTAGATGATGATGTAAATTTATATTGATGATGAATATTAGAACCGTTATTTACCCATATCAATTGTATGAATTTCAACTGGGAAATAGCGCGTATCTAAACTACCTAGACAGTTATTCTTCAGTTCAAACATCAGTTTGGATCATACAGTGTATAAGGATTTCTGAATCGAAATTCCTCTTCCAAATAACTCGTAAAAGAAGTTCAGTAATCATGACATTAATAGTACATTCATAATTAAACACGCTTCAACTTTCCTTAATTTTACCTTAAATCAAAATAATTCACCTCACTACTGATTTATTTGTTAGTAGCTAAACTGATACAACAGATTTATGAGATATCTTTTTATCCACAGTCTTACTACTGGAACTGGTTTGAGTGACTGAGTGTATACTAACGGTTTATTGGATAATTCATCACACAAAGACGAAGATCACTTCAAATCATCAATACGATTTACGACAAAAATAAAGAATTAGAGTAAACGATAAGCAATATTTTATTTCACTGAATTTCAAGCAACCATTTTCAGTGAGTCTACAGCAAAAATCAATGAGAGGAAATGAAACAGGATGTTTTATAGTCAGTAGGCTGTGCCTAAACACCTTCTGAAGCTCTTCCGGAGCTACTGCCAGAGGAGTGTTCGTCATGGGTTTAGAAATCTTATCCCGTAGAAAACTTGCCGAATTGACGCTAACCGGAACACATAATTCAAACCATTTAAACTGTATCCTGGCAGTTACAAGGTCTTCATTTAGAACAGTTATGATGCCACATGATGAAAGCCGAGTTTATTTAGAAGATACAAGGCCGATACTCCTTCTGAAAATCATACCAACAATTAATATAGGCACATGGAATGTTTGCACATTGTGGGAGAGTGGAAACAACAAACTACTTTTGGAAAGGACAAGTCAGATTTCAATTGAGGAAGAAATTAGGGAAAAGCGCCGAAAGTGGATGGAGCAAACATGGCGGATATCACTCAACTGCATCACTAGGCAAAACCCAACTTGGAACCCTCATTACTAAAGGAAAAGAGGTAGATCAAACGACACAGTGTACTGAGAATCGGAAACAGTCATCAAAAGAATATATAGAGATTAATTAGAACTGGAAAGGAAGGTGGTCGGAGAATACTGATGGCCTGTATATTCTCTAGTAGGAGTAACAGGCTTAAGTAAGTAAGACTGTACCTGTTTGTCTAAGTTCAGTTTTCATTTCAGTAACATTCCCCAACAAATACCTCCTACTTTTCGTTTGAAACATTTCAACCTTGATAAGATTGAATATTGATCAATGTGACAGTGCAAATTCTATCATTCTTTTACAAATAACTGACATATTGTTTTTAAATCATTATGATTAACTAAACTGTTTTGTTTAAAATGGCTTCTCTTCATTTTTTTTCTATGCACTCAAGATTATGTATGTGACTGCTCTTTCACCTTATCTATTCATCATTGTTCTATTAATACGTACTGCTTTACTTGATGGTGCCGCAAATGGATTAATTCACTATTTGAAACCTGATTGGTCGAAATTAACCGATATGACAGTAAGTGCTGATAATAATAATATTAACTGTGTCTACATACTTTCCATTTCCTACAGGATGAAATTTAATGCTCAGACTAAGTTGTTTCAACCTTAAATCAATTCATATCAGAAACATTTCACGAAGTAGAATGATTTCTGTTGTGTGAGCCGCAACATCATAAGATGCCATTCAGGCGTCCTTTCGTTCCGCTTGATCTACCTAAGTGAGTGGTAAAAGCACCTGCTACTATTGTTGTATTAGATAGCTTAACTTTGTGATGTAGGATTGGAAAGCTTTCGATAAAATTCCTTTTTTACCTCATCGGTGATGCAATCGATCGAAGAATAGTCAGAGTCAACGAAATTAGTTCTTTATATAAACTGAACTTCATAGATAATCTCAACACGTAAACTTTGTCAGTCTTTATAGTTGGATAAAAAACAACCGAAGGTCATGCTTTTTTAGAAAAATTGATTAGTAGTATAGAATAGTTATGCTAGTAACTTGATATGCTTGAAACTATTACGAGTTCACTTTAGTCGATAAACTAGAACAAGACAATGAACCAGTGACACAGTAGGCTACTCAGAAACGCTGATCCAAAGGGACTAACGAAAAAGTTTCGATAAGGCGTAAACACACTGATCTCAAGTACACAAATCGCGTTTGTTTATGCGTCATAGAAACGTCCTTGGGAGGGTCAGAAAAGTAGCATACTAAAATAACACATCGACCAAATACAGCCATGGATTTTCCTGGCTGGAAATGTGATCTCAAGGTCAACTGATCATGAATAAAATCCAAATTTAAGACATTTATCAAGCGAGTTCTAGGGATCTAACGTTCCCGACAAGGATACTGAAAACGATTGTAGAACTTCGTTAGTTTCTATCATGAACTAACTGTTAGTAGAGAGAACTGAAAACTACAAAGCAATGAACAAAACTTTTATCCACAACATAAGACTCTTCAGAAGTTTATATTCGAGAATCTATTGGGGATAGAATCGATAACTTTTAAGCCTTGAAGTAAACCCCAGGCTGAATGCAATAAAAAGACTTTCATAGTTGCTAAAAGAATAGCCAATATTCATAGACACTGTATGTTGGTAAAATATTGAGTTATTGAGATAAAAATGTATGTGAATTGTAACTCAAATCCTGCACCTTCAATATAATCCATACATAAGCCGTAAGAACATCTACAATTTAATCTTTTCATGAAGTACAGTTATCTAAGGGAAGAGACTATTCTATGATTTTTTTCTACACTAATGCGCGATGGTTTGATGATGAAATGAAATGACCTTGTGGTTAGGTTAGGTCAAACGTTGAGCTTACTACTATTTGTCTGCATTGAACTCGAAATAGGGTTCATACTGGTAGTGGCCAGCATTCTGACTTCTTTTATTGATGAACGTTCAAGTATACCATGACACAAGTCTCCTCATTCAGTCTCCGTATACATCATACTTAGACGAACCCCGTATGTGTGACAGCGGTAATTCGCAGCCGAATACGGATTCAGTTGGATGAGTTTATTTCAATCAATCCTTTATGCAGACGAATATGAGAATGAAAAGCATTCAAGCTGAAAGATGCGTAGTGATGAGGCACGACTAAGAATTTACAGTTAGACAAAATTTAACCAGACACACGATAAATGAAGTAAGTGGTACATAGGCACACTAGAATAAAAACAACCGATGGAAAAGCGAGTAGTTTAGCAAGTACGGAAGGCGTATGAATAATAACTTGGATAGAATGGATTGACTGTCCGAAGGTTGAGACAACCCCTGTGGGCTCGACGTGAAACAGTACACACACCACCACCACACCAGCAATTTTAAATCATTAAAACTATGTATCGATCGATCGTTAGACGAGCATTAGAAAGCTGTAAGCATTGACTAACCGATTCGCCCTGGTTGTAGAATTATTTCGCCGGTGGCTGTCCTAATCGCGTCCAATAGAAACACTCCTGTACGTTACTCCTAGATCCAGGTCCCAGCCAAATCAAAAGGTCAAAATTTCTAGGAGAAAACGTCTCTATATTAATATAAAATGGAAATACAGAGGCTTACGGTATTTTTGTTTCTTCCAGGACTAAATTACTCCGTAGAGTATCGATTACAATAGCTAGTAAGTGACACTAAGTCCAGCAGCCACCGCGTCTATCCAAAAATGTGGCGGTAGCCATATTATATCAAATTTAAACAATATATGTACAGCTCAAAAGCAAACACAAAAACTTCAATATAAGTACAAAATATGGAAAGAATAACAACATACAATGGTAAAATCTCAAATTGGAATCAAATAAAATACCAAAAATGTCAAGAGAAAAGGTCCATCAGGTCATAGCAAAAATATGTAAACATGGAGGGATTTTCCAAAACACAAAACATTCAAAAAGAATTCTACACCGGCCCGCAAAATCCCTCCATGCAAAAACAGCAAGCGTTAATGACACCTTATTTAGGGTTCCCATGTTATCCCCTAATCCACACCGGAATAACGTGTAGGACTTACAGCAGTACGCCTACCCGCCATCCAACATGGATATGACCTGTCGTGTTAACTAGGTTCCTATACTTTCCCATCAGGCCCTTGATTCCCCTATCTATCGTGGAATGACCTAACGGTAGTATAAACCTTACCCAATTAACCCATACGAACATGAACAACGCGTCGCAAAACTGGTCATATCCTATCCAAGGACTACATTCTCTATCGTGGGGACGAGTCGCCAATCCACCACCACTTGCTCTGATCAGCAGATACCATGAAGTCCGTGATGCCAACTTATCAACAGAAGTTTTTGACCCATAAATAATATGCAAGGGTGGGATCTCCAATTTTGACATTTCATCGTCTCCAGAAGACCTTAAGTAGCATGACGTAGGATCAATATTTATCCTTCCATCTCCTGATGCAGAGGAGGTTTGAACAGTGTTCATCATCGTCGGTAACTCATTTGTCACATCAGTGACATCCAGTTTATTATCAACGTCTAAATGATTCCGTTCTGCATTAGCATCCGTTTCCGCGGCACAAGACATATGCTCAACAATAGCATCGTCATCACACAGCACTGTAGACTGGCTGTTACCATCAAGCACTTTCTTCTCATCATCACTCGACTGACAGTCAACCGTAATAGGAACAGTTACAGCTGCACAACCTTGTGCATCTTCAATCAACTTAACATTCGTGACGAGGACCGATGGCGTCGAAACACTAGGAGGCTCATTCGATGAAGTTGATAAACTAGTCCCTATAAGTGAACTGCTGACACTTTCTATATCCTTATTATCACTGTCACTACTGAGGTTCTGATGGCTACTATTTCTATGGCTAGTCGTAGCATCCGAAAGAGCATGAGGTTCAGGCTTCTTAGTAATAGTAGCATCATGTCTCCTAGGCTTCTTAACCGTTACTGTACCACCATCACTTATCCTAGAATCTACTCTAGGTCCAGTTATATAATTTACCCTAACTGAAGGGTTTCGAAAATAAGCTTTATTCCGTTCAGTCAATCCTGCCTGGGCTTTATTCATATTTGCTGAACTCACTAACCTCTGATTACTCGAATCCAAATTACCGTTCCAGGCTTTTCGAGCAGCTAAGAGGCTTTTATCATCACACACTTCGGATCCATCTTGATGCCTACACTTTTCACCTTTTTCTTTCTTTTCTACACTTAGAAAAGCCATCTTATCTGTTACACAAACCGGCTTCTTACTAGGACACGCATCAAGAGGTTTTACATCGTTACGGTCACATACTCGTCCTTCATCAGCGTATGCTTTCGTGATATAATTGACAAATCTCTTATCTTCCGAGCGTGCTTTAGGTAGAAACGAAAAATCCGAATGTCTCACACGCAGACCACTAGTAGCTTCCGTATTATTTCCTGTTTTAGCCTGATAAGCTAATCTTCCAAACCTACTACTAGCTATCTTAGCACGAGACATAATAAATTCCGTCAATTCGTTAAAATTGGGCTCTCTCTCCTCTTCGTCCCACTTGAATACTAGCTCTGCCCACTGGGCTTGCATTCGACGAGGTAAGAGCCTTACTATTCGTTCTAAAGTATCCATAGAGTTAAGTTCAGCTGTACAATTTAACTGTTCTAAAGTTAAAGAAGCATTCTGCATTTTAATGGCCAAGTTCGTCAATGATTCAGGATCATTAAATTCTACATTCCCAGTTCTAAATAAGTCCTCTAAGGTTTCTCGCGCTATTACATGCGTCTGTCCAAAGAGCTGTTTTAGAATGGCCTTAGCTCTCTTATATCCTGATTGTGGATCCATAATAATACAGCCTTCAATCGCATTTTTTGCTTTTCCCTTACAATAATGAATTAAATACAATAAACGCACTTGATCATCCTTGATTCGAGGTTCTATAAACGTCTCTATCTGTCGTATGAACTTAAAATAGTCGCGAGACCTTCCATCAAAATATGAAAGCTCAACCTTAGGTAATTCTAAACCCTCTATCGATGACTTACAATAATAAATATCAGACATAACATGTGGGTTACCCATAAAAAGGTTATCATCAACGACTTGCCTAGAGCCCTGTGATCCGTCGAGCTCTTCCACCCTCCTCATGTATGATTTTTTTCGGTTTGACATCATAAATAAAGTTCAATAAAGACGGTAACGAATACAAAATAGAGTAAATCCAAAATTCAGTTCAAAATTAATGATAAGTAGTTCCAACTTCTTCCCCCAAGGAAGTCTAGTATGATAAACGATTAAAATTCCAAATGTTTCCTTGTAATTCTTAATAATCCAAATAGATCCAAATTATATGCGTTCTGGTAAATATTTCCAAGTATAATTCACGCAAGAAGAATAAATACCAGACTGTAGAATTTTTTCGCCGGTGGCTGTCCTAATCGCGTCCAATAGAAACACTCCTGTACGTTACTCCTAGATCCAGGTCCCAGCCAAATCAAAAGGTCAAAATTTCTAGGAGAAAACGTCTCTATATTAATATAAAATGGAAATACAGAGGCTTACGGTATTTTTGTTTCTTCCAGGACTAAATTACTCCGTAGAGTATCGATTACAATAGCTAGTAAGTGACACTAAGTCCAGCAGCCACCGCGTCTATCCAAAAATGTGGCGGTAGCCATATTATATCAAATTTAAACAATATATGTACAGTTCAAAAGCAAACACAAAAACTTCAATATAAGTACAAAATATGGAAAGAATAACAACATACAATGGTAAAATCTCAAATTGGAATCAAATAAAATACCAAAAATGTCAAGAGAAAAGGTCCATCAGGTCATAGCAAAAATATGTAAACATGGAGGGATTTTCCAAAACACAAAACATTCAAAAAGAATTCTACACTGGTATCGGACTTATCAACAGTGCACATCCACAACACTTGCTCCGAAATCTCGATAATGAAAATCACGAAAATGTGCTCACTGGTGACTTGCTTCATGTGGCGATTCTAGTGAGAATCCGTGACCAGAAGAGTTTAACCCTGTCGGGTACGAAGCAGATACATACTGGAGATAATTGGTGAGGTTACTCAATACCTTGGTAATATTAAAGTTGGACATTGAATGTTTGGATGCTGGCTCACTGGTCTAGAGTTTAGGCGTCCTCGGGAGAGACTTAGGGTCCTGCGATCGATCCCAACTGGCAGAGGTCATGGATGCGTATTGCTGACGAGTCCCATACTATAAAAAATGGCTGTCCAGTGCTTCCAGATTACTTTCTAGTCGTGATCTGACAATGATCAATTCATAATTTCGATGAAACTCAACCATCTCCACAAATCTATGACGTTTAATTCAAAATCTTTTCTTTAAAAACTGATTATGATTACTTTTTGTTTTTCTCAAGGTATGGTCTGATGCAGGAACACAAATCTTTTTCAGTTATAGTCTTGGTTTAGGTGTTTCAACAGCATTTGGAAGTTATAATAAAATTCAGCATAATTCATTGAGGTTAGTGAACAAAAAAGAAAACCCTAAAATAATTTGAACCTATTCGTTTTTTTTGTCATTTCTTCTATCGGATCTCTTAAATTAATTTGTCTTTTACAAATAAATCCATTGTTGAACTCAAACTGTTCATTATCGATTCGCAATAAATTTAATCTTAGTTATGATTAATTAAAATTTGGCTGTTTTTAAATTGTTTCTCCATCTTGAAACTGTAGTTTTCAAATGAAATTGTGCAGAAAATAAATTTTAAGACTCTAAGCTTTGTTTACGAATCATTCTAATCACAAATAACTGTCCTTTGAAGGGATTATTTTGTATGAGAGTGTTAAAGAAATTATTTACTACTAAAATTATTAATCATTCACTGTTAGACCACCATTAGAAACCTGCAAGAACTGAAAGACAGTAGTTTCATGCTGGTACAGAACTCATCAGCAGTAAGCATTCAAGACTCATGCCGCTCACAGGATTTGAACCAAGGACCTTTGGTGTTTCACGCGGGCGCCTAACCTCTGGGTCACTGGGCCGACAAACAACAGTTTTAAGGTTAAGCTTTGATCAATCTTTGTTACTGAACAACCTCACTCATTTGTCTTCGGTAGGTACTACCTAGAATTCTGAGGAATTTCCTCACAAACCTGGTCACTAGCGATCACATTTTCATCACCATTTCAGAAATCTAGAAGCACTTGAAGACCGTTTTGTCTTGGTATTAAAATCGTCAGCAGCAGCGTGTATTTACGACACTGCAAGGGGGAATCGAACCCAGGACCGTCAACCTCTAGACCGTTGAGTTAGCCTCCAACAATGTTAGCGTCTGAATCCAGTCAATCCATTTCTTCACTTTCATTGAAATCATGAACTCATCAATGTTTGAACACGAGTGTCATGGGTTCGATTCCTACTTGTGAGGTCGACGATACTCATCGACAGATGAGACCTATACTAAGGAGAAGCGGCCTTTCAATGCATTCAGGATTTGGTTGTTTTGAATACAATAAAGACTTCTATCCTGGAGTAAACTATTCTTGAACGCTCAAAATAGTGATATGTATATATAATTTTTTACATAAATAACTGAACAGTATATGTGTTATGTATAATATCGTTTTTAGAGATTGTTGTCTATTTGCTTTGGCTAATACATGTACAAGTCTGTTGTCTGGTTGTGTCATATTTTCTACACTTGGTTATATGTCTTATATATCGAATATACCATTGAATCAAATCGCAGAATCTGGTCCAGGTCTTGGGTTTGTTGTTTATCCGAAAGCAATTGGTACTATGCCAGGTAGTTCATTCTGGTCTGTATGTTTCTTTCTTATGATTATCCTATTGGGTATTGATAGTATGGTAAGTGAATCGAACATTTTATTGTTTTGTGCATGTATTTATCTAGTATTGTTACTTGCTTAATTACGCCTGTTACTGCCTTAGTGAAGCATAGTTCGCCCACCAGCAGTCAGTCAGTTACAACGTACAACTTCGTAAATGAGTACATAAGTTGCCATATCCCAACAGCACATAGAAGCGATTGTCAGTTCAAATTACAAAGTGGTATAGATTGTAGCAGTAATAGAGAAGATTAAGGAACGAAGATATGATTCGTGAAGTATAATTCAGTGAGATAAATTTAGGAGAAGGATGAAGATTATGAGGAGTTCAGAAGGTTAGAATTAAAAAGCACACGAAGAGTGGATGCACATGCGCCATTGCAAACGATTTTGAGCCATGTCGTTCAAGGTCTCTAACCATTGAAGACTTTCGCCTCGCGGACCCCAACCACGTAGCCTACACCTACCAACATGTCTCAGTCCACTTGTCACTGACTTCATGCATTTCTGCCATGTTTTGGTTCGGCCACCCTTGGCTTTCTTCCAACCTATTCCTACACTACAAAACAAAGCTCGTCGAGGCAGTCGGTGGTTGGACATTCGTAACACATGTCCCAACCACCTCTACTGATGAAATTTCACCACTTCATCTATTGATCTGCCATCCTTACCTAGTACTTGTTTCCTTGGTACAGTATTGCTTACTTGGTTGTCCCATGACATGCGAGCAATGCTCCAAAGATATTCTCTCAGCTACTTCTTGGTGGGCCTTTCTTTCTAATTCTGTTCATAATTCTCATGTCTGCTTCCAGCTCTCGGCGTAATGTGTTTCTTGGTCTTCGTCTTTTCCCTTAGTCATGAGGATTACAAGTTAAGGCTTGACAGGTGACTCAGTTGGATGATTTCCACTATATGTGTTTTCTCCACCCCCAGAGTTGTTTCTTAACTTTCCAAGCAGTTGGAAGCTGGTTTGTTGTTTTGTGTAGTCGTTCGCGCAGGAATATAATGCTACCCATAACTATTTTGTTGAAGGCACGTAGGCACATATGAATCTCTCACCATTTTTTTATCCTTTCTCCAACTCCATGTCCTCCCATTATGTCTTCAAATCCTTTGTTGTTGATTCTAACGTTGGTGTTCAGGTCTCCCATCAGAATGATCGAGTCATTTGCTTGGCATTCCTTTACGACTGACTATAGAATCTCATGGAATGGCATTCGCTGTCATCGCCTCTTTTTATGTTTTTAAGAATCTAATGATGATCCTGGGTCCATGACGTTGCACACCTATCACTGCCTTTTTGTGCTTGTTCGGATTGCATCAGTGCGACTCCTTGTGTGTGTTAGACATTTTCTACTTCATTGCAGGAGTAGAACAGCAAATCTACTGAAGTTAGTCTTAGTTGTCCAATCTGCATCCTATGTATCTCACAGATTCCAAGTACCACTATTTTGTTTCTTTCCATTTCCGTAGCAACTTGAATAATTCTCCCATTTCCCCTCAGTGTTCAAACATTCCGTGTACCTGTATTAGTGGTTTCTCCGGTGGCGAGTAGAAGCATCGGCTTCATGACTGTTGAAGAAACTCGGCTTTCAGTATGAAGCTTGATAAATCTTCCAAATTAGATGCCTTTAATTTTAAGGACAAGTTTTGAATGGTTTGAATCATTTTTTTAGTTAGCATTTTTGCAGCATGTTTATTTTGTATGAAGGTTGCTGAGCCTTCGCGCAACTCTCGCATATCCGGGCTTGGGACCGGCAGTAACCCGTCGGATGGTTCTAGAGGGAGTTTCATGACAATACGCATATATATTTATGTATCAAGATTGAAAAATCTACTACTGTCATGATTGAATTGGATGAATCAAAACACGCTTTTAGAGTAAGAGTTGCTTCAAGTAATACTATCTGGGACTATTACTGAGAAAATAAGTGTCTTCATATTCGAAACTCGCCTTGATATATGAGTATAGACACCAGCCACCCTTTCCATGATAAGTTACTTGTCAAGTTGATGACTAGTTTCTGCTTTACATGTGTTTTGCAATTACGCATTGAAATCATCATTCAATTATTGTCAGACCACCATTAGAAACCTGAAGGCATTGGAAAGCCGTTTCGTCCTGGTATGAGACTCATCAGCAGTGCGCATCCACTACAACTGCATCTCGCAGGACGTGATCAGTGGTGTCCAACCCTGTCGGTTGTAGGCAGTAACTACTAAAGACAAATGGGTGAGGTCGCGCAAAATCCATAGATTGATCAGAGTTATATATCAAAACCGTTGGTAATCGGTTCAGTGGTCTGGAAGTTAGGTCCTGGGTTCGAAACCTGCAGGGTTCAGGAATCGTGTATGCGCACTACAGATGATTCTCAAAAAAGGACGAAACATCTGTGCTTCCAGGTTTATAATAGTGGTCTAACAATGATTGATTGGTTGATAATTTCAAAAATGTGCAAAAATCTCTAATCTCCATAACTGTTATTCTACAAAAAAACACTTTTTAATTAGTTTGCTGGAGTTGAAGGTTTTATATCGGCGGCCGGTGATTATTTTCCAAATGCATTGGCTAATAAATGGATTCGTTGTCTATTTGTCGGTTCTGTATGTATTGCTTCATATTTAGTTGGTCTATCAATGGTTACCAATGTAAGTTGGCACAGTAATTAGTGCTTTGTTTATTAATAGTACAAAACTGATAAACTCAACTTGAATTTTCGATTAGATGCTTTATTTTTGCCTAAATATCTGATAAACATTCAAGGCAATGTAGAACATTGGTTAGATGAGTGAATTTCGTTATTAATTAAAGTCATTTTTACTGTGTAATTGCTTATTTTTATGAAAATTAACTGTCGACTAAAAACAAACGAGATTCCCTTGATACTACGGAAAGATATCTGACAATCAGTTCATTTTTCCTATTGATTAAAGGGAGAATTAAGAGAATATACTGAAATAATACTAAAAAAGGAATATAATAACAGTTACTTATCAGCCAACCAGTCAGGATTAACGTAGGACTTCATATGTACGTTCGTACACCAGCTCGAGTTGCCATACCAAATTAACACAGAGATGTGATTGTCAATTCAAATCACATAGTGGTAGAATTAGTAGAAGTATAAGCAGTAATTGAAAAGATTAAGGTTTGAAAATGTTATTCAAGAAGTAGAATCTAGTGAAAGGGAACGATAAAGGTGACGAGGAATTCATAAGATTAGGATTTGAGAGAAGCCAAAGAATAGATACGTCTGTGCCATTTCAAACAATTTTACTGCATCTCATTCAAGTCTCTAACCGTCGGTTACTATTCTATCGCTGACCCCAACCTGGCAGTCTACATCTACCAACATGGTTCAGTCTAGTTGTCACTGACTTCATGGATTTGTGCCATGTTTTGGTCTGGCCGCCCCTAGGTTTCTTCCAACCTACTCCTACACCACAAAAAGTTGCTCGTTGGGGCAGTCAACCACCTCAACTGATGAAGATTCGCTACTTTATCAATTGGTTTGCCATTCATACCCAGTACCCGTTTCCTGACAACGACATTGCTTACTCATTTGTCCCAGGATATAAGAACAATGCTTCGAAGACATCAATGATCGAACACTAGTAAGCTACGGCTATCCTCTACTCTTACTGGCCATATTTCACGATTATAAAGTAGGGCTGAGCAAACTGCTGCCCAGCAGACTCGTACTTTAGTCGACAGATGGATATCTCACCTATGCCACAAGTAACGCAAGTTGGCAAAAGCTAGTTAAGCCTTCTGTATCCATGCTAAGATTTCGTCAGTCATCAAGCCATCACCACTGATGAATCAGTCAACATGATCAGCTAGTTCACTCTCTATCACTAGTTTAGGTGGGAGCACAAACCAACATTTCATATGTTGAGAAGGAGAATCGACAGTTACACATTATTTATCAGAAACGTTTTGGGCATCATTTGTAAAATATTTAAGGATTAGTGAAGTATATTTTGATTAAACTACTTACCAAATTAAATCAACTTTACTTTTGAATACTGATGAAGAACAACAAGGTGGAAACTTCATTCTAGTTACGAGCAGAAAGAAGCTTGAAAATGGTGGAGAAAATTTGTAGCTCAGGTGGATGATTGTGGTGGTGTTTCGTTCTCTGAGCGGGATGTTTTGGTTGTGGAGCTTTCATTGTTCTTCTGCTGGACAACACCATCAGCACAAACTTCAGATAGAAGTAAAGCATTCGAATTTCTCCACGTTTGACCTGTAGCTTGTTCTGCTACAAAGTTGCAAACAACGACAGGTCAAAGGTCAACAGCAACCAATCAAGATCGAGGTTAGCAGAACAAGCTACAGGTCAAACGTGGGGAAATTCGAATGCTTCACTTCTGCTATCTGAAGTTTGTTCTGATGATGTTGTTCAGAAGGGAACAATGAAAGCTCCACAACCAAAACAACCAACTCAGAGAACGAAACACCACCACAGAAGCTTGAAAAGTAATCAATATTCAATCAAATTTTCTTCATTAGTAATGCTATGATTTCTCTCTATTTATTTACTTCTCTATAGGGTGGAATGTATATATTTCAATTATTCGACTATTATAGTGGAAGTCGTATTATATTAATTATTGGATTTTTAGAATCACTAGTGATTGGCTATATTTATGGTTAGTTGAAAAAAAATAAAATTTCTTTTAAAAGAAATCAATTTTCAAAATAATTATGGTTCTTAATCAACTAATCAGTTATAAGATAAGTAGATACCTGGCACACCTATAAATCAGGCTGAATCGCTATATTACCATCAGCATTTGTCCTGTCACCCGCCAACCAGCTTTCTCCAACCTACTCTGTCCTCCGCCTTCCTTCCTAGTTCTGTCCAATTGTTGTTCACTCTTCTGATGTTTGGTTCCATTTTTCTGCGTAATGGGTTCCTTGGCCTTCTACTTTTCCTTTGACCTTATGAGTTGCAAGTACGGACATGTCTTGTGATGCAGTTGGATGATTGCTTCAGTATGTGCCCTGTCCACTTCCACTGTGCCTCTTCTCGATTTCTTCCTGTGCTGAAAGAATCTAGTTTGTTCACCCCCACAGTAGGCTGTTGCTGATAGTGTTTGGCCAACGGATCCGAGGTATTTTTCGAAAACAGCTGTTAATAAACACGTATCTTCCGGCCAATGGGATAAAATCTTTAACTCCATGCACAACTCTCCTATTTTATCTATGCTTGGGACGAGAAGTCGCCCCAGAGTGGCTCCAGGCGCAGGTACCACCAGTACAACGAGCCCAAATAATCAATATCAACATTCAATGTAATATAGACATTTCTAGTCTCAAGAAAAATTCAAGAAAGACAATATAATTAAAAAAAAAAAAATTCAACTACAGAATAAAAAGTATAAAATCGTTTTAGAATTCAAGATCTAAGAGGGAATAAGCTGTGAGTATATCTGTTGTATCAGTGGACAGCACAAATGCAATTGGATGATTCGAAATTCTGTCCCATATGCAACAACTAACGAAGGTGAAGACGGGAAGTTTAGCAGCAATCTCTGTCGAAGCAGATCTCAATGTTTATAAAGGAGAAAGCAAGGTTCTCCGACACAACGCGACATGCGCCAATCAAATCACAGTTGAGGGAGAAGCTGTAGAAGATGTAAAAACCTTTACATACCTGGGCAGCATCATTGATAAACTAGGTGGATCTAATGGCGATATGAAGAAATGGATTGATAAAGCAAGAGCATCATTTCTACAACTGAAGACAATTATTAACCAACATCAAAGTTGTTGTATGTAGCGGAAACTTGAAGAATCAAGACATCATCTAAAAGATACAGTGTATATTATCACTTTTCTACACAAGATTCTCTTTATCCGATGACCAGACACCATCAGTAACAACCTACGCTTGTAGAGGATAAACCAACCACTAACTGAGGAGGAAATTAGGGAAAAGAATTGGAGTTTGATAGGGCAAATTCCAGGCAAACCCTTGCCTGGGACCCTCAAGGCCCAAGGAGAAGGAGAAGACCAAAGAATATATTATACCGAGAAGTGTAAGCAGCCATGAAATGAATCGATATCAGTTGGCTAGAACTAGAATGGAAGGCCCAGGAAGGAGGTGTTTGGAGTTTGTTACTTAAGAAAATATCATCCAAAACTGTATTTTCATAGGTAAGCAAGCCCTAACCAAGAATCCTTAAGGCCGAAGAAAAAGAGGTAGACTGGCGAATAAAGTGGGCTTACACTTGGAAACAGTCACGAAAAGAATGAATAGAGATTAGGGTAGAAATAGTAAGGAATGTCTAGGACGGTATTGTTTAAAGAATGCTTTTCGGTAGCCTATGCTCCATTAAGGGTAATAACAAGCGTAAGTAATTAACTGATCACATCTATATCATTTGAAACCAATTTTGACAGTTGAATCTGATGATCATGTGAACTTCAGTAATATATATAGTGAGAAGACTGAGGCAGGCTCAATAGATTGTATTTGGCAAATTTACACTCTTAGTCAATTAAAAACGATAACATTACATTGAACACTCCATTTGCACACCATCTTTGAGTCCTGACTTCCAACGCTCCAGCCTTCCTCCATTCCTGCTGTTGCTTCCTTTACTTCCTGTCGGTGCTCTAAATCTTTCTTGCTTTTGCTCTATTTGCTTTCCGTTTTCCTCTTCTGACCGTAAGACATCTTCTTTCACGTCCATTCTTATACTACTTATATCGTTCGTATAAGTAGCACACACCACACTCGTCCCCCCTTTAACAAGTCGCTCTCTCAGCCTTTCTGATCTCCGTACAGCCGTCTTCTTTATCAGTGTTTGTGGCTCGCCCTCTTGGCGCACTTGGAACCACCTTTGGAGTTCACTGGCATTCACGCGTTTCTGTTTGTTTCCTTTCTGGATTGTATACACTGCGCCGCGCCTCTCGGTTACTACGTACGGTCCCTCCCACTTCGGGATCAGCTTACCTGACCCTGGCCCTCTTCCTGTGGTACATTTCCGTTCTCTACACTTCACTTGGTCTCCCACTTCAAACGGTCTCCAGTTCTTTCTCTCCTGTTCTGACTTTTCCATGTCTGATGTTTGTTTCTCTCTCACATTCCTGATTGCTTGTCTCCGCTCTGTTCTCAATCTTGTTGTATTCCATCTCTGTTGTTGCGGCCAGGTTTTATCATGCGTTGGTAGTCTCGGCCGTCTGCCGTACATCAGCTGGAACGGTGACTTCCTGGTTGTTCCCTGTGCCGAGGCACGATGTGCCAGCAAGATTAATGGTAATTCTTTCTCCCAGTCACCCCCTTTAGATGCTAGCCATTCCTTTAGCGTTCGGTTATTCCTTTCCGTTAACCCATTCGTCTGTGGATGATACGGCGTTGTTCGTACTCTCTTGATACCTAACTGCTTTAGACGGGACTTGAACTCATCACTCTCGAAACAGGGACCTTGATCGGTTAATATTATCTTTGGTATCCCATGGTCAGCCACAATGTGCCGCATTACCGCTTCCGTCACCGTCCTTGCACGTTGGTCCGCCATCGGCACGGCATTTACCCATCGTGTGGCATGCTCAGTCATCACCAGCAGGTACTGGTTACCACTTGTCGTCTGTGGGAACGGTCCCATAATATCTACTGACCACAAATCACCAACTGCTGTTACTGGAATTGACTGCAATGGCGGTCGTATGCATCGATCCCCTTTCATTAGTTGACATCGCTGGCACGCTAATACATATCGTGCAACATCGTCTCTCATACCTGGCCAGTACGCACTTTGTCGCAGCAAATCAGTTGTCCGTGCAATACCTGTGTGCGCTACCTGGTGACATTCACGAATCATGTCCTGGCGCAAATCTTTTGGGATTATTGCTACCCAATTCTCGTCATCATCCCGCCAGGTCAAGGCTCCGTATCCGTTCACTCTCGGTCTCTCCTTCTGCCTCAGCAACACTGTTAATTCTTTGTCTGTTCCACTCTTGTCGATATCTCCCTCTTTTATCACTCTGATTACCTCTGGAAGGTTAGGGTCGGCTTTTTGATGACGGACGAGTTCTAGGGGATCTCCCTCTAGGCCGTTAACTGCACACGCTATCTCTGGAAGTTCGGCTTCGGTGTCCGGTCTTGACAAATAATCTGCCATTACATTTTCCTCCCCTGGCACATGCCCGATGCTGAAATCATACTCCTGCAGACGTAGCATCCATCGAGCCAACTTCCCCCGAGGGTCTTTTGCTGTTTTTAACCATTGTAGGGGCTTATGATCCGTCTCGATGTGAAATCGCCGACCCAGTAGATACGGTCTCCATTTGTCTACCGCCCATACAATCGCTAAACAGTCTTTTTCTACTGTGGAATACTTCTGTTCTGTCGGCGTAAGGACACGGCTGGCATACTCCACCACTCTGTCAGACTGCCTCAAGACCGCACCTATACCGTGATCGCTCGCATCAGTGGTCACTGTAAATGGCTTCTCGGGTTCCGGCAGTCTCAGCGTCATTTGGCGGTCATCTAACAGCTCTTTGACTCGGTCGAAAGTTTGTTGAGCGGTCTCTGTCCACGTAAACTTCGCATTGCTTAGCACTTTATATAGAGGTGCTGCTATATCGTTGAAGTTCTTCACGAATTTGCTGTAGAACGCCGCTCTTCCCAGGAACTGTCTTAACTTCCTTTTTGAGTTGGGAACTGCAATATTCTTTATCGTTAGAATCTTCTCCGGCAGTGGTTTTATTTCTCCATTGCCTACTTTATGCCCCAGCAACGTGACGCTTCTTTTCGCTATCTGAGACTTGTCTTTGTTAATTCGTAAACCAAACTCATCAATTCGCCTTAGGACCGCCTCCACGTGCTTCACATGTTCTGCCTCTGTACGACTATATACGACCAAATCATCGCCATAAACCTCGACATTCTCCAGGTTTCTGAGCAGCAATGTCATTAGTCTTCGAAACGTAAACGGTGCGCCCGCCAATCCAAAGGGCATTCGTTTAAATTGATACTGCTTCTCCCGTACGATAAATGCCGTTTTGCTGCGATCACTGTCTTTTATTGGTAGCTGCCAATAGCCCGACCGTAAATCTAACACTGTGAACACCGTAGCACTCTGTAGACGATCTAATGTCTCCGCTATTGTTGGCATTGCACATGGTTTTATTTCTGTCACGTTATTCAGTTCTCTAAAGTCAACACAGAATCTATACTTTCCATTTGGCTTCTTTACCAAAAGTACCGGTGAGCTGTACGGGCTATCTGCTTCTTCAATTATACCTGCTTTTAACATCTCCTGTACCTGCTGGTTTATCTCAGCTTCCAAATGTACGGGGACCCGTCGTGTTGTGAAGATGGTTACTTCTTCGTTCTTTATCGGAATTTCATGTTTGACTTTATTACAAAACCCGTACGGTTCTCCGTCTCCCGTGAACAACTTCTTATATTTTGTGAGCACCTCGTTAATGTTCTGTTTCTTTCCAATGTCCTCTTTTGCTACTCTAACCTCAGCCACCTCGCTGCTTTCATGTATTGTCAGTGTGCCGTACTTTGTAATCACCTTCTTACTTCTTGTATCAATAATTGCTCCTACTTCTCTCAAGAAATCTGCTCCTAGTATTGGTCTCGACAAGTTCGTAGTCACTACAAAGGGAAACTGTATTTTCGAACTGCCGATTTTCACGATATCATTTGAGACTCCGAGGATTTTTAACACGTGGCCGCCGATGGTGTTAACAACTAATGCACTCGGCCTGATACCTCTACACCGCTCTTTGTCTATTAACGAAACTGCCGCCCCTGTATCAATCAGGCAAACTACCTCTCGCTCGTTTATCCCTACTCTCGCATAGACCGCCCCCTTATCTACTAATGCCGAAACCCCCAGTTTCGAAAGACATAAAGAACAACTTGTGTATGGTCTAAAATATTTACGTCTTCGTCTTGTTGGGCAATTCCTCTTCCAATGTCCGGTTCCTCCGCAAATGTAGCATTTATTATTTCTTTCACCCTTTATTCGTAACGCTGCCACCTCTCGTTGTAATTCTTCTATCTTCTTCACGACATCATCAGCCTGTCTCTCACACGCCACCGAGGCGACTGTTGAGTTCATCAGTTGTCTTGTTACTTTCGCCAGCTCGGTGACGTCCATTGGTTGTGCCGCGTTCACCAGTCTCAACTGTTGGCCAATATCTGCAGGCACACTTTCAATGAATTGCGAGGCTAGCAGCTGTGCCTGCGACTCCTCATCCAAATTCGGCAGACCCCGGCGCAGCAATCTTGTCAACTCCACGGCCAGCACGAGTGGGTCGCCGTCCACCGACAGCCGCGCCTCTCGGAACTTCTGCAGCGCGTCCTGCCTATCCGCCGGGCTGTCGAACTCCAACAGCAGACTTTCCGTCACCGCCTTCCAGTCAGCGTCCTCCACACTATCGTACACCGCTCTCGCCCTGCCTCTTAGTAGAGTCCCCAGCACCACCGCCTTCGCCTTCCGTTCCTTGACTCCGACCAGCTCCGCCACAGCCTCGAACTCCTTCAAGAAGCTCCTTATATCTCCGCCTTCAAACTCCCGAGGCCATGGTATCTTCATCCTGTGTGGAGGCAGCGACACCAATTGAGAAGACTGAGGCAGGCTCAATAGATTGCATTTGGCAAATTTACACTCTTAGTCAATTAAAAACGATAACATTACATTGAACACTCCATTTGCACACCATCTTTGAGTCCTGACTTCCAACGCTCCAGCCTTCCTCCATTCCTGCTGTTGCTTCCTTTACTTCCTGTCGGTGCTCTAAATCTTTCTTGCTTTTGCTCTATTTGCTTTCCGTTTTCCTCTTCTGACCGTAAGACATCTTCTTTCACGTCCATTCTTATACTACTTATATCGTTCGTATAAGTAGCACACACCACAATAGTACTGATCTAACAAAATAGATACCAGTATAACAGTTGGTAATTTTATAAACTTCTAATATGTTCTAGTTTACTTTTCACTAACTTAATTTTTGACTTGATCAAATATAGAACTTCAAGATAGAAAGTGGTTTAGCCATACGTAGTGTTTGTTTCTTTCAACTATGATAACAATGTGATCTCCATAACCCCCCTTCATTAATAAAAATCATGTGCTTACTGGAGATTAACTTCATCACGAATTCCTGAAGTTCCGGTGAGAAACTATGACCATTGGAATTGAGTCTGTGTCACGTATGAGACAGTTATCAGCAACAGGCAATGGATAAAGGTTGTGCGTTCGTACGCTATGCCGAAGGTCCTAGGTTCGATTCCCGTGTGAGAGATCTTGGGTGTGCACATTTGAAGAGTCTCATACTAGCATGAAACGGCTGTCCAATGCTCCTGGAATTTTAATGGTGGTCAAGCTTATATCAGTTAGTGGTTTCAACTATGCAAACCATATAATCTCAACAAATCCTCTTGATGAATAAAAAACTGACAAATGACGACTTCGATCGTAAACATTCTAAAATAAGGAAATCTTACACAAATCTGAGAAAATAGAATAATTTTGTTAAAAGGCAGCGTAGGATCCAAACCTCAGTTTGAACTGAGAAATAACTGTCTACGTAGTTTAGATACGCGACTTGCCCCAGTTCAAATCCAAAACAAGTGATTTGGGTAAATAACGGTTCTAATATTCATCATCAATATAAATTTACACCATTACCTAAACAAATATTACCACTTAGTTATTCCACCAACAATTGTTCAATTAATCAAATCAACAGCAACAAATAAGTGTTATTCTATCCTTTCTGAACAGATCAGATTCGTTCTGGAAAAGTGCTTCAATCCATAATCAAAATGCACAGTTCCAGTCAAAACAAGCAACACAATAAAAAGAGGAACAAATCAATATGGCTGCCGCCATGACGAAGTATCAGCTTAAACTACATAAATACATTTCACAGAGAACCATAGAAACTCAGTGAAGGCAAAACAAATAGAAACTATAATAAAATACAAATATTATCATCTCAAAAATGGAATCGAGCAGATTAACAAAATGTACAAATGAATGAATCAATACGGACAAATTACAGGTGTATACTTGGAGGGATTTTTAAAAACAAAATCTTCAAAAACGGATCTTACAGACAAACTTGCAAAAAACTGAATTCTATCCCTTAATTATAACATTGCGATAAAATGTCCAAATGTCGGTAATGCTATGCGACGGAAATCGTGATAACATCATCAAAGATTTCCTCACTACCTGACCAAATTCAAAGAGTCGATATATATATATATATATATATATATATATCACGATTCGCAATCAGTTCGCAAAACATTCGTCTAACCGTTAACTACTAATCAAACTCATGTGTGTTTGTAGTAGTTTGATTAGCTCAATTGAATTATTCAAAACGAGCTTTTGATCAATGAACAAATCCAACATAAAGCTGTGTAGATAGTTTCAATCTACCAGATTATATAGACAGTTAGTTTAACTTTCAGTAGTATATTTCACCTCTATCAATAGTATATATTTATTTTTCTTTGCAAACAATCTTGATTTGTCTTAAAGGTTATAAACGAATATCAAAAAATATGCAATTTATGTATGGCTATTCATTAAAATGGATTGTATTTGCATTTTGGTGTGTGACAACACCATTGTTTTCACTTGTAAGTCACATTTGAATGTCTATTGGTTATAATGCATTGATATTTAGTTGTAAGCTGTTCTCTTCTTAAAATGATACTCGGTTTTTTATCAGGATACTACTTAATTATGATCGCTTTAATCTCAAAAACTATCTTACCTTGTCGTCATGTCTATGTATGAATCAGGAATAGCTTATTGCCGTATATACGAACTAGTAATAACCAGAAATAGTCAATTTTGTACTCTAGTAGTTACATAAAGATCAGTGCTGAACTCAAGTAAAACTATGTAAACACAAACAAGAGAATAGTATTTGAAATTCAAATCAGGCGCGAGCGCGAAATACATTATATTAGCAACACAGACAAATAAAAACGAAATTGATCATTTCAATGTAGTTATGCGGATAAAATATGTGTCAACTAATAAGAGAATGGGTTACTCCCTGTAAATGACCTACAATGATTGAGTGAGTAGCAGGTAATGATATTCGATCATAGATTTGACATTTTTTTGAAGAGATTTTGTAAACTGGGGAAAGAAAGTCAACCTGTCACATCCTCATTAAGTGAATCGTTTTCAAATAAAATTCTAAATCTTCTGTGAACGATCATTTTCACTTGTGCTTCATCATATTAAACGGATACGATAATCATCTTCACACTGATAGTGAGGACTGTAATTGACTAATAACTTTAGGTATATGTACATCCGAAGCATTTCACCCCGATATTTCCATTAAGTTGCAAGCATTATAATTAGTGATTGACAACGGAATGGCGTTTCAAGTGCAAGTACTTGGTTCAAGTTCTGGATTGAACATCAACTCTGGAATTCAGGTGCATTCAGCTGACGAGTTCTGAATAGGACAAAATGTAGGTTCTAGTTTACCCCTGTTAGCCACCTTGGCTTATAATTACTTGTCTGCAAAAGTCAAGGATTTTCCGAGTGGGAAATGTAAGCTCTGGGTCAACTGAGCAGCTTATGAGCGAAAACACAGGTCGATACGATCGTCCAGTGCTCCTTGGTTTCTAATGGTGGTCTAACATTGATCGATTCATGATTTCTTTTACAACACCTGATTGATTGATGATCGTAACACCAGTAAGAAGTTATGTCATATGTATTACATCAGTTCTTAATAAAACTAGTTGCATTTATTCACAAACACAAAGCATTATCTATATTCAATCAAATGAACAATGAACTAAGAATATATCTGTTGTTTTAATTGTATCGTTACATGATCAATAGTGATTTGAATGATTTTTCTACACCTTCCCCCAAATTAACTAATGATCTATATACATATTTTTTCCCAAAAAAAAACATTATTCTAGATTCTTTTCATTATCAGTGTTATAGTCTATGAAGAATTAACTTATAAACGTGCTTCACTTGAACAACCTTATCAATTTCCAAAATGGGCTGTAAAACTTGGTTGGCTTTTAGCTAGTTCTAGTATATTTCTTATACCAATTGTAATGATTGTAAAAATTCTAAGAACATCTGGAACATTTCTGCAGGTAATCAATACATTCTTTTTTTCTCTTGTCAAGTTCCTTAATCATGATAAGCTGATAATATACATATTGTTTATAAGTGTGTTCGATTTGAAGTCTCCTTAGTCTAACATGAGTGGTTTGATGTAAGCGCGGAATCCATTTCATGAATTGTCACATACTGAAAATAATAGAAAGTACCAGACTATTGGACAGACAGGAACGAATGTCATCACTTTGTTTGACTTTCATTCAGATTGTTTTGTAGTTTGAATAATTCTGTTAGTTAGTGTATTTCAGTGAATTCTTGAAGGAAAAATATCAACTTACTAATCTATACCTGTTACCCCTTGTGGAGCATAGACCGCCGATTAGCATTCTCAAACCTACTCTGTCCTCCGCTTTCCTTTCCAGTTTTTCTCAATCACTATTCATACTTTTCGCGTCTATTTTTGATTTTCGACACACTATGTTGTTTGGTCTACCTCTCTTCCTTTGAATTTGAGGGTTACGAGTTAGAGCCTGCCTTGTGGGGCAGTTGGGAAATTTTTGCAATGTGTCCTATCTACCTCAAGTGCTTTCCTTAATTTCTTCTTCAGATGGAAGAATCTGGTATGTTCTCTGTCTGCTACAGTAGGTTGTTGTTGATGGTTTCTGGTAATCGAATCCACAGTATCTTGCATAGAAAACTGTTAATAAACAGCTATTTCTTTTGGACGATTACTTTCGTGGTTCTCCACCTTTCCTCTAGATACAATAGAATATCTGTCTTGTCGTTTGTACTGAAAATTATCACTTCAGTGTTTTTTAACAGACAGTTGTATTGAGTTACAAATGTTTTTGTATTGTAAAAATGCCTTGAGCAGAATCTTGAAGAACCAAGCCATCATCTAAAAGATACAATCTATATTGGCAGTTATCTACACAAGATACTGCGAAACCGATAACCAGACACCTTGAGTAACAACCTACTCTTCTAGAGGACAAACTAACCTCTAGCCGAGGAAGAAATTAGGAAAAAGCACTAGAGCTGGATGGGACAAATTGCAGGCAAGCCCTTACCTAGAACCCTGAAGGCCTAAGAAGAAGGAGAAGACCATAGAACACATTATCCTGAGAATTGTAAGCAGTCGTTAAAAACGACTGGATAGCAATTCGCTAGAATTGGAAAGGAAGGTCTAGGACAGAATTGTTTGGAGTTTATGTCTTCAGAAAATATCATCTACAACCGTATTTTCATAAGTTACTTTTTATGTTTCATCTAATCACGCCACACCATTTCAACTGTCTCATTTTCTTTGCTTGTTTTTTAATTGAAGAGGATTAAAAAACTATGTATTCCTACCATTGAGAATATCGATGAACATACAATGACTGCAGGTAATGATTCCTTTTTTCTTTTTTGATTCTGTTTTGTGAAATAAAATTGTAAAACACTTTTATTCATAGGAGTTCATAGTAATCGACTATGATCTAGAAATGATAGTGAATTTCCGAATTTCGGTAAAATCCTTTTGAAGTAGCACAGTTGTAACTTATTTATTGACATTAAAGAGTTAAGTTTTTATAAAAACGTCAAAGTATGTGTTGCTGCATAACGTAATCTAAAGGTAATCTTTATACGGAAACATTTGTCAACATTGTCATTGACTACAGAAGCTATTTAATTAACCGACTAATATCCTGTAAGTCTCAACATGCATCAGCCAAATCACACTAGAAGGATAAGCTTAAGAAGATATAAGAACCTGTACATATATGAGCAGGGTGGATCTGATGCAGATGTGAAGGCGCGGATCGTTGAAATAAGGGCAACATCCCTACAATCGAAAAACATCCGGAACTGAAAACACTTATCAACCAATACCAATGTCACAATTTTCACTACAAATGTCAAGACAGTTCTGTTGTATGGGGAAGAAACTTTGTGAACTACCAATGCTATCATCCAGAAAATACAAGTATTTATGAACAGTTGTCTACGCAAAATACTTAGGATTTGTTGGCTGCACATTACCAGGAGCAGCCTAATGTGGCAGAAAAAAAACAGATTCCAGAGGAGGCAGAAATCTGAAAGAAGCTCCGGAAGTGAATAGGACACACGTTTCGGAAAGCACCCAACTGCGTCACAAGACAAGTCCTCAGTTGCATTCCTCAATGCCAAAGGAAACGAGGAAAACCAAGAAGCATATTAATCCTAGAGATGGATATAGATATAGAAAGAATGAACAACTATGGGTTGGAACTTGAAAGGACGGCGGAGAACAGAATTAGTTAGAGAGTACTAGTCGGCGGCCTATTCTCCACTGCGGATAAAAGGGGTAAGTAAGTTAGGTTGAAAGAGAGAAAGATAGACATACGCGCTATCATGTTCAACTTGATAAAAGATAACTCTCAGGGTTACAGTTGAATGATAAACAAAGGCAGATATACAATGTACATAATAACCGATTGGATCAAAATGATTTATCTGTCTAGAAATAATGATCAGATCATTTAAACGTAAACTCAGTGTCAATGACCCAAATATAGTACTCAGCAGAAGATGTTTCGTAATCCACTGGGATTATAAATCAATTTGTTAATTGTTCCATTAATTTGTAGGAATATCATAATGCTGACCAATATAGTATAAAAATTATGTACTTTGGTGACTGAGGATCTGACTCTAATTTAGACGAACGATAGAATATGCTATGAAGTGAATCTTCTACTCAATTTCTATATATTACGTTTAGGACAGACAGATAGATACAACGCAGAACTTCTTACGTAAGTACATCAGTTCAGGTTGCCATACCACATCAGCACTGAGACGCAACTACCAGTTCAAACCCAAGATTGATAGTGATAGTAGAAGTATTAGCATTATTGGAGAAGATTAAAGAGTGAAGATATGATTTGAGAAGTATAGTTCAGTGAGATAAGGTTAGAAAGAGAAAGATAGAAATGATGAGGAATTCAGAAGGTTAGAATTAGAGAGAACACAAAGGGTGGATGCACCTGAGCCATTGCAAACGATTCTGAGCCATGTCATTCAAGGTCTCTAATCATCGGTCTCGCGGACCCCAACCGGTTAGCCTACATCTACCAACGTGACTCAGTCCACTAGTCAGTGACTTCATGGATTTCTGCCATGTTTTGGTTTGTCCGCCCCTAACTTTCTTCCAACCTACTCCTACATCACAAAACATAGCTCGTCGAGGCAGTCGGTGGTTAGGCATTCGTAACACATGTCCCAACAACCTCAACTGATGAAGTTTTACCACTTCATCAATTGATCTGCCATCGTTACCTAGTACTTGTTTCCTAACTATAGCATTGCTTACTCGGTTGTCCCAGGATACACGGGCAATGCTTCGGAGACTTGGACGATCGAATACTAGTAACCTACGAAAGTACTCTACTCTTACAGGGCATGTTTCACAGCCATATAATAGGACGAATCGAACTGCTGCAGAGTACACTGGTCGTTTGGTTAGCAAGCGGATATCTCGCCTTCGCCATAAGTGACACAGGTCGGCAAAAGCCAATCGAGCCTTTTGTATCCGTTCTGAGATTTCATCAGTCACCAGGGCATCAGCACTGATGAGACCCCCCAGATACGTGAAGCCGTGAACCTCGTTCGTGCTATGGTGGTAATAAGAAACTAACTATGAATTCGATGGGATGAGTTTATTTCATGCAATCGCTGACACAGACAGACATGATAATAAAAAGTGTAGAAGTTAATAGAAGTGAAGTGGAGAAGGTGAGTGGATCAATCCCACCTGGATGAGGCATGACTAAGTATATAAGGACACACAAAAATAGGCTAGACATGTGACAACGAAGTAAGCAATCCACATACACTTGAATAAAAACAATCATGATATAAGCGAATAAATGACAAGCCAGAAAGACGTATACATAGTATAACTCGGGCAGAAAGGATTGATTAGTTTGTCCAAATGCTGTGACAAGCCATTTAAGCTCAGCATACTGGTACATACACTACAGAATACATAACTGTAGAATCTAATACAGTTATCAAGAACTGTTCACTTGACTATTCTTTCTGTGGATTGCTCTATGTAGAATTTTTAATATAGGTCATCAAAACAACTGATGATATTGAACTTTCTTCTACCAAATCAAAGAACAACTACATTTTGTGCATCGCGACACTGTTTTATAAAGTGTTACTTAACTATTCATAAATAATCATTTTTTTTTAAAATTTCTATTCACAGAATCAAATGAAATTGTTGGTCAAACGCGAGTTATCGATTCATGAAATAATGAAATTTAGCATTTTTCCATCATCCTAGTCCTTAACACACTTAACAAATGTCTCAGGATGAAATGTGGCAATAAAAATTAATAACTTTTCACAAATATTTTAATGAACTTCAATTTTTTTTCTAAGAGATTTAAAAATAATCCATTAATTTCCCAGCTTACTTTTCAAATGAATATCAAACCAACTAGAATTCAAAGTTCAATCTTTGATTCATTGAACAATGAACAGATTATGTTATCATTTTATTTGCGAAGTGTACAAAAAAAATACATTTTACTCAGACATTTTATATGATACAAGTGTGATTTTGATTTATAGATAGATCCTAACCTCATTACTTAAATATTTGCATTAATTAAAAATTAATCAGATTTTTTAAATGGTGACAAGACAATGAGGGAATCTATCATAAGTTACATGTTTTGAAAAAATCTTCTTTGGTGATATTTTTATTATCTTTCAGTATTAGTATATTTATTAGTTATAAAAATGTACACAAATAATGGTTGACAGTTCAGTGTAACTTTGTCTGTTCAATTTTAGCTACAAATAAATAAAAGAGCTTATTTTTGTGTTTCACTTAAATCACGTTATTAAATATAAAAAAGACTGTTATGTAATTCACACGGGTTTTAATTATTTGTGAAATTTATAAATTGTATTTATTTTTTGATAAATAGAATTCCGTGTTACGTGAATTAGTTGATGATAGTACTAAGAAAAACATGACAATTTAGAATTTCGAACCACACTACAATCATCCATCTGAGCTACGAATTTTCTCCCCCTCTCACAAAATCATATCAGAGTATTCTTTGGTTTTCCTGTTTTCCGTTGAAAGCGATAAACTTGAGATCAACTAGTGATATTGTTATGCATGCACGTAAACACGTCATTTCATGTGCTTGAACTATTATGAGTTTATGTTAGTCGGAAAACGAGAGCGAGGATCGAGGACCCGGTGACACGACAGGCTACTCTAATCCTTATGTCCCAACCCCTATAATGAGTTAAAGAAGAAGACTTGACCTGAATTAAAACCTGTATTCTACAAGCATCCAGAAAGTAAGAAGTCCAAGTCCAGAAGAGAATCAGGATCCCAGAATTGGGGATCCGAGTCCGGGACATAAAACGTTGCGGATAATGGGTATTTATACAGTTAGGTTGATTATGAAACAAGATTGAAGTCTGTGATATTCATAGTTAGGACGACCAATAGGAATTGACCAAAAGAATTATACTTACAAACAATTATCTTGGAACAAATATGTTATTCAGTTTACAAGAATGATTGATTTTCATCTCAAGTTAGAATCTAACAACGAAGTACCAAAAACAGTGGATGCAAGATAAATAAACACCTTTTGATATCAGGTGAAAATTATCTTCTTTTTCATTCATCAAAACTTTCAGCCCCGCCGAAAACATTTAATAGAAGTTGTTGTGAGATGACTAGAGTTTTAGTTATATCCTCAGTCCGTCATGGCTCAAAATGTATTCGGAATAGTAATTTCTTGAAATCTGCAATGTGCCACTCTGAAAACGATCTGTTATGTGGATAATCACAGTCATTGGAGGAACATAAATTGTAGTAAAAATATTTGTTTGCCTACATCGAAGAAGATCGATCATACCCATCGGTTTATACTTTTACAAATAGGAGTACTTACTAACCATCTCCTGTTACTCCCAACGGAGCATAAGCAGCTGACCAGCATTCTCAAACCTACTCTGTCATGGGGCCTTACTTTCTAGTTCTGTCCAGGCGGAATTACAAGTAGGAGTAACAAAAGTGAAAACGGTCAGTTAGTAAATCAGCGGATGTACAATTGATTTATCTATTGCAGCTTTTTGCTGGTTTCTTATGACGCATGATTCGCTGCACTACATCACATGCCTGAATCTAACGTGGAATATTTTGAATTAAATGATTGTAGACAGATAAAATTTAGTTTGTCTGCGAGTTCTCTTTTCCTCATACTGACACCGAATATTATCAATATGTAATAAATGGATACACCCTTATAACATTACTGGCTTTAAAGTTACCTCAAGTAGGAAATCACCAGGGATAATGGTTTGTTCAATTGAACTACCGCCAGAAACTACTAGATTATCTTCATGATATCTTGGTTTAGGTTAGATTACTTGAATTCAGCCAAATTATACATCTGCGACTAGATCTTATGAACATAATTTTAAAATTTTTAACTTCATTACCTTTTCGTTTCCTTGATTTCAAGGACAACAAAATTCAAATTAGTTACGCCAAACGAAGTAGACAAAATATCCAAGCTTAGTTGAATGACGGATCAGTTTAGTCCCGTTATAACCGTTGTTTCAGAAGTGTTGCTAGTTATATATAGCGAGAATTTCTCAAACGTTACAGTAGACATCTGTATCGAAAGTGATAGGGTCATAAATTGCAAGGGAGGAGGGGAAAGTTTTTGTGTTATAGATCACTTTAGTGTACAATCTAGTACATCTGAAATGCATTATATTGGTATATGTGGATTCGAAAACGTACGGACTCCATAGTAAGGTACATCTTCGAACCAGGTACAAGGCACCAACATGAGAGCTATCAACTCGTAAGATTTCAGTTGACACTATTAGAGTGCGTTATTTAAAAATCCATTCGAGAACCGGATTCTTTCTGAGTAGTTAAGCTCTAAAATAGGTTTTTAACGCGTCCCAAACTTTATTATAGCTTCTGAATGTAGTTGTACTCTTAATGATGGAAAATGGTTAATGGTGGACTGCCCTGTGTCCAAACGTTCGATTATTTCCTAATCAAAAGTTAGCTGTGTCTTTGCAATACCCCAGAATTGTCTTAACGATATCCTTAAGCAAAAAGCGACTCAACCTAGAAGAAATTTTCCTGGAAAATGTACTACACGCAGTAGCATTAAGTCCATATTCTCCAACCGATCTAGAGTGCGACAACCCCTGACAACTACTAATCCTACTGAAGACTAGTAAACACGAGTAAATTCTTTAACACTAACCTAGTTCATTTCTCCCTCTATTGCTAAAAGCATTCTATCCGGTCAAGTATGCATAATAAGGCTGAAATGCCAAACAGTACACAGAAAATCAACAACGCTAACCTTCATGGTCATTCACCTGGTGGTCCTAAACACAACCACAGTCACCACACATTTTACAACCAGAGAATCTCTCCTTAGGAAAAAATACGTTTTTTTAACGCTAACCCACTCAACAGCGATGTTTCGCCACAGGTGACCATTTTTAGTTGTAATGACTTCATGTATAGTCCCTCTGGTCGACAACCAAATGCATCACCCATCGACTTAACCTACCTCACTTCAACTATTCCAGTGGGTCTAAGAAAAGAACCTTCGTAATTCTCCCCAACGATTACAACATCTCTTTCTCGAGGATCGTTTGTTAATTTAGTACAACGGTATCGTCCGTACTCTACTTCACATGCTTATCGCCCATTGTTCGTAAATCAAACAGTCGTACATATGAAGCATACACTCCCACTTCCAGTTCCTCTCCCTGGGACATAACAAATAACTATTCAGATGACGCCATGCCTCAATAATAGATAAATACTAAATTAGTGCCCTATTTTTAACCTATAAGATGACTCATCTAAACTCCATGGGAATTGTAACCAAACCCTCACTTCTCCTGAAAACCGAAGGTTGGTCGTTCCAAGCTATCCTTGACAACCTATGAACTCTCCTTCTGTGAACGAAACCCTTCAAATAGTTGTGGTTGTACATCCACGCACAAAATTTTGGTGAAAAGTCGTGAATAAAGTGCCTAATCCCAAAGGACCTACTTTATATGCTTATTAAAATAAAATGCTGAATGGATGAGTATACCGAGCTCCAACACTCTTTGATTGATTGACACTAATATCAGTGAATTATATGCATGGGCTGCTTCCCTTGAACCAGCCTGCAAAATAGTTTATCGTCACTTTAACCTCCCTGAAATTAACAGGCACATACATTCTGGTCCATTGCGTTTATAAAACACACTTAGTTCCTTGGACACTCATGGATGGCAACAGCATGTGCACCTGCTTATAATGTACGGCTTGATACTTTGTCACGATGTCATACAGATATCCGTGGTGGATGGCAAAAATCTCACAACGGCGATCATGAGATAGTCCTATGCATCTTACCTTACATACTTAATTGCTTACGCCTGTCACCCCCAATGAGGCATGAGCCAACGACCAGTATTCGCCAACCTCTGTCCCAGACCTCTCTTTTCAATTCTGTCCAACCGTTTTTCTCCCTGTCTATCTCCATTTCTTAGCTTAATTTTTTTCTTGGCCTTCCTCATTTCCTTTGACCTTGAGGGTTTCATATGGAAGGGTTTCTTTTGACGTAGTTGGGTGCTTTACGCAGTGTGTCCTATCCACTTCCAGCGCTTCCTTCTGATTGCCTCCCCCACTGGAATCTGGTTGAAAATGCAAAAAATGCAAAACAACATAGACACTACGAATATGCTGACTTGGAAAGATTCCAATTTCTAATTCAGCACTCCGACTGGAATTCGTACGGACCGAACTGCACGCAACATTATGGATCATTGTTTAACAGTCGGTGGAACGGGATCCACCACTTCACATCAACTTCCTTGACTATGGAAAAGCATTTGATAATACCGACAGGATGATACTACGGACACTTCTTCGACACTGTGACATTCCTGAGAAGATAATCGACATCAAACGGAATTCTCACAAAGGAATGCGTTTCAAAGTTGAGATTGAGGGACAGTTCAAAATGTAAGTCATTTTTACTCTCACCCTCTCTATTTCTGATGATGGCCCACTGGTTTATGAAGACGTCAACGTCTCAATGGAAGTAAAGAATATGGTGGTTAACATGGGTGCAACTGGACGATTTACGCTTCTCAGATGATCTGGCTCTTCTCAACCTCACGCATGAAATGTGTTCAATGGGGTTACGTCACTTGTCGGGTTCTTTACTAATTCAGATTTTTCCCACCCTGTTCTTTACAATACTCTTGCATACAAAGTACCTTCATGTTAGATGCAAGCCTACCGAATGTTGAGTGGTACAATTATAAGAATCAAACTTTTTTAAATGTTATCTTCCACCCTATACCTATATACGTGCTGAAAGGAACAAACAGTAAACAATTGTAAAACAACAGTGATTTATGAGATTTGTTTATTCGTATCAGGAACTTTAGCTCAGATTTCTCGGCGGGCCTTCGGGATTTGTAAAGTTACAGCTGTTTCGCGAATGCCCAGTATTTCTGAAAGTAATGCGTCTGAAATCCTCGAGGTTTTCGAAGAATGCCAACTTAATAATTTGTCACATGATCGTTTGTGTATCAAACTGAAAAATATTTATGACAACGTAAGTTGGGAAGCTTGTTACTATCATATAATTTCTTTATATAATATATACCATTCAAATTTTCTGTTAAATTTATTCTGATTTTTGCGTTTATTATGTTGAAAAGTAGCATTTTAGGCATAAAAGCTATTCTATCTTTGATCCTCATTCATTATAGTGCTTTATAACTAACCAGGTGTCGTAACCAGTTGTCGCTACACAACGCCGTACCTTTGCATTTTGTTTGTCGACCAGCATTGATTCATTCACCAAGTCATAACCCGTAACATTTACTAGAGTTTAAGGCCTATCTTCGTAAGGGTCCTCGAACTTTAGTAGGTGGAACAAGTTTAAATCAAAAATCTAGTTAGCAAACTAAAGTACCTTAAAAACTAGGTTCTCATACCCGCTGGAGTGGTAGGTGTTTGCTAGGTTATATTTTGAGATAGCGAGTAGTCTGCTTGTTCTGTGCTAGTTAGATGTAACTTAGTTGACTGGTATTTTCAGCATGAAAAGTATCTTTTAACGAATCCTAACTTATCCGATTTTGTTGGTTGATGTTTTATAGTTACTCACTTCATATAGTTGTAGGCGATTGATAGTGATCAGTAGTGTTTAACTTACAGACTACTACAAGCAGCTTGGTAATATTAAATTTTTCTCTGTAAATTTTACATTTTCATTTGTGTGAGTTATTTTCTCAAGGATTATGACTAGGGTAGATTAGTTAGCTTAGTAGGCATGTAATGTTTGTGCCATTAGATAAGATTGATTTATTTTAAATGAAAGCCAAATTGGATTGTTCAAATCTAGGTTATCTTTAACGTCTTCGTGTTGTTAGTTTGGCTGTAAAGACTGAATCTGAAACGCTTCGTTTAGAGCAGTTTTGTTCTATGCTTGTAAGACCTCGCCTTTTCGAGTTGAGGATGTTGAGTGACCCTCTGTTTGATTAGCATTGTCTCTGAAGGATTGCTGACATTCAGTAATAACATCATGCTAATAATTCAGAGGTTCGGCAACGTGTATTCAGTTGGTTTTACGATCTCCAAACATTGACTTCGGCAGTGGTTAGAGGAATGACGGAGGTGGTCAGTGTATGATATGATATTGTGGTAGGAAGGAAAGCTGTACGCTGTCGTTAAATGACTAAATAACACTGTTTACTGAATTAATTTACACTCATATGTTGGCTAGATTATAGGCTTTGTTTGATGTTTCTGTCATCAAACCAGGATTTATAGTATTCGTCAGTTAGCAAATTTTAACTACACAGTTCAAAGACCATTTGATTGTTATCATGTACATGTTGAAGTTTACTATTTATACTTACTATTCCTCTATTTCATTCCTGCTTCCTATACTGTATTTATTTATCTTTCATCTCTTTTTTTCACGTTCATTGATGCTACTATTATTTCATGGAGACCTTGAATGACGTGTCTCAAAACCGTTCGCAATGGCGCCGGTGTATTTATTCTTTGTGTTCTCTCAAATCCTAATCTTCTGGATTCTTCAACCCCTGTAGTTTTGACCTTCTAAACTTTTCTCACTGAATCATAATTCTTGAATAATATCTTCTAATCCTAACCTCTCCGATTACTTCTAATTCCCTTACTACCTCTTCTACTATTGGATTTGAATTGACAATTATATCTCTGTGCTAATGTTGTATTGCAACATGAACTGATGTACTTACGTACGAAATTCTACGTTGCATCTTACTGACTGACTGACTATTATTTCAACGGCTTGGTTACTCTTTGCCAGTTTTCTTTCCCATTCTACTGATATAATATGAGATGGTGGAGAAAATTTGTAGCTCAGGTGAATTATTATGGTTGTGTTTCGTTTTCTTAGCTGGCTATTTTGGTTGTCCCTTGGTTTTTCTTGTATTGGTTGTAAGTAATCTTTTTTCTTTTTCATTTCGTTATGATGATCGTTATTGTTTTTTTTTTTTCGGTTTCATAGACGCGATTTACACATTTCGCCGATGATTTCTTTGAACTTTGTCGTTACAGTTTAGTATCCAGTGAACGATCTATCTATCGTGAAAGAACAATTGATTTTATTACAAAATTTGTTTTGTTTTGTGGAAAATCTGATGATAGTAATCAAGATACGCTGAATAATCGTTTATTGTTAAAACTTTTCTTATTTTGTATTAAAGTAAGTCTATTTGTTTATCTGTCATTCGTAGAATTTTATAATTCTTTTTACTGATGACCATTAATTTTTGTGTCAGGGTTTTTTTTCGAAATTATTCACTGTTTAACCGTTATTCTTAGATTGATCAGAGTTAGACATTGACACCGCTGGATGTGGGCTCAACCTGCGTCACCTATGGCGAAGGCGAGATATCCACTTGTTAACCAAAGGTCTAGTGTACTGTGCAGCAGTTCGCTCCGTCCTACTAAATGGCTGTGAAACATGGCCGTTAAGAGTAGAGGACATTCGTAGGTTACCGGTTTTCGATCATAGGTGTCTTAGAAGCATTGCTCGTATATCCTGGGACAACCGAGTAAGCAATGCTGTCGTTAGGGAACGAGTACTAGGTAAGGATGGCAGATCAATAGATGAAGTAGTGAAACTTCATCAGTCGAGGTGGTTGGGACATGTGTTGCGTATGCCCAACCACCGACAGCCTCGACGAGCTTTGTTTTGTAGTGTAGGAATAGGTTGGAAGAAAGTTAGGGGCGGCCAGACCAAAACATGGCAGAAATCTATGAAGTCATTGACGAGTGAACTTAGCCATGTCGGCTGACAATGGTGCAGAGGTTAAGCCGTTCGTGCGCAAGACCAAAGGTCCTAGGTAACGAGTAGTGAGTAGTAGGATTCGTGGATGCGTACTGGCGCTGATGAGTCCTACACCAGGACGAAATGGTCGTCTTTCAGTGCTTCCAGGTTTCTAATGCTGGTGTAACAATGATTGATTCTTGATTTCTAGGTAAAACTACCGTCTCCGTGACATTGTAATCCATAATGAGTATAAGTAGCAGAACTACATGTAAAACTACGTGATATGATTTAAAAATAAAATAGCTCTAATATTGATTTTTCTCAAAAAGAGACGAGACATGAACCAAATAGCAAATCACAAAATGTTCTTAGGCCAGATCATCACATGAAACCTGAAAGTATTGTTTAGATGACCGATTCTTCTTACTATGGAACTCATCTGCAGTACGCATCAATCAATCATCACCTAGCGTGAAACTGAAGGTCCTGGGCTCGAACCCAGTGGGCAGGGGTCGTCGATGCACATTGTTGATGGGTCCTATGCCAAGATGAAACGGCCGTATTTCAGTGCACCTTGGTTTCTAATGGTGTTCTAACAGTGGCTGATTCATGATTTCAGTGTGTTAGTTAGGGATGTTGTATTAGTGTTTACCTGTTTAGTTAATCTTAGTTACTGAAATTTGAAAACTGTCAAGTTCAATTAGTTATCATAAGTAAGTATTCATTTTGATCTGTAATCAGAAGTAGATTACTTTTTTTTAACAATTTCCCTTGAATTTATGGGAAATGCATTTCGAATTGATTTATTTTAGACTGACTTAGTGAAGACTGAATAGATGTTTTTCTCAATTCTTAACAATTACAATATATGAATACATATTGTAATGAAATTACTTGTTTTGCAGCAGAACTATGTTTGCAACGCATAATCAAACACCAATTTGTCATTGTTCACGACTTGATTAAAGTTTGTTTAATCTTACTGTACGACTTTTTCTATTGTTATCTATAGTCTATTTTTTTCTGGTTAGCGTTTTTTTGGCAAGTTAGTTTTTGACGGAATGGGGTCGCCAACCCCATGTCCAACCCTCCTCCTTTACCCGGGCTTGGGACCGGCAGTAGCCCCGAAGGTTCTACTGGCGAAGTTGCTTACTCTCACCCTTTCTCTTTCTCCTGGTCATCGACTGGATTATGAAGACGTCAACAGCTGGAGGGAAGCACGGTATCAACTGGACAGTTAGGACGCAGCTGGACGATCTGGACTTCGCAGATGACCTGGCTCTTCTATCTCACACTCAACAACAAATGCAAGAGAAGACGACCAGTGTAGCAGCAGCCTCTGCAGCAGTAGGTCTCAACATACATAAAGGAAAAAGCAAAACTCTCCGATGCAACACAACATGCACCAAACAAATCACTCTTGACGCAGATGCCTTGGAGGACGTTAACACCTCTACGTATCTTGGCAGCATCATCGACAACCAAGGTGGATCGGACGCAGATGTGAGGGCACGGATTGGCAAAGCAAGGGCTGCATTTCTACAGTTGAAAAATATCTGGAACTCCAAACAACTTTCAACCAAAACCAAAGTCAGGATTTTCAATACAAATGTGAAGACAGTTCTACTGTATGGAGCGGAAACCTGGAGATCTACCAAAGCCATCATCCAGAGGATACAAGTGTTTATTAACAGTTGTCTACGCAAAATACTTCGGATTCGTTGGCCAGACACCATCAGCAACAACGAACTGTGGGAGAGAACAAACCAGATTCCAGTGGATGAGGAAATCAGGAAGAAGCTGTGGAAGTGGATAGGACACACATTGCGGAAAGCACCTAACTACGTCACGAGACAAGCCCTCACATGGAACCCTCAAGGCAAAAGGAAAAGAGGAATGCCAAGGAACACGTTGAACCGAGAAATAGAGAAAGATATGAGAGGAATGAACAAACATTGGACAGAACTGGAGAGAGAAGCGCAGGACAGAGTTGGTTGGAGAAAACTGGTGTGCGGCCTATGCTCCATTGGGGGTAACAGGCGTAAGTAAGTAAGTAAGTATCTATAGTCTAGATACGACGTTAAAGAATACAAAACAGTGAATTTGAAACTGGTTTCTCGTAATATGATTTATACGAAAATGTAAATTTGTAATAATCGCTTTGTTAACGTTGTCTAACCAAGATTGGTTATGTAAAATCTTTAACTCCGTGTATGGTCGCTTAAGTACTGCTCTTCGACAGTTTGTAAATAAGTTTAGCTAACTCAACCACCATGGCTTCTTCAACAGGTCTTATCTCTGACACAAAGGTCACTTTCGTTTCAAGCTGAATCTTTAACTTGCAATAATACTAGACTTATACATTAGAGTCGTGTTTATTTCTACTGTATTATGACTTACAAAAACAAATCAAAAACATGGAACATATATATATATATATACCCGGTATTTCGATCTGCAGATCCTCTTCTCTCTAGTAGCAATTTCTGAGTTACGCTCCACTACATCCCAATTATATACCATTGTAATTAGCATTCACTACGATACGATGTTATCTTATCCACAGTTTACCCCGATCGTAGCTGTTACCTTAACGTGATGGTCGAGCTTGCTTATCATGATGACCCAACCGAGCTATGCTGGCTGGAACATATGTTCCAGTAGGTTTTACTATACCAAGCAAGTCGACTGGAGAACGTTAAGACTAAAAGCAACAACTCAAAGTTTGAGGGCGAAGTTGTACTACTGACTGTAAAGGAGTGTGATAGCAGTAAAGTGCTTCCTTCGGGAAAGCAACATCTGCAACGATGCCACCTTCCCACAAGGAAGACAAGGGGTTTGAAAAGTTGGACCATCGAAATGTCACACGTCATCTTACCCGACGGTTTACCTTCTGCGTTGGTAAGGCCATTTGAATAGCGGAGCTAACATTTCCAAAACATCCCATAAAAGGCCGTATGTAACCGGACTCTAGTAGTTTTCCGTTGGACTCTGTGGTTATACTTCCAGGCCGTTAACATTAACGTAAATCCGATTTCCTTTTCAGGTTTCTCAGGAAGAAATGCCCTTTCACCAGGGTGTGGGCAGCCGGAAAGTGACACTTGCCCTCATACTGATAACAGTGCCTGAGACCAAATTGGTTACAATCAAAACTACGGTTTACACAACTTCCCTATATATGGCATACAAATCAATATAAAAGTTATCATACCGTAAAATGTCCTAGATAGCTCCTAATATATTTCTATGTTCTGTAGTAATGTATTTTACTTCCTGCTCCAGATGTATTGAGTTAATTAATATGCCTGCATGATCTTTCATACTACTCAATTTGTTATCATATTGTATTTATACTTATCTATTATTGGTTTACTCTTTAAATTAGTACAATGAATGCCCGAATCCTGCTGTACGTTTTCGATGTATGCAAATTATTCACAAACTATTGGATGGTATTGGAGATAATGGAATAATGCCTGAAGAATTATATAGGACATTGCAAAATATATTACTTCGTCGTGTTTATGATACAAAGGTTAGTTGACTGTTTTTACCTGCGTGTGTATGTGTGTGTGTTTATTAGAGAGTAGCAAATTTGTCCGATTGTGATGAATATAAAGGTTTTTCAATAAGGTATCCGTTCGGTAAACAAAGTACAAGTCTACTGATCCACAGTTCAGTCCGTCCTACTTTACAGATGTGAAACATGGCCAGTCAGAGTAGAAGATATTCGTAGGTTACTGTTATTCGATCATCGGTGACTTCAAAGCATTGCTCGTATATCCTGGGACAATCGAGTAGGCGGTGCAGTTGTTAGGGAAGGAGTATTAGGTAGGGATGGCAAGTCAATTGGTGAAGTAGTGAATCTTTATCAGTTGAGGTGGTTGCGACATGAGGTACGCATGGCTAACCACCGACTGCCTCTTCTAGCTATGTTTTGTGGTGTAGGAGGAGTAGGTTGGAAGAAAGCTAGGGGCGGCCAGACCGAAACATGGCAGAAATCCATGAAGTCACTGACAAGTGGACTTAGTCATGTTGGTAGATGTAGGCTACCTGGTTGGGGTCGGCGAGGCAGTAGTAACCGATGGTTAGAGACTGAATAAGATGGCTGAAAATCGTTTGGAATGGCGCAGATGCATCCATTCTTTGTATTCTATCAAATTATGATATTCTGAATTCCTCAGCACCTTTATCTTTCCCTTTTTTAAAAATTTATTTCACTAGATTCTACTTCTTAAATAACATTTTCAAACCTTAATCTTTTCAATTACTGCTTATACTTCTACTAATTCTACCACTATGTGATTTGAGTTGACAATCGCATCTGTGTGCTAATGTGGTATGTACGTACGAAGTCTTAAGTTTTTGCTGACTGATAGCTTCAAAGATGTTTTAATTAACTACGTATCTCTTTGTGATGGTGTTTAGTTCTCTGAGCTGGTTGTTTTGGTTGTGGAGCTTTCATTGTTCTTCTGAACAACATCATCAGCACAAACTTCAGATAAAATTGAAGCATTCGAATTTCTTCACGTTTGACCTGTAGCTTGTTCTGTTAACCTCGATCTTGATTGGTCATCCATTGATCGTCCACCTGAGCTAAAAATTTTCTCCACGTATCTCTTTAACTATCGATATAATAAGATGGATTACACTTGTCACATTTCCAGGTCTTATTTTACTACTTGGACAATCGAACTCCTCAACGATAAACAGTGTTTCCTAATCTTTTATTCAGTTACTTAGATGTATAAGCATTAGCACAAAGACGCACCTAAACATTTATGCGCCACACAAATTATTGAGTCTGCAAGTGGGCTGGGTTATCGTTCAAGTACTCAAATCGAAGCAGGTGGTTTTGTTTGGGAGCCACTCACAAAGCAGTGGAGCATCGTTAGGATATGCAATCTTACGGTGGACGGCAACCAACAGTAGGTTCATACACCATTTATTCTCAGGATCACCGAACCCATATGGACCATTAGTTTAAAATAAAGGTCTTCCAACTCTTTTAGGTTGTTCCTGCGTACCCACCAACCAGATTTAAGCTTTGGTCGGACAGTGGCTTGTCGTCTTCTTGATTCGGTAAACAATATCGTTGCCACGAGAAGGCAGTGAATAGAACTTTTGTGGCAGTAATTATATACGCGTGGTCATATGAAAGCATTTGGTGGGGAGGGAGAGTAGACTCTGCCTAATCTCGGTCACACCAGCTTATTTGCCAGCAAATATGTTACTGAACAGTAATCGGCAGTAATTATTGACTTCCAAGTTTAGCTTTGTGAAAAGAAAACTATTTATATTGATCATCACTCTCACGTACATCGATTGCATGTATGTGTTTTATAGATTTAAGGCGTTCATATACGCTTATTATTTTCAATCTTGTTTAATGTCATTGATCTTAAAACACTTTCTAAAGTCATGACTAGTAGTAGCCTTTACATACTGAAAAAAAACCAAAATTCATTACATTTTCGTAATCAATCGGTACTATCAATTTGTATTTATAGCTTGTGTTTAAAGTTTTCATGTCAGATTCCTGTTTGTTAAATTTCTTTGAATAAGACTACTTCAAAATACATGACGCTTGTACATACTACATACGTACAGTTACAACGTAGAACTTTGTACGTGCGTACATTAGTTAAAGTTGTTATACCCCACGGTAGCGCAGAGATGTAATTGTCGATTCAAATCCCATAGTGGTAGAGATAGTAGGAAGTATAAGCAGTAATCAAAAAGATCACAGTTCGAAGATATTATTCAAAAAGTATAATTCAGCGAAATAAATTTGAAATGAGAAAGATGAAGGTCATGAGGAGTTTAGATTAGAATTTGGGAGAACACAAAGAATGGATGCATCCCTGCGCTATTGCAAGTAATTTTTAGCCACAAACTCTCTTGATTGTAGCTTCAGTTGAGTAGTAGTCATCAAGAATAGTTGTCATCTCTGAACTAATGATTCCATTTGAAACCTATTCAATTTTAACGAAATTGACCATTTTTACTCCACCGAAGGATGGCAGTTGTAATCTTCCTTTCATGTGGTATACTTTATATAGGTAACAGTACGAGTTGAAGCAATTCAAGCACTTTCTCGTATGCAAGATCCAACCGATTCTGAATGTCCTGTAGTAGAAGCATTTATATGGCTTACACGACATGATCCTACGGCTGAGGTTCGTCGTGCAGCATTAGCAGCAATGGTTTTGACTACTCGAACATTACCAAGTTTAGTTGAACGATGTCGTGATTTGGCTGATAATGTACGTCGTGCTGCTTACAAACTATTAGCATCTCGAGGTATTTTACGACCATTATCAATTGCAAAACGTATTCGTATTTTACAAGATGGATTATCTGATAGATCGGGTAAGTACAGTTTTTTCTAAAATTCTAAAATATTTGGTTTATACCTATTGTTATTAAATTCGGCTTCTTTTGTGTGTGTGTGTGTGTGTGTGTGCGTATAAAGAATGTATGCTACGTTTTCACGTTTATTCCGTTTTCGTCACCTTGACTTATTATTCAGTTCTTTTTATTGGTCATTCTGAATCGGTTGGTCTCGTGTGCTGTTATGAGTATGCGGGTGGATGTCACTTCCCGGCTGGCGCACACCGTGGAAAGGTGTTTCATCTTGAGGAATCTGAAAAGTTAGGTTAGCGTTGATCTTAGAGACCTGGGTGCGTGACCTCAGAGCCCTAACAGCAACTGCTTCAGGCAATCACGCACGGCTTTTTTATGGGGGATGTTTAAAGTGCTAGCTCCACTCTTCAAATGGCCTTACCCCCGGAGACGGAAATCCATGAGGTAGGGTGAGGTGTGACATTCTTAGGGTTGACATTTTCTAACCACTTCCTTCCTTGTGAGAAGGCAGCATCGCTGCAGATGCTGGTTGTCCGAGGGAAACACCTTACTGCTGTCACACCCCTCTTCAGTCAGTCAGCAGTACGACTTCGCCCTCAGACCCTGGGTAGCTGCTTTTAGTCTCATCGTTCTCCAATCAACCTGCCTGACATTGTAGAACCTGCAGGAACATATGTTCCAACCAATTTAGTGCGGTTGGGTCATGATGATAGGCAAGCCCGACCACCACGTCAAGGTAGCAGCTACGGTCGGTCCCAACCACGTCAACTGATGAACATTCGTTACTTCATCTATTGATCTGCCATATTTGCCTAGTACACCCATTTCCTAACAACAGCATGTAGTTCATATTGATTGACGCCATCATGGATCAGAAATAACCACTATGTAACCTGGTGTATCAGAATAGTGTGAATGGTCCACCAGGGCATCAGGTACATGTATGGTGGTTGCGCTAACACATGAGCAGTCTGCTTGGTTCTCCTGAAAACCAATGTAAAATTGCCTGTGACAATAGAAAGGGTTAACTTATAAAATAAATTGTTTTTTTCATATCATTACAATTTGTGCTGCCTTTTCATAAACCCTTTGTACACTTACTCAGTTTTATTTTGAAAAGCTCTCAAGATTTTCAATATTCTATTTTATTAGATATTATAAGATTTTTAGTGTGTTTTTTTTTCTCAATGTAATTTCATCATTTTAGAAGAAGTTCGTAAAGCAACGAAAGAATTAGTTTTAGCCTGGTTTAATGGTACAAATCGAGATCCAGTTCTACTGTTACGACGTTTAGATCCAGAAGGTGATCCAAGCACAAGTCAAAAAGCATTAGATAGTTTATTTGAAATGTTATCATTAGATGATTTATTAAATGTTATTCATGAATGGTTACCGAATTATTTAAATTCTGAGTAAGTAATGTAAACAATTTCTCTGTAGACTTTTTGTAAATATTGCTGAATGTGTAATTTTGTTAGATTACTTTAAAGAAGCTCAATCTTTACTTCACTGTACCAGATACATATTGTATATATATTTGGAAAAATATATGTACAATATGGCGTAGGCGTGATATCCGTTCGCTAACCAAAGGGCGGGTGTACTGCGCAACAGTTCGTTCCGTTCTCTTATATGGCTGTGAAACATGGCTGTTAAGAGTAGAAGATGTTCGTAGGTTACTAGTATTCGATCATAGATGTTTAAGAAGCATTGCTCGTATATCGTGGGACAGCCGAGTAAGCAATGCTGTCGTTAGGAAACGAGTACTAGGTAAGGATGGCAGATCAATAGATGAAGTAATGAAACTTCATCAGTTGAGGTGGTTGGGACATGTGTTACGTATGGCTAACCACCGACTGCCTCGACGAGCTATGTTTTGTGGTGTAGGAGTAGGTTGGAAGAAAGGTAGGAGCGGCCAAACCAAAACATGGCAGAAATCCATGAAGTCACTGACAAGTGGACTGAGTCATGTTGGTAGATGTAGACTACCTGGTTGGGGTCCGCGAGACGATAGCCACCGATGGTTAGAGACCTTGAATGACATGGCTCAAAATCGTTTACAATGGCGCAGGTGCATCCACTCTTTGAGCTCTCTCAAATCCTAATCTTCTGGATTCGTCAATACCTCTGCCTTTGTCTTTCTAACCTTATCTCACTGAATTATATTTTTTTGAATAATATCTTAAACCCTAGTCTTCTTTATTATAACATTAATACCTCTACTATCTTTATCACTATGGGATTTGATTTGACATTTGCGTCTCTGTGCTAATAATGTGGTATGGCAACATGAACTTATGTACATACGTACGAAGTTCTACGTTGCAACTGACTGACTGATATATTTGGAAAAGAGTACTAGATGAATGCCAAAATTCCGCCGGTTTCATAGCCCAAACCTGAGTATCCTTGGTCCAGAATACATGTTGACTTCGCTGGTTCAATTAATGGAACTATGTATTTAATTGTGGTCGACGCCTTCTCTAAATGGCCAGAAATCAGCCCTATAATGCCGCTCACTACAACTAAGACAATACAGCTCCTAATTGAGATTTTCTTGAGAAATGGCATACCAGATGTGGTCGTATTTGACAATGGCTCTCAATTCACCTCTTCCCAATTCCAAACTTTCTGTCAAAGGCTTGCCATTAAAACACTTACGCTCGCCACCATAACACCCGCAATGGGCAGGCGGAAAGGTGGATACGTTTAAAAGGGCATCGGTTAAGTCAAAAGGGGAGGGGACGCCAGCCGACGCGTTACAAAATTTCTTGTACGTCTATCGGACAACACCAAATGAATTGTTACCGGAGCAAAAGTCCCCAGCTGAAATCCTGATGGGAAGAAGATTGAAAACGATCCATAGCTTGATGCATCCGACTAATGCACCCTCATCAGTAGAGACAAAGCCGCAAAGACAATCCGCTTACGAAGTGGGATGCCCTGTGTTTGCCCGCGACTACAGAACGTACCATGATTAATGAGCAGAATCTCTAGTGGTCAGAAGAGTTGGTCGAGTTATGTACGAAGTAGAGGTAGGAGGTGATAAATGATCACGTCATCGAAATCAGATACGCAGACGGCTAGCCCCAGATCGCCCATCAAGAGCAGAAAGCCTTCCCCTTGACAACTTGCTTGATACCTTCAACCTACCGAGAGCCCCGCCAAGAGAAGAAACTCAGCAGCAAGCTGTTCTTCGTTTCCGAAGACAGCGGCGAACGACAGTCAAGATGCAAGTCGACCCCAGGAGCACATGCTATCAAAAAGGGGAGGAGTGTTGGGGATGTTAGATTCCCAAAACTTGCATGATAAATGCATTATTTCGGATTTCACGTTTGCCAGCATGGGCTGATCAGTCGACCTTGATATTTCATTTCCCACCAGGAAAATCCATGGCTGTGATTGGCTGCTGTGTATTTTAGTGTGCTTTTTTCGCAACTGTCCCAAAGACGTTTCTATGATGTATAAACAGACTAGAGTTGTATGCTTGATTGTACTGTGATTGTTGGGTGTTTGTAGAAGATACTTTCTACGCTTACAAATCCTTCTATCTTCAGCTTGGGATTCAAAGTAGCCTACCTGAACGCTGGTAATTGTCTCTTTCGGGTTTATTGACTAAGGTGAACTCGTAATAGCTTCAAGCGTACCTAGTGACAAACCCTACAACAGTAGTGAATCGTGATTTGGACATGTGTTACGTATACCTGACCACTGAATGCCTCTATGAGCATTGTTGTCTTATGTAGGAGTAGGCTGGAAGAAAGCTAGGGGTGGCCAAACCAAAACATGGTAAAAATTCATGAAGTCACTGACAATTGAACGGAACCATGTTAGTAGGTGTAGACTACTAGGTTAAGAGGTCGGTGAGACGCTAGTAAATGATGGTGCAGATGCATCCATTCGTTGTTTTCTCTCTCAAATTCTAGTCGTCTGAATTCCTCATCATATTTTTATGTTTATTTCCATCAATCAATCAATAGCAACGTAGAACATCGTACGTACGTACATCAGTTCATGTTGCTATACCACATTAACACAGAGATGTAATTGTCAATTCAAATCTCATAGTAGTAGAGATAGTAGAATTATTAGCAGTAATCAGAGAGATTACGGCTCGAAGATATTATTCAAGAAGTGGAATCGAGTGAAATACACTTAGGCGTCCTACAATTGTTGCCTTCCTGGACTTTAAGGTGACATTTGACGCTGTATTTCGTTAGGTTCTGTGGCAGTGTCTGTCGTTGAAAGGTATACTAACCTTATACAGGCTCTCTACTCAAACACCACTGATCGAGTGAGAGCTTTTGGCAAACTGTCACCGGAATTCTTCATTTAAGTGATGTCCGTCAGTGATCTCCACTTACCCCACTTACTTACCCCACCGACATGACACAGTACACTTGTCAGTGACTTCATGGATTTCTGCTGTGTTTTGGTCTGACCGCCCCTAGCTTTCTTCCAACTTATTCCTACACCACAAAACATAGCTCATCGAGGCAGTTAGTGTTTGGGCATTCGGAACACATGTCTCAACCACGTCAACTGATGAAGTTTCAATACTTCATCTATTAATCTGTCATCCTTACCTAGTACTCGATTCCTAATGTCAGCATTTCTTACTTGGTTATCCCATAATTCACGAGCAATGCTTCTAAGACACCTATGTTCCTGAAATAAGTGAAGTGGTCAACAGGCTCAACTGCTTCACTTCCTATCAATGGTTCAGGTGCCGACGCAAGCCAATCTCGAAGTAACATTTTGCATTTCGAGGAGGAAAACCGCATCCTGAACATGCTTGCATTGTTGTTTAGGGTTGTTATAAGACTGCATTTTGTCAGCGTCTTCACCGAATAGAACTATGTCGTCGGCATATTCTAAGTGAACCAGTGATTTTCCTGGTAGAAGGTCTACTCCTGAAAATTTAGACGAAGATAATGTTATATCTAGAAGCATGTCTATGACAAAATTATACAAGAATGGGGTAAGTGGAGATCACTGACGGACATCACTTAAATGAAGAATTCCGGTGACAGTTTGCCAAAAGCTCTCACTCGATCAGTGGTGTTTGAGTAGAGAGCCTGTATAAGGTTAGTATACCTTTCAACGACAGACACTGCCACAGAACCTAACGAAATACAGCGTCAAATGTCACCTTAAAGTCCAGGAAGGCAACAATTGTAGGACGCCTAAGTGTATTTCACTCGATTCCACTTCTTGAATAATATCTTCGAGCCGTAATCTCTCTGATTACTGCTAATAATTCTACTATCTCTACTACTATGAGATTTGAATTGACAATTGCGTCTCTATTCTAATGTTGTATGGCAACTTGAACTGATGTACGTACATGCCAGCAAGTTGTACGTTGTAACTGACTGACTGACTCATGCATTTATTACCATAGTCATAAACATGTAGCTGACTAAGAGTAGCACTTAAAGCCTTACTTTGAATTTTTCACAGATTGAATTTATTCTTAATTAGTAATCTATTTGTTACAAAAATCAATATTTAACCTACCCAATTTACGGCCCTTATGTGTTATCAATAGTTTGTAAACAAAATGAGTCACTCATTAGTAAAGTACATTATCACCGGCATACAAATAATCAATAAAGTATTTATTTCTTAAGAAATAAGAACAGGTAACTACTCCTCAATTATAGAACTTACTTACTTACTTACTTACGCTTGTTACTCCCAATGGAACACATAGGCAACCGACCAGTATTCTATAACCTACTCTTTCGTGGTTTCGCATTTCCAGTTCCGTCTAATGTTTGTCCATTCCTCCTCTTATGTCGGTCTCCATTTCCTCGACGTAATCTCCTCGTTGGCCTTCCTCTTCTCCTTTGATCTTGAGGGTTCCAAGTAAGGAAGGAGGCTTATCTCATGATGCTAATTATAGAAAGTAAATAGTAAAGTATTTTGTTTTTTTTTGCAAAGCTGAATGTAAATTGAACTGATTACACATTGTGTACATTTGTTAATCTTAAAATGTAAAAAAAAATCAATATTTCGTTTCAATCGTTGCTAATGCTTTGCATTTTTTTTTGCAGTCGAACACTTAAATCCGATTGTCTTACACCGGAAGCAACATTTTTCTGGAGAGCTTTAGTGGAATTTATTCATAAGAGACAAATTAATGCCAATGACACTACTACTACTACTACAACAATAACGATGAAGTCATCGACAATAACACATCTTGACAATGAAGATCACAATGACGAAATCAATCCTTTACAACGGTTAGCTGATTTAGTTCAACCATCTGTTAGTGTGTATGTTGATTTAGCTAAAAGGTTAGTAGTTTGTATATTTGTGTGTTTATTGGTTTGATTGTGACCAATTTGGTTTTGTGTGTTGTTTTATGAATGTGAGGGGGCGGATGTCACTTTCCACACTGTAGAAGAAGAGTTATTCCGGAAGCTGAAAAAGGAAATCAAATTAACGTTTGTCTTAACGACCTGAAGGTGTGACCAAAGAGCCCAAGGGACTGTTGCTTGAAGCCGGTTACGCATGGGCTTTTTATGAGAAGTTTTTAAAGGTTTAATCTCCGTTTTTCAAATGCCTTAGCGATCGAGACGGAAGTCCGTGAGGTAAGGTAAGGTGTAGCATTTTTAGGGTCAACCATTTCTAAGCCCTTCCTTCCTTGTGAGAAGGCAGCATCGCTTCAGATGCTGGTTGTTTGAAGGAAACACCTTACTGCCATCATACCTTTCTACAGTCAGCAGTACGAATTCGCCTTGAAACTTTGAGTTAAGGCAGCAGCTACTATCAATCGATCATAGATGTCTTCGATGCATTACTCGTGTATTTTGTGACCACCCCGAGTAAGCAATGCTAGGTTTAGCAATAGGGTTTTAGGTCAGGATGGAAAATTGATTGATGAAGTAATGAATCTTCACCAGCCAAGGTGGTTAAAACATGTGTTACGTAGGACCAATCGGCGACTACCTCGTCAAGCGTAGACTGAAAGATAGTTATGTTTGGCTAAACCAAAACAAAGTTTCAATTCATGAAGTCTTTGACAATCAGACTGAACCATGTTAATAAGTATAGGCTATCAAGTTGGGATCGGCGAGATAATCATAATCGTTGTCATATGCATTAGGGCAAATGCATTCATTGTCTTTTCCTGAATTCTGATTTTCAGAATTCTTCATGATTTTTCTTTCCTTTAAAAATTATTTCAGTTGTTTCCATTTTCGCAAATCTTCGATTTTGAGATGGTAGAGAAGATTTGTAGCTCAGATGGATGGTTGTGGTGGTGTTTGGTTCTCTGAGCTGGATGTTTTGGTTGTGGGGCCTTCAGTGTTCTTTTTCTGAACAACATCATCAAAACAAAGGTGCAAACAACGACATGTCAAAAGTCAACAGCAACCAATCAAGATCGAGGTTAGCAGAACAAGCTACAGGTCAAACGTGGAGAAATTCGAATACTTCAACTTCTTCTTCCTGAAGTTTGTGCTGATGATGTTGTTCAGAAGGCGAACCAATGAAAGCTCCACAACCAAACATTCAGCTCAGAGAACCAAACACCACCGCAAATCTTCGATTCCTAATCATTTTCCGTTTCATTTAATACAGGCATATCCTCCACTACACTTTGGATTTGAAAATGTACCCTGATTACTAATAAGTAGTATAGTCATAAATCAAAAATTTCACCATATCTGTCCATGATAATTTATTGGTATTGGTTATTTGGATCTTCCCATCTGCTAATAATGTTTCTATCCTTAATACTTAATACACTTCAAACTAGCGGGTTAACTGATTCATCTCTTTTACCTAGCACTGTATACCTTACAGCAACATTAGTTGGCGGATTCATCACATGTCAACAATACGTTATGGTAATACATGCCAGATTACAGTCCAGTGCGCACCAGATAATTATTCATAAACATTCAAATCTTTATGTCTGGATCGTTGAAAAGAATTAAGCTGTCAAACTGCCAATGGGAATTTCCTTAGTCATCATATCAGATGTGATACTTCTGTTAAGTTGGGGCAATTTCCATCAGTATTTACCTGTTTTAACTATCATAGACTAATTAAAAGAAGCTGTTAGCACTGAAGTTTAGTCTGTGTCGGTCAGGAGACAGTTATCCACCACAGGCAATGAATGAATGTTAGTTAGGCAATAACACATTTAGATGCTTGCTCAATCAGTTATCTACAGGGTTAGGCGTTTGCATACGAGACAGAAAGTTCTGTGTTCAATCCCTATATTAGAATGAAACGGCCTTCTAATGCTTCTCAGCTTCTAATGGTGGTCTGGCTAAAATCGATCCGTAGATTTCCAATATGGAAATTCAATCTCTACAAATCGCCCTTTATTTTTTCTGGTTAGCGTTTTTTTGGCAAGTTATAGTTTATAGTTGGGATGTAGGCGCCAACCCCATGTCCGACCCCTCCTCCTTGGGACCGGCAGTAGCCCCGAAGGTTCTACTGGTGCAGTTAAATCCCCCTTTAATCAACAACAAAATATAATTCATCGTTATGTAATGTTATTCACTTCATATTTCGTATGATAATCTTTTTCTCTTTTATTTTAGTGTTGTCGATAAACTAGTTCAAACTGTTCTTGCTCAAGAGTTTGATGAAAAAGCAATTGAACAAGAATGTGTTGTTGAACAAATTTTATCTATGGCTGAATCACTTGATTTAAGTGATGAATTCGGTCGTAGACGTTTAGTGTCACTAGTTCATGATTGGATTACTAGTCAGCAGGTTTCGGGTACATTAGCACCGCAATTATTGAAATTACATGCGATTTTGGAGCCAAGTCTGGTAAGTGGTGAAATTTTTCAGTTTTTTTATTGGTGTTTTCGTATATTTGGAGAGTTACTTCATTTAATCTTTACTTCTGGTTGGATATAATTCAGTATTGAAAGCTGATTTTTCGAGCGAAATTTGTTGAGGATGTTAGATCCCCCGGAACTCACTTGATTAAGGTCCTAAATTGGGATTTCGTGTTTTCGCGCATGGGTCGATCAGTTGACCCTGAGATTACATTTCCCACCCGGAAAATCTTTGATTGCTATTGGTTGATGTGTTATTTTAGTAAACTATTTTTTGGCTCTAACCAAGGACGTTTCCGTCATGTACAAATAATCCGACCGTAGCTGCTACCTTGACGTAGTGGTCGGGCTTGACTATCGTGATGACCCAACCGAGCTATATTGGCTGGAACACATGTTCCTGTAGGTCCTACTATGCCAGACAGGTCGATTGGAGAAGGATGAAACTAAAAGCAGCTACTCAAGGTCTGAGGGCGAAGTTGTACTGCTGACTGTGATGGAGGGGTGTGACAGCAGTAAGGTTTCTTCTCTCGGACAACCAGCATCTGCAGCGATACTGCCTTCTCATAAGAAAGGAAGGGTTAGAAAAGGTCAACCCTAAGAATGTCACACCTCACCCTACCTCACGGATTTCCATCTCCGTCGGTAAGGGTGCCCACTAAGGGCTTTTAAAAAGAGCGGAGCGAATACTCAAAAAACCTTTAATAAAAAGGCCTTTGCGTGACCGGCCTCAAGCAGTTGTCCTTCGGGCTGTGCGGTCACGCTCCCAGGTCGTTAAGATCGACACTAAGCTACTTTCTTTTTCAGGTTCCTCAAGAAACACCCTTCCACGGTGTGGGCAGCCGGAAAGTGACAACCGCCCTCATACCCGTAACTGACTGTACAAATAAACTCGATTCGTGTGCTTGTCAACCTCATATTTTCTGGAATACACTATCTATGTTTTGTCAAGACTTATTCCTCTACTCAGTGGGGGCCTTGGGACGCTCGAATTAGAGTAGCCTGTTGTATCGCCGGATCATCGATCCTCGCCTCATTTACCGACTAAGGTGAACTCGACATAGTTTCAAGCATATCCATTGACAAGCATAACAGAATTCAAGATTCATAATTTTTATTTCATACTTTCTGGTTAGCGTTTTTTTTGGCGAGTTAGTTTTCTACGGGATAGTGTCGCTAGCCTCATGCCCAACCCTTCTCCTTTATTATTACTGTCAGTAGCCCCAAAGGGGTTCCAGATAGAGTTCCTCTATTTCATAACACATGAAAAATCCCAGTAAAAAGTGTCTTAACAAAATAGCTCGAATAATGTTTAAGATTGTTATTGTATTTATTGCCTGTGATATGTGTGTATGAATGACTTCATCTTCTTTGATTGTGTTATAGCGACGTCGTATAAATAATGTGATTGAAATGATTAGTGAACTGTGTGATCCAGTTGAACCACAAAATTCATTAAAAAGTATCATGTCTATTCCATCAGTTGAACATAATGAAGAAAATGGTGGTTGTTCAACAAAAGAATCAGATAGTGGTACAACTCAACCACAACCACAACAACCAGCTTTATCGAAAAAACAAGAAATCAATATTCGTTTAAAAGTATGTTTGTTTTTTTGTTCATTGTCACTGAAATTGTGTCCCCTTTTTTTCTTGTTCATCAATAATGAACTGATGTCACATTATATTCATGAATCAGTTAGTTGATTTTGAAATGTTCACTTCACATTTATAAAGAGGGGTAACCTGATAGTTCAGTCCCGGTTTCAATTCTTCCATTTGAAGTAGTCTGGTAGTATTACTTACTTACGCCCGTTACCCCGCTGGAGCATAAGCAGCCGATCATTATTCTCCATCCTACTCTATCCTGGGCTTCCCTTTCCAGTTCTGTCCAATTTCTGTTCATTCTTCTCATATCTTTCTCTATTTCTCGACATAATGTGTTCGTTGGCCTTCCTCTTTTCCTTTTACCTTGAGGGTTCCAAGTGAGGACTTGTCTTTTGACTCAGTGGTGTGCCTCCCGCAATATGTGTCCTATCCACCTACAGCGCTTGTTCCTTTGCTGGAATCTAGTTTGTTTTGTCTTACAGTAGTTTGTTGTTAGTAGTGTCTGACCAATGGATCCACAGTGTTTTGCGTTGATAACCGTTAATAAATGCTTGTATCTTCTGGATGACAATTCTCCGAGTTACCACCCCATACACTAAAACTATCTTGAGGTTTGTATTGAAAATTGTGACTTTCGAGTTAGTTTTCTACTGGATGGAGTCGCCAACCCCATGGCCAACCCTCCTCTTTCCGGGCTTTGGACCGACAATACTCCCAGAAGGGCTCCAAGAGGAGTTGGACGTAATAGGAAAGGAAGATCTAGAACAGAGTAGGTTGTGGAATACTGGTCAGCGGCCTATGCTTCATTGGGGGATAACAGGAGTAAGTAAGTTAGAAAACAACCGCAATTCATTTCATTTTCCTCTAAGGTCTATCAATGAAATGGTGTAGAAAAGTTTTTGCACTTCAAGTGGATCATTTTGGTATTGTTAAGTTCTTTTATCTCTGTGTATGAAATGCAAAACTTAAATCAAATAAGCAAGCTTATTTATTGGTTTTTCGATAGCATGCTGCTATATTTGATCTCAATACTTGCTTCCTATACACGATCTTAGTGTACCACATACTCCTAGTCACGATTTTCGATCTGTCGAGTATGATAACATGTGTTCGATTTGTTTTGATAATTCATTGTCAAGATTGAAAGTGAGAATAGCTCATGCAAGCGGTAACTACTTAATGACCCGTTCCCTATGTTTGTGGTTGAAGTAAGGTACGAAGGACTTTTCATGCAGAGAATTTCAGCTGGTAACTACAATCTGGACGCTCTACATGTTCTTAACACACACACACATTATGCATCAAATCATTTCAAGCTGTGAACGGGTTATGTTTTAAAATTATGCAGCATACTCAATGACAGGAAGAATGCTTCAGAAATATAATCAACAACTTTGACCTTCAATCATACACATGTAACAATGTCAAGCGTAGAGCATAACTGCTTGCATGAAAGCTTCTATGTCCCATTTTCATAGACGAATCAAAACTGTGGTAGTATCGAAATTAACTTGAAATGATATAATTATCTTTGACTTTTAATATTACAAATGCTGCCTTTGTAGTTTTGTCAACCATTATGGATGCTTCTAATGTCCAGTTATCATGTATTGTTCTGAACAAATACATTCATCAGTTAGTTTCAAAATTACTTTGAGTTTCGAAATGCATACTGAGATTTTTGTCATTGCATATACCCTTAAATAAATGCCTTGCTATGGTTAAGAGTGTCTGTATCGAACAACACCAAATGAGTCATTACAGGAGCAATGGTCCCGGGCAGAAATCCTGTTGGGAAGAATACTGAAAATGATCCACAGCCTGATGCATCTGAGTATTGCACCAACACCAGGACAGACAAAGTCTGGAAAATAATCCACATATGAAGTAGGATGTCCTCTGTTCGCCTGTGACTACAGACCGAACCATGGTCCATGGACAGAAGCGCGAGTGGTCAAAGTAGTTGGCCGTGTTATATACGAAGTAGAGGTACGAGGCGATAGATGGTCACGCCATCGAAATCAGATACGCCAACGGCTAGCTCTCATATGGCTACGCGTATATAGACTCCGTATGACTAGCACTTTAACTAAGTTAGTGGTATATAAAGGGTTGGTCTAGGAGAGAGTTGACAAACCCTGATCCCAATTCACTGGTAAATTTAGACTCCAGGATGCTGAGGTAATAAATAGGGATGAGATTGCATCTCACTTGTCTCCGTTTGAGCAGAAGGACAGTATTCGAGTTCACTTAAAAACTTAATGATTTATATGGTGCATAAGTATTTAGGTGCTTCTTTGTACTAATGTTGGTGTGTTTATGTATAAAATTCAGAAAATAAAACAGAAAAGAACTGTATTTATTTACACATCATGGAGAAAATCATTAAAATTATCAATTTGAAAATTAATTTGTTCACCGATCGCTTATCATCACCACTTATCATCATTGTTGTTACGCCTGCACATAAACACGTCAACTTGATATACTTGAACTATTACGAGTTTACCTAGTCGGAAAACGAGAACGAGGATCCGTCGACATGACATACTATTCAAATCCGATTATCCCAACCCCCATATTGAGTAAAAGTAAGAAGACTTGATATGAAGTAGAACCTGTATTTTACAAGCATTCAGAAAGTACGATGTCCGAGTCCAGAAGAGAATCAGGATCCCGGACTAGGGATCCGGGACCGGGTCCTGTTCCTGGTCATAAACGTTACAGATAATGTGTATTTATACATTTTGGTCGAATAGGAAACAGCATCGAAGTCTGCGACATTGACAGTTAAGACAACCAATAAGAAACAACATTGGAGCACGTGACATTGATATCTATTAGTACGATCATAAAATTGACCAGTTTGAATTAACCAATAGGAATTGACCGATAATAATTCTCTTAGGATATTGAATGAATATCCTAACTAACAATTGTCATCATCACCAATTTTTTTTTTTAATTTTTAGATTGCTAGTCTTGAAGTGCGTATGAATGAACTTAATGAAGCATTGCATGATTGTGTAATACGTAAAGAATTTGAACGTGCCACGGAACTTCGTGATGCTTGTCATAAATTAGATATTGAACGTACTGAATTATTACATGAATTGCATGGAACAAATGCATTATTGTAAGTTTGGATTCTGTTTATTCTTTCTTGATTGATTGTTTGATTGATATAAATTGAAATCATGAATCGATCAATGTTAGATCACCATTAGAAACCTGGATGGCCGTTTGGAACCCAGGACCTTAGTTCTTGCGCGCGAACCCCTAAACTCTGAACCAATCAGCTGGTATCTAACGGTGTTAATGTCTAACTTCTAATACTGTGAGTTGCAGGAGTTGTGGATGCGCACTGCCATTGATGTGTCCCATACCAGGACAAAACGGTCGTCTTTCACTGCTTCCAGTTTTCTAATGGTGGTCTAACAATGATTGATTCATGATTCCCAATGTGTAACTTAACAATCTTCACAACTCCGTAATTGATATAGATTGGTTAATATTTTGGTTGTTATATCGTTTTTGGACAGACGTGTAACACATGTCCTAACTATTTTTCAACTGATGAAGATTCATCAATTGGCTTGTCATCCTAACCTAGTAGTAGTACCCTTTACCTAACACATCAGCATTGTTTACTCCAATGGTCCTCGGATTATATCATTTTTCTTAATTAATAATATACATTCGTCCTCTTGGACATTTTTGATTAGCTCAGTGTATTAGTAGACCAGGTTAGTATAGAATTAAAACAATGAATCTTCGTTTACGTCACTTAGCCCAGTGATGTTTAGTGGGCTGTTTATCGTCGGGTTCACCACTTTTGTAGTTGCTTTGACTTTAAAGTAGGGATCACTATTTTAGTGACCTGTTGGCTGACTCGTTCATTTATGGCGTTCGAGTATGTCATGAAATAAATCTCCTCTTCAGTTTCCGTATATCATGCGTAGGTGCGACGGTGGTAATTAGGAGCCGTATACGGATTCGACTGGATGAGTTTATTTCAAGGAATCGTACATACATTCATTCAAGCCAACAGTCGTAAGAATAGAAAGCATTGCAATCAGATCGAAGCGGAGGTGAGCGAAACATCTCCATGCGATGAAGCATAACTCAGTATTTACAGTCAGACGTCATAAGCCAGACATGTAATAAGCGAAGTAAAAGCGGTGCACACACATACTCGAGTCTAAACAACCAAGATAAAAGCGAATAATTGACAAAGTCAAAAGACAAGGGAATAGTAACACGGATAGAATGAATTGGTTCATTTGTTCGAACGTTTGGGACAAACCCTGTGGACTTGACATAAAGGTACACGCACTACAGCTGTTTACTAACTTTGTCTATGACAGGTACCTTTGATGCTTTATAAATAGCTAATGTCTAGTTACTGTTGATAAAATGTGCATATGAGAATAGTTCTTCCAAAAGTAAATTAACTTTTATCCTCTAAAATCTAATTTCTATGTCAATCGGTCATGGGTTCATGAACATCGATCGATACGTTGAACAGTATATTCTCGCATAGCTTATTAAAGAACAACACACAGGTATATGAGTCAGTCAGCTACGACGTAGAACTTTGTACGTACGTACATCAATTCAAGTTGCTTGCCATACCAGTAGTGTTCGAGTAGAGAGCTTGTATAAGGTTAATGTACTTCTTTGGTACACCTTTTAATGATAAACACTACCACAGAACCTCACAATAAACAGAGTCGAATGCCGTTTGAAGGTCTAGGAAGACAACTATAGTGGGACGCCTAAATATGTGTCAGTGTTCCAGGACCTGTTGTAGTGTGAAAATGTGGTCTATACAACCACGTCCAGGTCGGAAACCAGCATGGTTTTCTCTAGTCTGCTCTTCACGAGCTTTCGTTAAGCGTCGAAGTATTATTGATTGATTGTCACAAGAGAACTTTTGTCCTGTCTTGTAGACTGGGACAATTAGGGACTCAGACCAGTTCCCAGATTTTACCTAAGATCTTAGTCAACCTAGCCGCCAGAACTGGACCACCATCCTTAAACATCTCAGTAGTTAGCCTAACAAGATGACTGGAGATCGTGGGTAACCAAAGTGTGGCTGAAAGCCGATTGAACTGATCCCTAAAATGTTCTGCATATCGATCCAATCTCCTGAATTGAGAATGAATGATGCAGACATCTTTTTCTGAGATAGTTTCACTAACAGATGGATTTCTAATCCCGGTTACCTGTCGCTGCGGCCTTTTCCATCTCTCTTGCTTTCGCTACCCACAACTGTTCGCAATCGTTCCGTGGGCATTTATTTTATCAGCCTGCACCTAAGCTGACTCCGCTCTTCATAGTACTCTCAGTCAGGCGGAATGAGTTTTCGAGCATCCACTAGTTCGGTAGATGCTACTAAAATCCACTGCTTCTCCCTAACATTGTGGTTTTTTTATCTTGCTAACAGATATCACTGCTGTTTCCACAGCCTTTTTGATATCATTTCAAACTGTCTAATGGTGTTTAATCTAAGTCATGGAATTTATAATTTTCATTTTATTCTCATTTTGTTTTCTTGTCCACCTCTCTCTTTCTCTCTTGTACACATCATCATCATCAACAACTTGTGTTATTTTTACAACAGATCAGATAAACCGTCTCGATCACCACCATCATCGGATTCTAGTGAACAGAATAAAAATGAATTAAAACACAACATTGAAAATGCTGATGGTATTCTGAGCAATGATCAACATGATCACAGAAATGGTGACAATCATGATGATGACGGTGACGATGATGATGATGCTAATGATGAAGTGGACATTGTGGAAGATGCAACACAAAATCTGTTTAAACGTTGTTCATCATCGGTATTATTTAAAGCTAATCGAATGGCTGCTCTATTAATACAACAATCACCAACACTATGGAGTTTACCAGCATCATTACGTTCTTTGTTGGATAGTTTAGTATGTTGATGTTGTTTTGTTTAAAAATTGTTACGTAACTACCATACTATACTTTTATTTGCATTACGGGGTTGTGACTAGCTTCGTGAGGAATCTTCTCCGAGTTCTAGTGGGAAGACGTGACCAGTAAAGTTCAACCTGTTCGTGTGTAGGCAATGTCTACCGAAGACTGTGTATGAGGTTGCGCAACTCCGTGAATATGATCAAGTTAGACATTAACACCGTTAGACACTGGCTCAGTGGTCTATCGGTTAGGGCGTTCGCGCACAATACCGAATCCTGCGGGGTGCAGGAGTCGTGGATGCGCACTGCTGAGGAGTCCCATACCAGGACGAGACGGCCGTCCAGTGCTTCCAGGTTTCTAATGGTGGTCTAACATTGATCGGTTCATGGTTTCAAAAAATGCATACTTTTATTATCATTATCTTAAATATGTAGTTTGTGTTTATTATGTTATTGTTAGTAACCGAGTAAGCAATGCTGTCGTTAGGAAACGAGTACTAGGTAAGGATGGCAAATCAATAGATGAAGTAGTGAAACTTCATCAGTTGAGGTGGTTGGGACATGTGTTGCGTATGCCTAACCACCGACTGCCTCGACGAGCTATGTTTTGTAGTCTAGGTGTAGGTTAGAAGAAAGTTAGGGGCGGCCAGACCTAAACATTGCAGAAATCCATGAAGTCACTGACAAATAGACTGAGTCATGTTGGTAGATGTAGGCCACTTGGTTAGGGTCCGCGAGACGATAGTCATCAATGGTTAGAGACATTGAATGACATGGCTAAGAATCGTTTGGAATGGCGCAAGTGCATCCATTCGTTGTGGTCTCTCAAATCCTAATCTTCTGGATTCGTCAACACCTCTACCTTTGTCTTCCTAACCTTGTCTGACTGAATTATACTTCTTGAATAATATCTTCAAACCCTAGTCTTCTTCATTACCATTAATACCTCTACTATGTTTATCACTTGGGATTTGATTTGACATTTGCGTCTCTGTGCTAATGTGGTATGGCAACATGAACTTATGTACATGTGTACGAAGTTCTACGTTGCAGCTGACTAACTGATTGTAGTAGTAGTAGTTGTAGTACTAGCTAACTTTTACTTGTTTTGTGACAATACTATTCAGAACTGCTCTTCAAAAATGATTATAATTAGTGTCACCGTCAAAACTAAACTCGATTGCTGTCACACATGCGTAGAAAAGTTTGTCACTCATTCAGCTACTACTTAGAACTTCGTACGTATGTGCATCAGTTCAAGTTTCCAGACCATTTAAGCACGTAGAGATGAAATTGTCAATTCAAATTGTACAGTAGTATAGTTTGTAGGGTATATAAGCGATAATCGAGAAGATTAAGGGTTTGAAGATATAATTCAGAGAGTGTAATCCAGTGATGTAAATTTAAAAGGAGAAAACGAATTGTCATGAGGGATTCAGATTATAATTTGAGAGAAAACAAAGAATGGATGCACCTGAGTCATCGCAACCGACTTTGAGTCTTTAACAATCGGATACGATTGTCTGGCGTACCCCAACCATGGCTCAATCCAGTTGTGATTGACTATACATGGATTTGTGTCATATTTTGGTTTGGCCACTCCCAGCGTTCTTTCAGCTTACCTCTACATCAGACAACATTGCTCGTCAAGGCAGTCAGTGGAGATGATGAATCACTCATCGCTAGACTACAATTAAACAATTAGAGTCACTGGACAGCTGTTTCGTCCTAGTGTCAGACTCATCAGCAGTGCGTATCCACGATCTCCACAACTGATAATAGAACTGAGGACCTTGAGCCTTGCACGCAAACGACCAGTTGCTAAATCACAGAGTCAGCATCCATCAGTGTTAATGTCTAAATTCAATCAGTCCACGATGTTCCGCCTCACACGCGACACGGTTAGACTCTCATGGTTGTGGCTTCTCATTAGAACTCCGAGAATTTTCTAACTTCACTGTTCCTCATATTGTGAAAAGATTCTTCCCTGTGAGTGACGTAAAAAAACACTGAGTAAGTTGTAATCTTCGACTACCTCGTAATGTGACTAAATAGCCAGAGAAAATTTGTGCACAATTATTCGGTTACCAATTTTTGATGTAGCTCAGTACTTCGTTAAGCGGAGTAACGCGAATTGTTATGTTGGATCTACTTCCTTCAACCTATCTTTACTTTGTATAGAGAGTCATTACTTTAGGCGGGCGGCTAAGTATCTGAAAAAAGCACCATCACGCACACCAGTAAATGTAAAGATACAGCACTCTCAAGCCCTTAAATCTCCTAATTTGTCTTGCCTCCCTTTAACTGACTGTTGGAGATGTTAGATCCCCAGAACTCACTGGGAAGTGGTCCTAATTTCGTAATTTTATTTTGGAAATTTTAAACTCTATGGTTTTCGCGTCAGAGACGCTCATTTTGACCTTCAGCTTGTATTTCCCACTCAGGAAATCCTTGACTGCATTGGTGGATGGATTATTTAAGTATGCTATTTTGTTGCTCTCACCAAAGGCGTTTTATCATCGTAAAACTGATTTGTGTGCTTGTCGACCTTTTACTTTCTGGTTGCCTGTGGCATACATTTCTCTACATCTTATCAAGACTTCTTCCTCTAGTTAGTGGGGCCTGGGACGATCGGATTAGAGTAGCCTATCGTGTCGCTGAATCATTGATCTTCGTTCCGTTTACCGAGTAAGGTGAACTCATAATAGCTGCAAGCATATCACTGACCTACTTCAAATAGCTCATGTTGTCAAAGTGACAGCAGTAGACAGGTTTTTGTTTGTCACCAGATCAACATTTGACTTTTAATTAGTCCTCCGATCAGAAGTAGATAAAACTCATGGAACAAATGGTTTTATTGTGTAGATTATAGCTTGCCTATCTTTTACTTATGTATATATGGTTATTCTGACTATCCAGTATTGTCTGAGTTCTCTTTTTTACTTTATATATCGTTTAGATATTGCCAAGTATGCAACATGCTGATGTTGCTGTACGTAATCAAGCGATATTAGCTTTAGGCCTATGTTGTACAATGGATTTACCATTGACATTACAATATATTCATGTGTTTTATTCAGTAAGTTATTTTTTGTATTTCCAATAAATCTTAGATCATATTCTTATTGTGGTGGTGTTTCGTTCTCTGAGCTGGTTGTTTTGGTTGTGGAGCTTTCATTGTACTTCTACTGAACAACAACATCATCAGCACAAACTTCAGATAGAAGAAGTGAAGCATTCGAATTGCTCCACGAAATGACTCGTAGCTTGTTCTGCTAACCCTCGATCTTGATTGGTTGTTGTTGACCTTAACTTTGTCGTTGTTTGCACCTTTGTTTTGATGATGTTGTTCAGAAGAAAAACATTGAAAGCTCCACAACCAAAACAACCAGCTCAGAGAACGAAACACCACCACAATCATCCACCTGAGCTACAAGTTTTCTCCACCATCTCAAGATCATTCTTATTATTTACATTTATAAACAAAGCTTTGGCAAAATTATAGACTGTTTATGCAATGTATGTACACCGAGTCTTCATTCATGTAATTTGCACTTTGTTATATGTGTGTTCTACAACCCAAGTTAGTTCTAGTTTGTTTTTCCACTCCTGAATAGGCCGTGCTTTTCTTACCTTCTGAAATTCTTTTTTTCGGTTGTCAATTGTAACAACTTTCACACAACATTTTGGTACATTTCTTGTTGGTATATAACACTCAACGCGATGGTATAATGGAGTTTTCTTTGTAAACTTGTTTCATAATGGCCTATATATTAGTGCATTCCATATAGGATACCTATATATATGCCAACCAAGATAGATCAAATCGAAATAAATCACATACCCGTTACACAAGCTAGTGTACTGAAGGAGAACACAGGTGGGGCAACCGAATTGTATTTAACGAAAACTACAGAGTTACTCAGTAAAATCACAAAACCATATCGTAAATCGTTCATATACAAAATATCAGTCCATCATATCGAACTGGACTGTTCCTGTTGCAAAACATCAATCGATTGTCACTATTCATGCGTTTCATACAAATTCTATTGTGTCCCCACTCTTCCTTTCTTGATCTACCCCCATCTTCTGCTGCCAGACATTACGTTGACACTCAGGTCATATATTACTTATAAGTAGCTCGCACCACACTAGTAGCAGCTATCTGAACTCAGTGATTAAGTGCATTATGCAATAGTGTTTGATACCAACGCTATTGGGTTCGAGTGCTGGACTGAACATCAACTCTGAGACGTGGCAGGTATATCCAACTTACAGGGTAAGTTCAAAATAAGAAGAAATGTGAAGAGTGAATTCCATTGTTAGTCACATTTTGTCTGTTCTATACACCAGAATGGTAGTTAGCAAGAAAGTAATTATCTCTAGAATACTCATCCATCATCGATCAATCAAAAATTCAAACATTCAACTTTTTTAATGTGATAGCTAACTGGTTAAATTACTTAAGTTTCAATTAATAAGTTACAGAGTCACCCATCTGATGCTGTTTTTTGCTTCAGACAACCGCGTACTGTTGTAATGGACGCTACTCATTAGGTGGCTTATAAGTAGTATGCAGCGGAATGTGGCTACCAGAGAGAACAGTGTCAGAAGATAAAACTGTACACTGTGACCAGCGTGTTTGAATAGCAGAACAGAAAACTGAGAAAACAGTCTATAGAAAAATGCACAACAGATGCAAATGGATGGTTACGAATTGATTGTATATATATATATATATATATATATATATATATATATATATATATATCATAAACAGTCTGTGTTTTCATCAAGCTCTTATATTTCATCTGGCCAAGGCTTCTTCCTAAAGTATCTCTAATTCTCATGAAAGACTCCACCTGGATCCCTTTTGGGGCTACTACCGGTCCCAAGCCCGGATGAAGGAGGAGGCTTGCGATTAGATTTAGCGACGCTAACCAGAAGAAAATTATCATGTAAACAATATTTGCTTCAGTGGCTGAGTCAACACTTGAGACTAAATTAGTTTTCGTACGTTAAAATGATCTCTAATAACCATCTTTTTTCCATGCCGTATACAGACATGTACATATGTGTGTGTGTGTTTTTTATTCTTCTTTCAATTAGGCAATGCGTGTAGATCATTTGATTATTAGTGAAACAGCCTTAGGATGTATTATTGACTGTCTGTTGATTTATGGATTTCGTCCATTTCATGAGGCGAATATTAATCCAAATAGTCGATTAGTACCAACCGACACAATTGTTATTGATGAAGACGATGATGATGATGAAGATGTTCATGGTGATAATGAGAAAGAGAATGAACAACAACAAAATATCAAAACATGTAAGTGTTTGTGTATCATTAGTATTTATTGTACTACCTACCTACCTTTGCTCAAAACTTATCCCGTTCGCCGAATTGTTAACCTTCTAGACTAGTGAGCTGTCGTCATCCAGCGGTGGCTATGTCTTACTTCAATCAATCTGTGATCTTGTGTGACTTTCATCCATTACCTGTAGTGGATATCCATCTGCTAACCAAAATATGAGTCTACTACGCAGCAATTCGCTTCTTCTTACTTTATGGCTGCGAAATATGACCAGTGAGAGTAGAAGATATTCGTGGGTTGCTTGTTTCCGATCATAGGTGTCTCCGAAGCATTGCTCGTGTATCGTTGGACAACCGAGTTAGCAAATGCTATTGTTAGGAAACGGGTGATAGGTAAAAATGGCAGATCAATAGATGAAGTAATGAAACTTCATCAGTTGAAGTGGTTGGGACATGTGTTGCGTATGCCTAACCACCGACTGCCGCGACGAGCTTTGTTTCGTGGTGTAGGAATAGGTTGGAAGAAAGCTAGGGGCGGCCAAACCAAAACATGGCACAAATCCATGAAATAACTGACAAGTGGATTGAGTCATGTCAGTAGGTGTCGACTACCTGGTTGGGGTCTGCGAGATGATAGTAATTAATGGTTAGAGACCCTGAGTGACATGGCTCAAAACCGTTTGCAATGGCGCAGCTACATCCATTCTCCATACGAAGTCCTATGGTGTTGTTGACTGACTGTAGTGGATAATTGTCTTACACTTGATACAGATTGGCGAAAGTTAGACACTGACACTGTTGGGTGCCGATCCATTGATCACCTGCAAGATAGAAGATTCGGCTCTCGCGTTTGGAGGTCGTGGATGCGCACTAGTGAGAAATCTCATCCTGGAGTCGAAACATATCTCCAGTAATTCTGCGTTTCCATTAGTAGTCTAACCAAAATCAATCCGTGATTTCACCTGTTTAGTAAAGTTAAATTTTTTCATCGGCGATAAATTTTATCTATCGTCACTTACATGCTTGTTATCTACTTTAGACTTGGAACAAACATGATCCCATGCCAAATTGTCATACTTTACTGGCCTGTTCATAATCTTTCTCTGATTTAAACAAACGATTAATTATGACAAGGAAATAAATCTTCCGTCTAGTTTCCGAATAATGCTCTTGGACAAACTTCGTTTGCACAATGCGCAGTAATGAGTAGTAGCCCAATACTTTTTGTGTGTGGGAATATTGTGCCACCGATGACCAGTTTGTTGAAAGCACATAGGTTTGCAAATCTCTCACCGTTTTCGTTCCTTTCTCCCAGTCCATGTCGTCCCATGATGTCTTCATATCCAATATTGTCCATGCCAACCTTGGCATTTAGGTCTCCCATTAGAATCGTCAAATCCTTTGGTGAACATTTCTCGACGATTGACTGCAGCCTTTCGTAGAATTGATCTTTATTGTCGTCATTGTAGTCATTGGTTGGTGCATAACATTGGATGACGTTCATTGTAATGTTCGCTTTCTTTGTTTTGAAGGATGCTTTAATGATCCTGGGTCCATGAAATTCCCATCCTATCAGTGCCTTTTGTGTTTGTTTGGACAGCATAAGTGCAACTGTCCAACCATTATTTATGACAATGAATTAAATCTTCCGTTTAGTTTTCGTATAAAACTCTTGAACAAACTTTGTTTGTGCAGTGGACAGTAATGAGTAGTAGTAGTCCAATGCTTTTCAGTTATTTGAATAAATTTATTTAATACCATCGCGTATATTCAAACAAACATATGAAGAATGACATGTATAAAAGCAAATCATTGACAAAGTCAAAAAAACAACGCGGGAATAAGAATTCGCATAGAATAGATTGAACTGGCTTACTTGTCTGAAAACTAGAACAATCCATGTGGACTTCATGCTATGGTACACACTATGAAGATAGAATTTACAAAATGTATAACTGTATTTTACGATGGTCCTCTCACTGACTGCTATGTATGAAGCAGCGTACTGTGTGTTGTACAACTCAGTGTTGACTGATTATAACACTACTGTTTAGAAAAAGTATTGGATAGGACACACATTGTACTTCAGATTCGTTAGCCAGACACTATCAGCAACAGCCTACTGTGGGAGAGAACAAACCAAATTCCAATAGAGGAAAAAATCAGGAACAAGCGTAGAAAGTAGATAGGACACACATTGCGAAAATCAATCAGCTGCGTCACACGAAAAGCCCTCACTTGAAACCCTCAAGGCAAAAGGAAAAAAGGAAGGCCAAGGGACACATTCCGCCGAAAAATAGAGAAAGATATGAGTAGGAATGAACAAACATTGGACAGAACTGGAGAGGGTAGCCCAGGACAGAGTTGGTTGGAGAAAACTGGTAGGCGGCTGCCGATGCTCCTTTGGGGGGGGGATAATAGGTGTAAGTAATTAAAGTAAGTTTCATAGAAGTCCAATCAATCTCAGAATAATTTTATCAAACGGTAACAAATTCAATAAATTTTTTATCTCACGATTTATTCCACTTCTATTTTTTCCCTATTCTTTTTTCTCTACAGTTAAACATGATTATGTTGTATTGATAAGACAAACTTTACAAGATTCTACTCTAACAACCAATTTATCATCATTTCATAATAATAATAATCATAATCAATCACATGGTTCATTAGTTCGACATGAAGAAATGTCCAAAACAGCTTATCGTCTATTGAAACCAATTACATCATTATTAGAAAAAGAGGTAAACAAAACAAAGTCACATTTCGTTTTATTAATATATATATATATATATATATATACATTCAAATCTATCCTACACCCCTTAACATTGCCCTTATCTCTCTCCACGACTAACAACTCTTCTCACATTCCTTTATCACACCGCCCCCACTAAATTACACTTCTTCAATACTATCTTCGATTCTTAATCTTCTCCATTACCGCTAATACTTCTACTATCTCCACCACTGTGGGGTTTGAACTGATAGTGTCGTTTCTGTGCTAATGCGGTATGACAACTGAGGGGACTGATCTACGTACGTACGTACGAAGTTCTACGTTTGTTAGGATATTCATCCAATATTCTAAGAGAATTATTGGTCAATTTCTATTGGTTAATTCCTACTGGTTAATTTTATGGTCGTCATAGATATCAATGTCACGTGCTCCAATGTTATTTCCTATTGGTTGTCCTGACTATCAATATCACTTAAATGTTACTTTCTATTGGTCGTCTTAACTGTCAATGTCACAGACTTCGATGCTGTTTCCTATTCGACCAAAATGTATAAATACGCATTATGTTTAACGTTTTATGACCAGTAGCCGGTCCCGGATCCCTAGTCCGAGGTCCTGATTCTCTTCTGGACTAGGACTTCGTACTTTCTGGATGCTTGTAGAATACAGGTTCTACTTCATATCAAGTCTTGTATTCTTTTACTAAACATGGGGGTTAAGATAATCGGATTTGAGTAGCATGTCGTGTCACCGGATCCTCGCTCTCGTTTTCCGACTAAGATATACTCGTAATAGTTCAATTATATCAACTTGACGTGTTTACGTGTAGGCGTAACAACGTTGTAATTGACTGACTGACTGTATGCTTGTCAGTGAAAAGAAATACTGTTGTTGTTAAAACACTGCCAATTAATTAATTTACAAAACTTAGTCAATTCTATAAATTCTGTTGCATTACAACCGGTTTTCTTATTGTTGTCGTTCATTGGTGTTTTTACGATTACAATTGATCAGTCCCTCCCCTCTCAAGCTTTATGTGCATTCTGTGTAGATTGCTTCGCCATTGCTTTTAGAATCAGAAAGCATTATTAACAAAGGTGAGGATAGGTGTGGCGAACAATGGAATCTAGTGGATGTGGGTTTTGTTCTGTTCGGGACTTGTCTGCAGATGGATGTACACTTGCAGCTTGGAGTGATGAAAATCATTAACCTATGCAGTGTGAATGCATAGTTAATGAGGCACAACTAAGCATTCGTAGTCAGACACATATAATAAGCGAAGTGTAAACGGTGCACATGCACACACATACAGTCGAACAAAAACAACCAAGATAAAAGCGAGTAGGTAGTTGGCACAGGTCGTTAGACTAATAACTCGAGAAGAGTAGTGTTACGCCTGCACGTAAACACGTCAACTTGATATACTTGAACTATTACGAGTTCGCCTTAGTCGGAAAACGAGAGCGAGGATCCGGCTATACAACATGCTACTCAAGCCCGATTATCTCAACTCCCATATTGAGGGAAAGAAGAAAGCTTGATATGAAGTAGAACTTGTATTCTACAAGCATCCAGAAAGTACGACGTCCGAATCCAGAAGAGAAACAGGATCCCGGACTAGGGATCCGGGACCGAGCCCTGGTGCTGGCCGTGGTCATAAAACGTTACAGATAATGCGCATTTGTATATTTTGGTCGAATAGGAAAGAGTATCGAAGTCTGTGACATTAACAGTTAAGACGACCGCCAATAAGAAACAACGTTGGAGCACGTTACATCGATATCTAGAACGACCATAAAATTGACCAGTAAGAATTAACCAATAGGAATTGACCAATAATGCTCTAAGGATATTGGATGAATATCCTAACACGTGGCTTGATCAAATAATTGTTCAACAGTTGTGAGACTTAACTCTGTGTGAACTCGACATAGCAGTAGTGTACATACACACACACACATACACTACAACATGTTTTTCCAATTGGATTAAATTCAAATTTATCAAAGCAAAACAGTTGAGTTTATTAATCTCTTTTTTTTCTGTGTGTGTGTGTGTTTCAGTCTGATGATGGTCTACGTTCAACTGCTGCTCTGGGTCTTGCTAAACTATTAATTTATGATCGTATTGTATCAAGTCATATACTCAGTTTATTATTATTATTATGGTTTAATCCAGTCAGTGAAGAGACTCCACAACTTCGTCGTGGTTTAGCTTATTTCTTTGCCGATTATGCTTGTGCTAATAACAGTAGTAATACTAATAATACTAATACTAATAATCAATTCGGTGCGGATGCCGCCTATGAACATCAATCTGCACTGGCCAATGCTGTCCTACCGACATTGACTACATTGATTCGTGCACCGGCCTCATCGCCTTTATCTGAAGTGGAACCAAATGATGTGGCTAGTCTATTGGCTCGTCTCACTGATACAACACATTTGATGAAAGGTCGAACAGATGGGAAAAGCTCGGCGACCACAGCGACAACAACTAATGAGAATGGCAATGTGGTTGGCGGTGTTGATAATGATGAGGATGATGGAGATTTGCGTTCCAATTCAATGAAATCCAAGGTGGGGATGGCATCAAGTGAACAAGCTGATGAGAAAATTGTAGGTTTCTGTTGTCGTTGTTGTGTTTCATAGTCCTCCAGTTGACTGACTAGTATTGCCTTTTTTAGTTTAAGCTTTTATCAAAACGTTTGGCTTAAATTTTTTAATTAGTAATAAGTAGTAGGTGTCGATCAAGTTGATCTTGTGAGTTAGGGGTAGGAGAATGGTTGTCTACTGCCTGGGAGTCAGTATTGTTTTTAGTGATATAGCAATGTGACCGCAAATTCTAAACGACAATTGCTTGAGGACGGTCACTCCTGGCCTTGTTTTTGCAGCGTTAGCATCGTTTTTCAAAAGGCCTTAGCGCGTAGACGACTGAAATCCGCAAGGTAAGTTGAGGGGTTGACCTCTTCTAACCAACTTCCTATGTGAGAAGGCAACATCGTTGCAGTTGCTGAGTTCGTGTAAAGGAAAAGACTTACTGCGGTCACACTCTTTCTATATTCAGCAGTATGACGTTGACCTCAAACCTTAAGTTGGTGTTTTTAGTCTTTGCTTTCTTCAACCAACCTGTTTTTTGGCATGGTAAGACCTAAAGAAGTGATCTGTTCCAGCCAATGAAGTTCGATTGCGTCACCACAATAGGCCAGCTCGATTACCATGTCAGGGTAGCAGCTACTGTCGGAATAGCTGGTAGTGCAAAGTCGCTCTTTACTTAATCGTTTATACACATTATACTACAACTAAATTCAATAAAAATAATTGAGGAAGTAGAAGTATTAACAGTAATCGGAGAGATTATGCTTAGAAGATATTATTCAAGAACTGGAATCTAGCGAAATAAACTTAAAAAGAAAAAGATAAAGTGATGAGGAATTAAAAAGTTTAGGGAATGAGAGAACATAATGAATTAATGCACCTGCACCATTGCAAACACTTTTAAGTAATGTCATTCATGGTCTCTAACCATCGATTATTATCATCTTGCGAGCCCCAACCAGATAGTCGACACCTAGCAACATGAATCAGTCCACTTGTCAGTGACTTCATGGATTTGTGACATGTTTTGGTCTGACTGCCCCTACCTTTCTTCCAACCTACTCCTACACTACAAAACATAGCTCCTCGAGGCAGTCGGTGGTTAGCCATACGTAACACATGTCTCAACCACCTCGACTGATGAAGTTTCAATACCACACCTATTGATCTGCCATCCTTATCTAGTGCTCGTTTCCTAATAGCATCGTTGCTTACTCGGCTGTCCCATAATACACAAGCAATGCTTCGGAGACATGTATGATCGTAAACCAGCAACCATCGAATATCTTCTACAGCCTGAAAGTAAGAGGAAGCGAACTACTGCGCAGTGCACTCGTCCTTTGGTTAGCAAATGGATATCTCGCCTGCTTCATAAGTGACGCAGGTTGGAAAAAGTCAATCGAGCTTTCTGTATCCGTGTTGTGATTTCGTCAGTCACTAGGCCATAACCACTGATGAGACTCCGAAGATAAGTGGAACGGTCGATACGCTCAACTGCTTCACTCTCTATTACTAGTTTAAATGCTAATACAATCCAATCATGAAGCAACATTTTGTTTTTCGAGGGGGAAAACCGCGTCCCGAACATGCTTGCATTGTTTCTTAAGGTTAGGGTTATTTGTGCTGTGTGGAATTCAAACATGGTTACATTTTATCGCCCCAATCTCTAACTATCATGTTTTCTATATTCCTGCAACTTATAAGAAAAATATCATTTACAATAGCGTAATGTATTGTTTGAGAAATTCTTGTGTTCTTTAAGTTGGACAGTGTGTTTGGTCATGAATACTTTATTGTCACTATCAGCGCTTATATTTCAAAGAAAATTCAGTTTTAGCAGGCGAATTTCCCCACAACTGACTAAGGATAAATTTGGGAAACTTTTCATTCTGAACCAATGGTACACAGGATGTATGGATCCTGAAGGGATCACCGACTGTCATTGGACTGCATCTCCTAATGTTACTTCATTGTTTTTGTGAATCAGATCTGTAGGTCAAATGCTCAAAGAGTGAACCCCCAAAGAAAACAACTCTCCATTTCGGTTTAGACAGTCAGACCAGTAATTATCCCCTATCCTACACATCCAAAAAACTCAATAATTTATGTAGTTTATAATAAATATTTAAATACTATGTTCATTCAATGATTAGATGTCAAGAACAAAAAGTTACCAACAGAATAAACCTACTTAATCAGTCAGTCGGTTGTAGAGAAATTCGATTAGTTCAGTTCTGATGATATTGATCATGTTATTCAGAAAACGACAATAAATGTGCTTTAAGAAATCTAACTTGCAATTCATCACAATTCCAGTAATATTCATCTTCTGCATTATTTCTTACTGTGTTATGTAATAAAGGTTTACTGTATTCATGGTTTCAAAAAATGTATAACTTAACAATCTTCACAACAACCCCGTAATGCAAATTACCTGTGCTGACTAGTGACAAGCTTCGTGAGGAATCTTCTCCGAGTTCTAGTGGGAAGACGTGACCAGTGAAGTTCACAACCTGTTTGGGTGTAGACAGTAACTACTACCGAAGACCGTGTATGAGGTTACGAAACTCCGTGAATTGATCGAAGCTAGACATTAACACCGTTAGATACCGGCTCAGTGGTCTAACAGTTAGGGCGTTCGCGCACAATACCGAAGGTCCTTGGTTCGAATCCTGCGGGGTGCGGGAGTCGTGGATGCGCACTGCTGCGGAGTCGTCCCATACCAGGACGAAACAGTCGTCCTTCAGTGCTTCCAGGTTTCTTCTAATAGTGATGGTCTAACATTGATCGATTCATGGTTTCAAAAAAAATGTGTAACTTAACAATCTTCACAACCTCGTTACTGTATTCTTATTGTGTCTTTTGTTTTATGTGTGTGTGTGTTTAAATAAACAATTTATTTATTCATTCATTCATTCCATATTTTTCCCCAAGAACAATCCACATCATGATCGATTAGTATCGATATTGGCTAGTGAAGTATTAAAAGCACCACAATCCGCTGAAGCCAAATTATATCTTCGTATGATTTTTCAATTACGACCTTCTACGGAAAATATACAAGTTCATAAAGAATTATTAACACTGGTGGATTCAATGTCAAAAGTTAGTTGTGTTTTTTTTGTCATTGTTAAAATAAAATATCATGATTTTATCGATTGGATCAAATGCTGAGCCAGCTATTAGACAAAATCTGGAAAGCTTCAACGATAGTTTCGTTTTTTGTATTGGGACTTGTAAGCAATCTGTATTCGAGGCATCACTATTAGCTAAGAGGCTAAATGTTCGCATGTATTCGAGCTCCACTTGTGAGGGCATAGATGAGATATAAGCCGCATACACATAGACAGACAGACAGATACAACGCAGAACTTCGTACGTACGTATATCAATTCAGGTTGCCAAGCCTCATCAGCACAGAGACGCAACTGTCAGAGTGATAGCAATAGTAGAAGTATTAGCAGTAATCGAGAAGATTAGAGAGCGAAGATATGATTCCGGAAGTATAATTCACTGAGATAAATTTAGAAGGAGAAAGATAGAGATTATGAGGAATGCAGAAGCTTAGAATTTGAGAGAACACGAAGAGTGGATGCACCTGCGCCATTGAAAACGATTTTGAGCCATGTCGTTCAAGGTATCGAACCATTGGTGACTTTCGTCTCGCGGACCCCAACCAGGTAGTGTACATCTACCAACATGACTCAATCCACTTGTCAGTGACTTCATGGATTTGTGCCATGTTTTGGTTTGGCCGCTCCTAACTTTCTTCCAACCAACTCCTACACCACAAAACATAGCTCGTCGAGGCAGTCGGTGGTTAGGCAAGGATAATATATGTCCCAACCACATCAACTGATGAAGTTTCACTACTTTATCTATTGATTTGCCATCCTTACCCAGAACTCGTTTCCTAAAGACAGCATTGCTTACTCGGTTGTCCCACGGTATACGAGCAATAATTTGGATACACCTATGTTCGAAGACTAGTAACCTACGATTGTCCTCTACTCTTAACGGCAATGTTTCGCATCCGTATGGTAGGACGGAGCGAACTGTTGAACAGTTAACAAGCGGATATCTTGCCTGTGCCATAAGTGACACAGGTTGGCAAAAGCCAATCGAGCCTTCTGTATCCGAGATGAGATTTCGTCATTCACCAGGCCATCGGCACTGATGAGACTCCCCAGATAAGTGAAGCGGTCTACACATAATCTTTTAGACATTCATTTTTAAAAATTTGAATCACAAATATTCATCAAAGGGTTATAGAGATTGTTAACAATGTTCAAAAGAAAATCAGTTGTGGACTGATTGATCCACTGACGTTTTTAATAGTCAGTTTGATATCTTGTGCTGTTAGGTGTGTGAGGGCGGATGTCACTTCCAGGCTACCCACATCGTGAAATAATGTTTCTTGAGAAACCTGAGAAGGAATTCGGATTAGCGTTGGTCTTAGCAACCTGGGAGTGTGACTGCAGAGCCCAAATAACAACTGCTTGTGGCCGGTCGTGCTCAGTCTATATATGGGAAGTTTTAAACGTGTTAACTCCACTCTCTACAAAAGGCCTTACCGACGGATACAGAAATCCGTGAGGTAAGATAACGTGTGACATTTTTAAGGTCGACTTTTTCATTGCGAGAAGGCAACATCGCTGAAGATCCTAATAATCTTAGAGAAACACTTTACTGCTGTCACACACCCCTCTACAGTCATTAGTCTTACCGTTCTCCGATCGATCTTTCTAGCATGGTAGGAAAGGAACAGGTGTGTTTCCAGCCACAATGTTGGGTCATCACGATAGGCAAGCCCTCACCACCACATTTAAGTAGTAGCTACAGTCAGCACTTTTTAATTCTTATGCTCATTCAAAGATTCACAGCAATCTTGTCACAATCAATGAAATAAATTTCAATGAATTCTATTTTTCTAATACTGCTTCTTCATCCATCCAAAAGTTTGCAGATCGATCGTTAAATCTGATGCTTCATCGATTTCGTAAACAATTAATTGAAAAAATGCAACGCCTCGGTATTGATTCCACAACATTGAATCAATCCATCATTGTCATTTCAGAAAATGACAATAACAACAACAAAATGACCACATCTCCATTTCATGATGATGTCGAGGTTTTCGATGATGATGACAACGATGCTAATCGTACATTGATCAAAAGTGACGGGATTCATCATCACCAATCTCACCCTACATTACTTGGTTCGGCACGTGTTAATTTTCACTTGGTCAATTCATCTGACCACCATCATCATCATCATGTCAATGAAAGAAATCAATGCAACGCGACATTGATATTCAATCAGTCGAATAGAACTATCGGTGGTGCTAATCCTTTATTAGGTAAGTAATAGTAGTAGTAGTAGTAAGCTTAAATCAGTTGTCAAATCTCTTTTTTTGTGATCTGATGAATTTATGTTATCACTTTTGTGTCTGTTCTGTTAAATTGTTTCAAACTAGGGAATCGACTCAATGAACAAGTGACTTTCATTGAGCGAAATTACACTACTATCTGTTGACCTATTATATTGTTGAGATGTCAGTCGAAAGTCGAACATCAACATTACTGAACGCTACGCTTAAATGATTCCCAGCTAAATCCTATTGCTTAGTTATTCTCTGACCACATAATACACTGGACAAGTTCCAAAGAATCAAAAAAACACGGTTGAACAGGAAAAGATTATATTCCAAATAGCAAGGTTAAATGGAAATAAGAAGCCAAAGGCGAGGGCGAAAATATATACAACGTTAGTTTATTTATACCATTTACATGAGAAGCTTCTGGATAGAAATTCACGTGATCGACTGAATTAGATTTAACCAATCAGCATCCAGCTAACAACAGGAGAATTTTCTGCCCTGTTCTCCAAGAATCGATCAGGCGCTGATTGGATAGGAAATTACCTAATCGGCGCGCAGCTAACGTAGTCATGCTTTAATTCCATCTATGTCCCACTAACACTTTTGTGTCTGTTTTCTTAAATTGTTTCCAGCTGGGGAATTGACTCAATGAACAAGTGACTTTCATTGAGTGAAATTCCAATACTATCTGTTAACCTATTATATTGTTGAGTTCTCAGTTGAAAGTCAACCATCAACATTATTAAATAATCAACTGTGTGGTTGAAACTATGGTCAATTACATTTGGGGTGGATGGATGAATGTATAGGAAAGTACGCATAAAGTTGTTTCAAATTTTTCCGTATGTTCGAAACTAGTACGAGTTCACCTTACTCGGTAAACGGAACGAAGATCAATGATTCAGTGACACGATAGACTACTCTAATCCGATCATCCCAGGCCCCACTTACTAAAGAAAGGAGTCTTCATAAGACGTAGAGAAATGTTTTCCACAGGCAACCAGAATGTACACAACTCAAGCTTATTTATACAACTCATAAAACGCCCTTGGTGAGAGCCACAAAACAGCGTACTAAAATAATCCATCAACCAATGACAGTCAATGGTTTCCCAAGTGGGAGATGCAAACTGAAGGTTAAAATGAGCGTCTTTGACGCGAAAACATAAAATTCAAAATCTCAGAATAAAATTACGAAGTTAGGACATTTTCCCAGTGAGTTCTGGGGGTCTAGCATGCCCAACAGTATCTTACTAAAGTTTGTTGAGTATACTATGCGCCAAGTGAGTAATAATCACGCAATTACGCGAAGCAACCCTGCCTTTGTTACACATAATTGTGAACTTATAATGCGATTTCCTATTGGACGTGGTCTGCATGGTAAATACATATGTGTGGCGGCAAGTTTGAATAACTGGGCGTTAGAATATTCTACCAATATCCTAAAATAATTGTTTGCAAATCTAATTCTATTGGTCAATTCTTATTGGTCGTCCTAACTATCAATGTCACAGACTTCGATGTTGGTGCCTATTCAACCTATCTGCATAAATACTCATTAACTATAACGTTTTATGACCCTGACCCGGGATCCCTAGTCTGGGATCCTGATTCTCTTCTGGATTCTGACCTCGTACTTGCTGGATGTTTGTAGAATACAGGTTCTACTTCATGTCAGGTCTTGTATTCTTTTACTAAACATGGGGGTTGGGATAATCGGATTAGAGTAGCACGTCGAGTCGTCGGATTCTCGCTCACATTTTCCGATTAAGGTAAACTCGTAATAGTAGGTACAAAAAAGTACAATCTGCAACATTGAAATTGCTGGTAATCTGTTGAGAAAATAGTTGACATTAGTAAGATGTGAATTCTCGGACTGTTTACTTCTTAGTGTAAGTATATTCATCCAATAACCAAAGAGAATTATTGGTCAATTCCTATTGGTTAATTCCTACAAGTTAATTTTATGGTCGTCCTGGATATCAATGTCACGTGCTCCGATGTTATTTCTTACTGGTCGTCCGGACTATCAGTGTCATTTCAAATGTTCTTTCCTATTGGTCGTCCTAAACTGTCAATGTCACAGACTTCAATACTCTTTCCTATTCCACCTAACTGTATAAATACGTAGTATCTGTAAAGCTTTGTAATTCCGTTCCTTCCTGCCTTCCTCTCTACTGTACTCGACCCAATAAACAACTCCATCAAACGGTGTTGCATTCTGATATATAGGAGATTTGGGGAATAGCATTTTGGGTCGTATTGAAATATTTGAATTCGGACATCGGTACGTAGCAGCAGCATTATAACACTTCGTGACAAACACTAATTGTTTTGTAAAAGAAAACTTGTTGAAATATCCTGTGCTGCAAGAAGAATTCCATAGTACACTAAACGTATAAAATATTGAACACCGTCATTATTATTATTATTGGCTCGATTGGCTTTTGCCAACTTGCGTTACCTGTGGCGCAGGTGAGATATCCGCTCGCTAACCAAAGGACGAGTGTACCGTGCAGCAGTTCGCTCTGTCCGACTATATGGATGCGAAACATGGCCGTTAAGAGTAAAGGACTTCCGCAAGTGGACTGAGTCATGTTGGTAGATGTAGGCTACGTGGTCGGGTTCCATGAGACGAAAGTTACCGACCGTTAGAGACCTTGAACGACATGGTTCAGAATCGTTTGCAATGACGTAGGTGCATCCACTCTTTGTGTTCTCTCCTATTCTAACCTTCTGAATTCCTCATCATCTTTATCTTTCTCCTTCTAAATTAATCTCACTGAATTATATTTCTCAAATCATATCAGTCAGTCAGTCAGTTGCAACGTAGAACTTCGTACGTATGTACATAAGTTCATGTTGCCATACCACAGCACAGACGCGAATGTCAAATCAAATCCCATAGTGATAGAGGTAGTAGAGGTATTAATGTTAATGAAGAAGACTAGGGTTCGAAGATATTATTCAAGAAGTATGATTCAGTGAGATAAGGTTAGAAAGACAAAGGTAGAGGTGCTGACGAATCCAGAAGATTAGGATTTGAGAGAGCTCGACGAATGGATGCACTTGCGCCATCGCAAACGATTTTGAGCCATGTCGTTCAAGGTCTCTAACCATTGATGACTTTCGTCTCGCGGACCACACCAGGTAGTCTACATCTACCAACATGACTCAGTTCACTTGTCAGTGACTTCATGAATTTGTGCCATGTTTTGGTTTGGCCGCCCCTAACTTCCTTCCAACCTACTCCTACACCACAAAACATAGCTCTTCACTCCTTAATCTTCTCCATTACTGCTAATACTTCTACTATCACTATCACTCTTGGATTTGAACTGACAGTTGCGTCTCTGTACTGATGTGGTATGGCAACCTGAACTTGATGTACTTACGTACGAAGTTCTGCGTTGTATCTGTCTGTCTCTATTATTATTATTATTATTATTATTATTATTATTATGGTAATCAGTTTATTCTATCAATCGATATTTGTACCGAATATATTCCCTTAACAGATAAATCATCACATCAAAATCTACTAGATTTTTCCGATGAAGATGATGATGATGACGATGAGAAGGAGGAGGAGGATGTGGACGATGTCGGTGATGCTGATTACCGTCCTTCTCTCCCACCGTTGAAACCCATATCTAGTGGTAGTCGTAGTAGTAGTAGTAGAACTACTGCTGCTGCTACTAATCTTTCTAATAAACAAAACCAATCATCAGCAAAAAAGAAGAACACTGGAACAAGAGTTACTCGTCAGCGAAATAATCTGACGAACAAAAATAATTCACAAAAATCGACAACAAGTCGTCGCAAAGTTGTCCTTCATTCGGATCATTCGGATGACGACGATGAGAAGGAGGAGGAGGAGGAGGATGACGACGAAGAGAATTGCAACGTTCGTACTAGAAGTAGAAGTAGAAGTCGTAGTACTACTACTAATAATAATAATACTAATAGAGCAACAACCAGTTCACGTAGTCGTAATGCGAAAAAATTGAAACATTCACAAAAACCATGTTGAACTATCAAGTGTTTCACAGAAAAAAATTGAATTGAAGAGAGATTTTTTCTATTGAACAACAAACACTGTTGTTATATTGTTTTTTTGTATACTGTATATGATAAATTGTGTACTATTTTTTTTTAAAAAAAAGAAAAATTAATTTTTTAATTAATTGTGTATATTTAACCCAAAAAAAAATTGATTATCAATATATGAAATTCTTTGTATATTTTTTTCTTGTTCTGACACAAATCTATGAAGTCATTGATAAGTGCTTCGAAGCATTGCTCGTATATCGTGGGACACCCGAGTTAGCAACGCTGTTATTAGGAAACGGGTACTAGATAAGAATGGCAGATCAATCGATGAAGTGGTGAAACTTCATCAGTTGAGGTGGTTGGGACATGTGTTACGTATGGCTAACCACCGACTGCCTCAACGAGCTTTGTTTTGTAGTGTAGGAATAGGTTGGAAGAAAGCTAGGGGCGGCCAAACCAAAACATGGCAGAAATCCATGAAGTCATTGACTTGTGGACTTAGCCATGTTGGTAATTGTCGACTACCTGGTTGGGGTGGTCCGCGAGATGATAATAATCGATGGTTAGAGACCTTGAATGACATGGCTCAAAATCGTTCGCAATGGCGCCGGTGCATTTATTCTCTGTGTTCTCTCAAATTCTAATCTTCTGGGTTCTTCAACACCTCTAGCTTTTACTTTCTAAACTTATCTCGTTGAATCATACTTCGTGAATAATATCATCTAATTCTAACGTCTACGATTACTTCTGATACCTTTACTACCTCTTCTACTATTGGATTTGAATTGACAATTATATCTCTGTGCTGATGTGGTATGGCGACATGAACTGATGTACTTACGTACGAAGTTCTACGTTGCAACTGACTGACTGATAAGTGGACTAAGTCAATGTTGGTAGATGTCGACTACGTTGTTGGTGTCCGTGAGATGATAGTAACCGATGGTTAGAGACCTTAAACGACATGGCTCAAAATCGTTTTTGAAATAGCGCAGGTGCATTTACTCTTTGTGTTCTATGAAATTCTAACCTTCTGAATTAATCATCACCTCTATATTTCTCTTCCTAAATTCATCTCACTGAATTATACTTCTTGAATAACATCTTCAAACCCTAGTCTTCTTCATTACCATTATTAATACCTGTACTATCTTTATCACTATGGGATTTGATTTGACATTTGCGTCTCTGTGCTAATAATGTGGTATGGTAACATGAACTCATGTACGTACGTACGTACGAGAGCTACGTTGTAACTGACTGACTGTGTTTTCTTGTTCAATGAATTATAAATCATGACAAGTGTTTGTGTGTGTAGTTTAAAATTTTTCCCTTCTTTGTTTGTCATATCATGTCCGAAGAAGACTTTTATGCGAAGGAGGCAAAGATATATTTCGACTTTATTCAAATTTAAAAATTTTCATATGAGTTGTCGTCTTGTAGTAATCTGGGAAGTTTTCAACGTTCGCTCCACTCTTCAATTGGCCTTACGGACCAAGACGGAAATCTGTATCTGAATAGTATATTCTATTGTAATATGGATTAGTAGTATTAGTAATAAGATGGATCAGGTCACTCTTATGATGTTGTTGTTTAATGCGGATCGGTAATCTCTTAAGTGTGAATTTTTCCTTAGTAAAAGTGATAAGGTTGGAAAATACATTCAAGTGTAATTAAAGCTACTTGATTCACGATTGGTTGGCTTACTTACTTACTTACTTTCGCCTGTTACTCCCAATGGAGCATAGGCCGCCCACCAGTTTTCGCCAACCAACTCTGTACTGCACTTCCCTCTCCAGTTCTGTCCAATTCTTGTTCATTCTTCTCATATCTTTCTCTATTTCTCAGCGTAATGTGTTCCTTGGCCTTACTCTTTTCCTTTTTCCTTGAGGGTTCCATGTGAGGACTTGTCTCGTGACGTAGTTAGGTGCTTTTCGTAGTGTGTGTCCTATCCACTTCTTCCCGATTTCCTCCACCACTGACGACGACACCTAAAACTAGTGACGGCGTGAATTAGTTCAACGTGTTGACTGCTTCACTTACCTGGGGAGTCATTAGTGCTGAAGGCCTAGTGTGTGACGAAATCTCAACGCCGATAGTGAAAGCTCGACTGGCTTTCGCCAACCTGCGTCACTTATGGCCTAGGCGGGTGATCAACCATAACATGACACAAATCCATGAAGTCATTTGACGACTAGACCACCTAGTTGGGGTCCGCGAGATGAAAGTAAACGATGGTTAGAGACCTTGAATTACATGGTTCAAAGTTATTTGCAATGGCGCAGGTGCATTCATTCATTTTGTTTTCTCAAATTATGGAGACCCAGCAAACTGATGCAATCACAAATAAATAAATCATAAGAATGTGAAACTCGGTCGACGGAAGTTTTGTGTTTTTGTTGAACTGAAGTACCATTTCACCAGTATTCATATGTCCTTAACATATGTGTAAAAGGAAGAATTTTTCCAATCAACAATAACATCGATTTTTATAGTAATCATCAGAAATCACTGTTTCATTTCTTGTAATGTTGTTGTAAAACAGGTGTGCAGTTCATGGATTTTGGTGACTAGTTAGCGGAAGATTTTTGTGAGTTCACATACAAGCTTTCACACATTGTGTGAACATCCGATCGTTTGATTAATTCCACATTCGCCAAGCGCTATTAACAACACTGAGCCAGTAGCTAAACTCTTCCTATTTTATCCAACGACTTTCTGCTCCGCTGTTGAGTGTGCAGAAGTTGAGAACCAGCTTCTACTTAGTTCCTTATTGTTGATTTTACGCACGCACATGACCAACGTCCCGACCGTAGCTGCTACCTTGACACGTGGTGGTCGGGCTTGCCTATTGTGATGACCCAACCGGGCTATATTGGCTGGAACTTATGTTCCTGAAGGTTCTACCATGCCAGGCAGGTCGAATGGAGAACGATGAGACTAAATGCAGCTACTCACGGTCTGAGGGCGAAGTCGTACCGCTGACTTCAGAGGGGTGTGACAGCAGTAAGGTGTTTCCCTCGGACGACCAGCATCTGCAGTGATGCTACCTTCTGACAAGGAAGGAGGGGTTAGAAAAGTTCGACCTTAAAAATGTCACATCTCACCCTACCTCACGGATTTCTGTCTCCGGCGGTAAGGGTGCCCACTAAGGGCTTTCAAGAGCGGAGCTAACACTCATAAAACTCATAAAAAGGCCGTGCGTGACCGGCCTTAAGCAGTTGTCCCTTGGGATCTGTGATCACTCTTCCAGGTCTCTAAGACCAACACTAATCTATCTTCCTTTTCAGGTCCCTCAAGAAACAACCTTCCACGGTGTGGGCAGCCGGGAAGTGACAACCGCCCTCATACTCGTAGCAGCACACGAGACCAAATTGGTAAAAATCGAATCCTTTCTACACCCACACATACCTCTCTCCTCTCCACAACGAACTCTACTCACAGTCCCTTTTCTCACTGCACCGCTGATGCAAACGATGAGACTTCACAAAACGTCATTCCTGGTCTCTTGAAACCTCGTTCTAGTCTACATGTTGGAGCATTTAATATATGGACATTGTGTCAAATAGGGCAACAGGCATCATTAGCTAGGACTTTAGAAACTCGTGCCATCGATGTATGCTGCGTCTCGGAAACGCGCATACAGGATCTTAGTAAAGTCATTAATCTGATTTCACCTTGTCAAAACGAAGAGGCAGCTCGATTTACTCTTCGTGTATCCGGTAGCCCTGATGCTGCTTCCAGGGGTCTTGCTAGCGTAGGTATAGCACTGAGTCGTAGAGCTGAACAATCTCTCCCAGACTGGATCCCAGTAGATAGTCGTTTGTGCGCTGTCCGACTCAACGGGACAGTAAAGACTCGTAAGGATAGGGACACTCGCCGTTGCCTCTTCGTCATATCTACCTATGCCCCCACTGACTGCAGTGCAGACGAGGTTAAAGATGAGTTTTACAGAAAGCTTTCGGACCTCCTCCAAAAAGCTAGGCGCTCTGATATAGTAATAATGGCTGGTGACTTTAATGCTCAAGTAGGTAGACTAAGTGAAAATGAAAGAAATCTAGGTGGATGTTATGGTGTAGCGACTGAGAGAACAGTCAATGGCGACCGTCTGTTGCAACTATGCTCAGATAACCGCCTATTCTCAGCGAACACCAACTTTAGGCATAAGGAAAAGCATCTGTTGACCTGGCGACCCCTGAAGTCGTCTCATCGTTGGACTCAACTAGATCACATCGCCATCGGCCACCGATGGAGGGGTTCGATAGAAGACTGTCGCTCGTTGTGGGGCACATGTTTGGATTCAGATCATGCTCTAGTGCGAGCGCGTATTTGTTTGAAGCTTACTGGGCGTAGGAAAGACACCGTAAGGAAGCCTCTTAGGGTTTTACTCAATGATTAAAAGAAATATTTCAGGAGCAACTAGAAACAAAGTTAAGCAACGATGTAAGTGATTCCCATCCAGAAGCAGGTTGGTATGATATCAAAAGGCTGTGGAAAAAGCAGTGATATCTGTTAGTAAAGTAAACCATAAGGCTAGGATGAAGCCGTGGATCTCTGTATCATCCACCGATCTGATGGATGCCCGAAAACTCATCCCACCTGACTCTGAACATGATGAAGAGCGAAGGCAGCTCAAGCGCAGACTTATAAAAAGTCTGCGTAACGACCGCGAACAGTGGTGGGTGGCGAAAGCAAAAGCGATGGAAAAGGCAGCGGCGATAGGCAACAGTAGACAACTTTTCCGACTTATCAAGGAAACTGGTATTAAGAACCCGAATGTGAGTGAGACTATCTTGGAAAAGGATGGTCTTATTATCCATTCTCAATCCACGAGACTGGATCGATGGGCAGAACACTGATTGTCCCAATCTATAAGAAAGGACAAAAGTCTTCTTGTGACAATCACAGGGGAATAAGTCTAACTAATATAGTATCTAAAATATTGGCCTCAATAATACTTCGACGCTTAACGAAAGCTCGTGAAGAGCAGACTCGAGAAAACCAGGCTTGTTTCAGATCTAGAGGTGGATGTATAGACCAGATATTCACACTTCGGTAGATCCTAGCACATAAACACATATTTCGACATACCACCACTGTTGCATTTTTCAACTTTAGAGAGGCGCTCAACTCTGTCTACTATGAGATACTGTGGCAGTGTATGGTTGGAAGGTATATTCGTAGGCTATTAGTATTTGATCATAGCTGTCTGTGAAGCATTGTTCAAGTATCACGGGACCTCTGTGTATGTTTATATGCATGCAGACAGCTTCAAATATGAGGGCACATTATAAACTATGAGATGAAATTATTTATATAGATACATAAATATTCTTACAAAGGGTGTTGCATCCCTAACCTCTGACCAGTATCACAAGACAAATACGAAACAACCATCAGAATAATGTTTTATCATCTTATTTTCAAACAGAATTATGGAGATTAGTGTTTTTACAGATTGAAATAATCAACCAATCAATGTGTAAAAACACTACTAATCTCCATAAGTCTAATTGAAAAAAGCGTACAATGTGCTCACTAGTGACTAACTAGCTTTGTGAGAAAATTCTCGGAGTTCTAATGAGAAGACGTGACTAGTGGAGTTCATCCCTGTCAGTTTTAAACATGGACTACCGAAAAAAGATGAGTGAGACCGCAGCGCAAAATCCCTAGGTTGATTAGAGTTAAACATTAACACCATTGAATGCCGCCCGACTCAATGGTCCAAAGGTTAAGCGTTCGCACTCAAGACCGAAAGTCCTAGGTCCGAATCCTGCGAGTTGCAGGAGTTGTGGATGCGCAACGCTGACGAGTCCCATACCAGGACGAAATGGCCGTCTTTCGATGCTTCCAGGTTTCTAATGATGGTCTAACAATGATTGAATGAAGATGTCTTATCGCCAACGAGAAAGTGAGTCTGTAAATGATGAACTGGAACAGTCAATCATACAAAATCAGTTAATTGTTTCATCATAAACTTATGAGCAAAAAAAGAAATATAAGTATATAATAATCTAGTTATATAATGATTATACAATCAAAATATGTATGATAATAATAATAATAATCCGTCAGGAGATCCTATCAAATGGCTGCTCGTGACTGACAATAAGTTCATACAACATTCATCCCTCTGGGATCATCATTCAGGAGCTGATGTGCACCGTTGGTTCGAAATGACAGTTCACTAACTCCTCACGACCAAGGTCGATCCTTGGTATCCACACTAATATGGTTAGCGACATGGTCGGCTTTTTATTTTCTACCCTTTCAATTTCGGTCAACAACAGAAGTTCCAATGCAGGATAAGGAATTTCATACTACAAATGTCAAGATAATTATTGGCAAGGATTGAACAATGAAAAGCAGTTCGTTTAAAACTGTTCAGTTCATGTAGGCCATGATTTGGAAACTAAAGATTACAAACGGTGAAAGAGTTACAAACCGAAAGTCAATAGTCTACAATTTTATGTAACAAAGGCAGGGTTACTTCGCGTAATTACGTGATCTTTACTCATTATTTAACAAATCTTAGTTGTAGCTAACTATAATTTATATCAAACATTTAATTATTTTTACACGTTTTAAATCATGAATCGATCAATGTTAGACTACCATTAGAAACCTGGAAGCACTGGACGGCCGTTTCATCCTGGTACGGGACTCATCAGCAGTACGCATCCAGGTTTCTAATGGTGGTCTAACAATGATTGAATGATGATTTCAAATATGTATAAACAATAATCTCCATAACTCTAAATGCAAAATTTAATTATTTAATAATTTTGATGTTCCGATTTCGGATCAGATACAAACAAGATCTCAACACCAAACAGACAGTATTATAATTTCACTCAATAAAAGTCACTTGTTCATTGAGTCAATTCCCTCGCTGGAAACAATTTAACAAAACAGACACACAAAAGTGATAACATAAATCCCTTATATCACAAAAAAAGAGATTTAACGACACTGACTTCAGCTAACTACTACTACTATTACTCACCTAATAAAGGATTAGCACCACCGATAGTTCTATTGGATTGATTGAATATCAATGTCGCGTTGCATTGATTTCTTTCATTAATAACACGATGATGATGATGATGGTCAGATGAATTGACCAAGTGAAAATTAACACGTGCTGAACCAAGTAATGTAGGTTGAGATTGATCCAATGTACGATTAGCGTCGTTGTCATCATGATCATAAACCTCAACATCATCATGAAATGGAGAAGTGTTTGTCCTTGCCCACACCTTCTGGCGAAAGCCAAGTTCCTTTAGAAGTCACCGGACCAATGCTCTTGCTAATAATCTGACTAACAATGGGTACATGAAACATTCAGCACAATGTCGGAGGAGACTTGGAGAAAATCATTCACGTTGCTGTGGAAATAAGAACAAAAAAAGGTGATGCTTTCAATAAATAAGTGGAACACTTTTTGTCAAATGGATGTCATTCCAACAAAATGTCCTATCCCATTACAACTTCTGTAAATTCAAATCAGATCACATGACTTTTATACTACGACTACTACTCCTACTGAAATCAATACATTTGAATATTGAGCAGGTATAGTTAGTTGTTAAATATCACCCAGATATTGATTTTTGTCATTTTCACTAAAATATTTAAATTATTGACACAATTCATTTTAACAATGCAATGAAGTGGAATGATCAAGGGAATAATGATTGACTGAAATAAAAAATTCATCACCACACACCAACAACAATAATGTCCAAATTTTCATTGGAACAAATCAATGTCATATCAATACATGCTTATTATGATCAGAAATCAACGGAAATTATTGAAATGACCAATTTATTAAAATATAAAAGTCAACATTTTCATTGTAAAGTAAAAATTATCTTGAATGAATGCATTGCAAATCAATGTTGGAGTATTGGCTTAGTACAAGCATGTGATCAATTGTATTTGGAAAATCGTTATGGGAATTATGGTAGTACATTTTGGGAATTTCATCCATTAAAATCTGGTCGTCATAAAATGGTCAATGATAGTGATGGACGTCAATATCCATTTTATAGTTTAATTAATAGTAAATATGAAATTTATCGTGGTATAGTATCGGATAATATGATCACACTGACATATGAAGATCATTTCTATCCAACAGTTGCATGGGAATTGCCATATTATGGTGGTGTGAAATTGACCGATATATCAAGAAAACAAGATTTTTGGGTATGGTTAATTGCTATTAAACGTGCTAGAAATCGTAAACCGAATTTTTATGGTCTAGTCAATGTAGAACAAGATGAAGTGTATATATTGAATACAATACGTTGGCGTTATACCCTACATATGACATTTGATCCTTATCAGTTGATTGGTAAACGTTTAAAACGTATTTACGATTTACAACAAGAACAACCAATTGTATTGGAAGATAATAGAACATTACCATTGTCTGCATTAAGTCCACCACATTGTAATTCAGCACAATCATTAATTTGGTATCCGAATAATTCAAGAGATCAACCGAAATTGATTGTTCCACCGAAACAAATCATTGTACCATGGAGAACATGGACAAATGAAATGACATTGAGTGGTAGTAATTATGTTAAACGTCCAGAACAATGTATTCTAGTTGGTGAATGGTTTCATGATGCAGAAATCGGTATTAAAAATGATTCTACCAATGTGGACACCGATCATAATCCACATGCTCCTCCTCCGCCTCCTCCTCCACGTGGTTCGGCGAATCAATCGACCGGTCTTGTCACTACTGTACGACCATCTCGTGCACCGAAACATTCAAGAGGTTTTTAATGTGGAACCGAAAAAAAAAGAAAAGTGCGCGAAAATTGATTTTGCAAGCAACAAACACATCGGCTTTTTAATGATCATGGTGACAAAAAAAACACTGCATTTTCTTTTGTGATAAACCAACATTTAAAAACACATTTTACGGTAAACTTCATGAATTCATTGAATTCTTTATTGCTTTTTTTAAAAAATTTTTTATTTTGAAAATGAAAAATTGAACTGTTTTGTTTTCGTTTTTTTTTGTTTAATGGCATTGTTGTTTTACTGAACTAACTAACTAACTAACTAACTGCCTTTCCGCAATGATCGTGTTCTTTTTGGTGTAAGAACGAACGCTTCAATTATTTCAGTGAAAAAAAAAGAAAAGGAACAACAACATAGTTCTTCTCTTTTATACTGTTTATTTCTAATAATCAAATATTTGGATAGTTAGTATAGAACGCGATCAAGGGCTAGCAATCAAATTGTCGATGCGCGGATTCCTGTGGGACAGCATGTTGTTGCTCTTGATGTCTGGCCAATGGATCCGCAGTATCTTGTGTAAACAACAACTTCCTGCCCTAATATTATAATAGAATAGTTGTATTGATATTTGTGTTGAAAAGTGTGACTGACAGGCAGAGTTATTTGAGTTGCAGATGGATGTTCTTACGCTGTAGAAATGCTGCCCTTGGTTTTTCACTAATCCATATCTTTACATCTTCGTTTGATACACCTTGTTTATCAATGATGCTGACTAGGTATGTAAAGTGTTTATACATTCTCTAAAGCTTCTTACATCAAGTGTGATTTGGTCGGTGTATTTTGTGTTGTATCAGAGTATGCCTTTTTCTTTTGTGTATGCAGAGACCTACTGTTGCTGAGGCTGCTGCTACACTGGTCTTCTTCTCTTGCATTTGTTGTTGTGTGTGAGTTAGAAGAGCTAGATCATTTGCAAAGTCTAAATCGTCCAGCTGTGTGTTAGTTATCCACTGTATACCGTGCTTCCCTGTTGATACGGAAGTCTTCATAATCCAGTTGATCACCAGTAGAAAGAGAAAGGTTGAGAGTAAGCAAACTCGTTTGACACTAATCTTCACATTGAATGAATCCGTGAGCTGCCTTACACGCACAATTTTGAGGTTTGTTCCATCGTACGAATTCCGTATGATGTTGACTATCTTCTCAGGTAAACCATAGTGTCAAAGAAACCTCCGTAATATCGTCTTGTCCACTCTGTTGAGTGCTTACTCGTAGTCTGGGAAAATCAGGTACAACGGTAAGTTTCATTCAGTTGATTGTTCCACAATGATCCGAAGTGTTGCGCGTGATATGGTCGGTACATGATCGATCACTACGAAATCCAGTTCGGAGTACAGTCATGTTGTTTTGATGAGCTCTCGGAGAGATGGTGTTTAAGATAATAAGTATAAATTTTCAATTAATTCGAGACTGTAACGTTTGCGTAACGTGCAGTGACAGCTATGAGAGATTTTATTGTTATGGTTTGTACCAGTTGGCAGTTGTTGCAACTAAGACGCATTAGTCTCAGTCACCTATTTCAAGTTAAACATGTTTGTGATAGATTTTGATTTCTTGTGTAACATAGACCAAACAATGATTCAGTCACTTTTTACAATTATAATTTTTTAATTACTTAAAAGATAAGTTTTGCAGTCACAAAGGAGTATGATTTTTTGTCTTAACACCCTACGATTTACTGGGATATATATATGGTTACCAGCTAAGCCATCATAAGTCTACCGTGAGATTGTGGAGAAAATTTCTAGCTCAGGTGGGTGATCATGGCGGAGTTTTGTTCTCTGAGCTGAATGTGTTTGAATGTGTAACCTTCATTGATTGGTCTTCTGAACTATAACATCATCAGCGCAAACTTCAGGTGTGGAAGAAGTGAAGTATTCGAATTTCTCTACGTTTGACCAGTAGCTTGTTCTGTTAACCTCGATCTTAATCGGTTGTTATTGAACTCCAACCTGTCATTGTCTACACCTTTATTTTGATTGCATCCCCCTTTCGATCTGTCTCTTGATCTTATGTTTGCCTATGATTTTTCTAACTGGTTGATAAATTAAAGTCAATATCTATGTGCTTATTGATTTGCTGATTGACTTGAGTGCTAAGCTTGTAAAAATTCTCTAGTGTTCTTTGTGCTTCCTCTATCCTCACTAGATAGGCAAACAAAGATAGATTTCAGGTCAATAGCAACCAATCAAGATCGAGCGAGGGTTAACACAACAAGCTACGGGTCAAACGTGGAGAAATTCGAATACTTCACTTCTGCTATCTGAAGTCTGTGTTGATGTTGTTGTTCAGAAGAGGCACAATCAAAGCATCCAGCTGAGAGAACCGAACTGCATCACAAAGTCTACCTTCTTTACGATCATTTGTTAATGGTTTGGTTATTATGCATTGTGTGCAAACATCACTATTGTAGTGTGTGTGCTGGCTTTTGGACAAACTAGTTAATCTATCCTACTTGAGTTATTATTCTCACACGTTCCTGACCTTGTCAACTATTCACTTATGACCTTCGTTGTTTTCATCTGAGTATGTGTGTGTGTGTATCGCTCACTTCGCTTATCACATGACTAAATGATATATTTCTATGACTATAAATACTTAGCTATACGTCATCAAAACGAGTTGGCTCGCTCGCTCTTATGTCTGTCTGCAGACACAAGCGTGTGTGTGTGTGTGTGTGTGGAATAAATTCATCCAACTCACAGTAGTGTAGTTGGCTTCTACGGGGTTCGTCTAAGATTGATTATCTACGGGAGATTTATTTCGTCTAAAATGAAGTCAGATATAAAACGGGCCACTAAACTATCATTGAAGTAAATCTCAACGAAATAAACAAATCACTTACAGAGTAGTGAAATAAAGATAACCAACTTTTAGATTTAAGGCAGAAATTCTGTTAAAATCGTATGGAGATATTATGACGTCACTTAGATGTATTCGCAAATAAATAGAAATCCTAAGCAATGCTTTCCACTCCAAAGGATAGCCTAAACTCAATTGGTTCACAAATTCTCAATGTGAACAGTCTGACCATAACAAATTACTGAGTTAATAGTATAAAACTGACTAATTCAGAAAGTGTTTGTCAACGACAGGACTCAGACAATCTTTTCATGAGTTTGCCAGTACACAACAATGTCAACAGCAGTCCCGATATATTCTTTGAGGGTAATATGCAATGTCAGTCAAATATACACTTCAAACACTCTAACCTATTACTGTGTACATCTGTTCGAATCGCTTTACTATATTAGCATAGCGAGATAAAATTATCATACCAAATAGTAGATAAGTAGATGCAGTCAAGGTGTTAGCAGTAGTAGAAGAGTTTGGGCACAACAAATATTATGATTAACGACGAAAAAATGAATTCGTGGGATATAAATTGCCCGTAATTTAAGACAGTCATTCAGTTACAATGTAGAACTTCGTACGTAAGTACATCAGTTCAGGTCGCCATACCGCATTAGAACAGAGACGCAGTTGTCAGTTCAAATCCCATAGTGGTAGAGATAGTAGAAGTATTAACGGTTATGGAGAAGATTAGGGTTCCAAGATATGATTCAAGAAGTATAATTCAGTGAAATAAACTTAAAAAATAGAAAGATAAAGGTAATGAGGAATTCAGATTAGAATTTGCGAGAACACAACGAATGGTTGGATCTGCGCCATTTCCAAACGATTTGGAGCCCTTTCATTCAAGGTCTATAACCATCAGTGACTTTCATCTCGTGGACCATAACCAGGTAGTCAACACTTACTAACATGACTCAATCCAGTTGTCAATGACTTTATCGATTTGCGCCATGTTTTGGTTTGGCCGCCCCTAGCTTTCTTCCACCCTGCCCTTACACCACAAAACATAGCTCGTCGAGGCAGTCGGTTGTTGGGCGCAAATAATACATATCCCAACCACACCAAATGATGAATATTCACTACTTAGTCAATTTATCTGCCATCCTTATATAGTACCCATTTTCTAACCACAGCATTGCTTACTCAGTGGTCCTAAGATATAAGAGTGATACTTCGAAGACCTACGAATATCCTCTACTCATAATGGCCATGTTTTGCAGCCGTACAGTAGGACTACTGCGCAGTACACTCGTCCTTTGGTTAGCAAACGGAGAGAGAGTAGTAGTGTAGTGAATGAGAACACAGGTGGGGCAACCGAATTATATTTATCTCAAATTACAGAGTTACTCAGTAAAATTGGAAAACCATATCGTAAATCGTTAATTTGCAAAATATAAGTTCATCATAGCGAACTGGACTGTTCCTGTTGCAAAACATCAATCCATTGTCACTATTCATGCGTTTCATACAAATTCCATTGTGTTCCCCGCCATTCCTTTCTTGATCTTCCCCCATCCTCTTCTGCTGCCAGACATTACGTTGACGCTCACGTCATATACTACCAATAAGTAGCTCGCACCACAGTCCCAGTATTCAAAACTTATAATAACTTAAACGTTAATTAATACATATATATATATTTACAAGCATAAATCAAATGTACATTGTCAATTATCGTATAATGAATGAGTTTATTTAGGCATTAAAATCATACATAACACAATCAATGTTAGTTTTATGTAAGAAAAAATTAATATATAATAAACGATGTTGAATTCTCGAATAGCAAGGGAGACTAAACTTCAATACCAATAACAACAACAACAGCAGCAGTAAATTTAATTAATCTGATGAGAATATTCGAGAAGAGACATCTTTCAGTAACCAATTGATACCTTCTAATAAATTCTCTCCAGTAACTGCACTACAACCAAGAATTAACCAATGATGTGTTGTTATTTCGTCTAAATGTAATAATTCACGTATTTGTGCTGGTTTCAATGATGCAGATAAATCCTAGAATATTTAGAAAAAAAAATATGTATATATATATATATATATATATATATATATATATTTCGGATTATAATGAAGACAAGTTCAACACAAAATAGACAGAATGGTTCAAAAAACGCTAAGCTTTCGACCAATAAGTTAAACGAACACGACGGATTGGCTATAGGGATCGCAATAGGGTATCAAGGTTAAATGCGCACACATTCATACTAGGTAAATTAGATATGTAACATAACATTTATCAGTCAGTCAGCCGCAACCTAGAATTCAGTACGTACGTATATCAGTTCAAGTTGGCATACCACATTAGCATATAGAGAGAGATGGAATTATCAATTCAAATCCCACAGTAGTAGGGGCAGTAGACGTATTAGCAGTAATGGAGAAGATTAGTGTTCGGAGATATAATTCGAGAAGTTATATTACAGTGACAAAAGGTTATGAGAAATTTAGGTTAAAATTTGAGAGAACACAAAGAGTGGATGCATCTGCACCATTCCAAACGATTTTGAGCCGTGTCAAACATCGGTGACTTTCGTCTCACGGATTCCAACCAGATAGTCTACATCTACTACTCTGGTTCAGTCAAGTCGTCAGTGACTTCATGGATTTGTGCCCTGTTTTGGTTTGACTGTCCTTAACTTTCTTCCAGTCTACACCTAAATCGGACGACATCGCTCGTCGAGATAGACGGCAGTTAAACATACGCGACATATATCCCAAATACCTCAACTGATGAAGATTTAGTACAGCAGCAACTGATCTGACATCTTTCTCTAGTACCCGTTTCCTAACAACAGGATTGCTTGCTTGGCGGTCACAGGATATACTAGGAATGTTTCTTAGACACTGATGATCATGTACTAGTAACCCTTGGAAATTCTTTATTCGTACTGGCCATGTTTAAGATAAGGAAAGTAGGATGGAGCACACTGCAGCGCGACACAACCTTTATACAAAGTATTATGAAAATACTTACGAGATATTTTAAGTTTGACATAAAGAGAATCAGTATTCCTCAGTCTATTTATCAGTAATTTGAGAAGTATCCATACGAAATTGTTGGCACATAATCCTAAACATTTTATTTCAGATAACCCGACCGTAGCTGCTACTTTAACGTGGTGGTTGAGGTTGTTTATCGTGATAACCCAACTGAGCTATAATGGCTGGAACGTGTGTTCCTTCAGGCCGAACCATGCCAGGCAGATGGATTGGAGAACAGTAAGACTAAAAGCAGCAACTCAAGGTTTGAGGGTGAGGTTGTACTGCTACCTGTGGAGAGGTGTGACAGCATTAAGGTGCTTCCGTCGAACAACCAGCATCTGCAGCAATGCTGTCTTCTCACAACGAAAGGAGGGGGTCCGAAAAGGTCGAACCCGAAAATTGTACGCCTCACCTTACCCCACGGATTCTCGTCTCTAGTGGTAAGACCTTTAGAAGAGTGGAGCTGACACATCGTAAACTTCCTGTAAAAAGGCTGTACGTGACCGGCCTCAAGCAGTTGCCCCTTGAGCTTTGCGGTCACGCTCCCAGGTCGTTAAGATCAACGCTAATCCGATTTCTTTTTCAGGTTCCTCAAAAACATTCTTCCACGGTGTGGACAGCCGGGAAGTGACATCCATTCTCATACCCCTAACAGCACACGAGATTTCGATTTTATGTAAATGATTCACAATTCTATCTACTTCTTAAACTGTTTACAACTGATTACTGAATGATGCACCGTCTATGATAGTGCAGATGAGTTTTATTTCTCATGGAACTTGTAAACAAAATATTTCGTTTACGAGTTGTGAATCACTTACCAAAGATTTTAATGGTCATTAAGTATTCGGAAAGACTAGATTTATATAATTATGTTATTAGTACAAATATTTATTGTTGTATTTAAACGCATGACCGTTGGTGCAACGAGACATCCGCAAATTTATACACCATATAAATCAATGAATTTGTGAGTGCCTGAACCGAAGCAAGTGGTGTTTTCTTAGGAGAATAATCCCTGAATATTTGACCCAGAGGTCCAATTCACGAAGTAAGTTAAGGAGCTGCAGTCCCATAGTATCCGGTGAAGAACAGTTGGCTCGTATACCATTTGTTTCCTCAGTAATCTGGATATGACTGGTTAGGGGTCAATTTTTCAATTCCTCTAGGTGGATCTTCCATACTCACCAACCCAGTGAGAGCTCTAGTCGGACTTCTGCTTTTCATCTTCTTGATTTGGTAAACAAAAGACCCACTATAGAAAAGTAGCGAGTAGGACTTTCGTGGCAGTGGCTATACATACGTAACTATACGAGAGTATTTTGAGAAGGAATCGAACTCTTCCCACTCTCGACCACACCAGGGCATTTCACGAACAAATTCAAATATAAACCCAATTATAAGTGTATCGTTTTTAAATAGACAGTCTTAGTTAGAATTGAAACATAAGAATCTAAATCTGAAACCAGCCTGGTTTTCTCCAGTCTACTCTTCATGAACTCTAGTTCAGCGTCCAAATATCATTGTCAGTCAGTCAGTCAGATGCTACGTAGAACTTCGTACGTAAGTACATCAGTTCATGTCGCCATACCACATCAGCACAGAGATATAATTGTCAATTCAAATCCCACAATAGTAGTAGAGGTAGTAAAGGTATTAGAAGTAATCGGAGGGGTTAGAATTAGAAGATATTATTCAAGAAGTATGATTCAGTGAGATAAGGCTAGAAAGTCAAAACTAGAGGTGTTGAAGAATTCAGAAGATTAGGATTTGAGAGAACACAGAGAATAAATGCACCGGCGCCATTGCGAACGATTTTGAGCCATGTCATTCAAGGTCTCTAACCATCGATTATTATCATCTCGCGGACCACCCCAACCAGGTAGTCGACAACTACTGACATGGCTAAGTCCACAAGTCAATGACTTCATGGATTTCTGCCATGTTTTGGTCTGGCCACCCCTAGCTTTCTTCCAACCTATTCCTACACCATAAAACAGAGCTGGTCGAGGCAGTCGGCGGTTAGGCATACGCAGTACATATCCCAACCACCTCAACTGATGAAGTTTCAGCACTTTATCTATTGATCTGCCATTCTTACCTAGCACCCATTTCCTAATAACACCGTTGCTCACTCGGTTGTCCCACGATATACGAGCAATACTTCGAAGACACCTATGGTCGAAAACCAATAACCGACGAGTATCTTCTACTCTCATTGGCCATGTTTCACAGCCATACAGTAAGACGGAGCGAACTACTGCACAGTACACTCGTCCTTTAGTCAGCAAACGGATATCACGCCTACGCCATAAGTGACACAGGTTGGCAAAAGCCAATCGAGCCTTGTGTATCCGTGCTGAGATTTCGTCAGTCACCAGGCCATCGGCACTGATGAGACTCCCAAGATAAGTGAAGCGGTCTACACGCTCAACTACTTCACTCCCTATCACTAGTTCAGGTGCCGATAATGCAACCCAGTCTTGAAGCAACATTTTGCATTTCGAGGGGGAAAACCGCATTCCGAACATGCTTGCATTGTTGCTTAGGGTAGTCAGAAGACTCTGCATTTAGTCAGCGTCTTCACCGAATAGAACTATATCATCGGCATATTCTAGATCAGTAAGCGACTTTCCTGGTAGAAGGTCAACCCCTGAAAAATTTGACGAGCTTAATGTTAACTCTAAGAGGATGTCTACGACAAAGTCAAACAAGAATGGAGAGAGTAGACAGCCCTGACGGACACCACTTGAAGTGAAGAATTCCGTTGACAGTTCGTCATAAGCTCTCACTCGACCAGTAGTGTTCGAGTAGAGAGCTTGTATAAGGTTAATGTACTTCTTTGGTACACCTTTCAATGACAGACACTGCCACAGAACCTCACGATCCACTGAGTCATATGCCGCCTTAAGGTCCAAGAAAACAACTATTGTAGGACGCCTAAATGTGTGTCTGTATTCCAGGACCTGTCGTAGTGTGAAGATGTGGTCTATACAGTAAAACAAATATTATTGAAGCTATAATATACTAGTTAAACTGATTCTACAAGAGGACTTTTGACCTGTCTTTTATACATAAACAGTAGAAAATAAAGGCAGGTAGACTCGCATTGACATTAATAATAGTAGTCACAAATTGTCAAAAACATATGAATAAACCAGATTGTTGTATGTTTAACAGCTTCTTCTATTCATGGTATTTAGAAGACTTTTGGTAACTTTCGTTAAAGATACCCCGGAATTACTGTGAGCAAAGATTTTAAAATAGATATTATCTTAACAACTGTAATGACCAATGTAAAAACATTTTATTTTAAATGAATTGAGAAGTTTTTTTTCCAAAAAGATAAACTTTAAATTAATATCTTACTTGTTTATTAGCAAATACAAGTAGAGTAGCACCGGCTAAACGTTCTTCAACTAATAGCTTCGATAATTCAATTCGACAATCTTCTAAACGTAAACGATCGGAACTATCCACAACCCATATTAAAGCATCTGTAGTTTCAAAATAATTACGCCAATATGACCGTAAAGATTTTTGTCCACCAACATCCCATATATTTAATTTAAAACTATGAAGTAAAATATGAACTTAGTAAAAAAATGTCAATGAATTGCATTCAATACCCCATATGTTCTAATGTTTGAATACTAAAACCTAAAGTTGGTGAAATACTATTGATATCTTCACCGTTGAATTTTTTTACAATCGTTGTTTTACCAGCATTGTCTAATCCTCTAATTAAAGTTTTAAAAAAGGAAAAACAAAAACATAATCGGATGAATCAGTTTGTGAAAAGAAAAATGTTACAATAAGTATACTAAGTGTAGGTGTCATCTCTTAAAGTAGGAAAAATAAACAAATTTGAAGGGTTGAGCTGTGTTTTTCTCAGTCAGTCATATACAACGATGAACTTGACACATGTGTATCGGTTCCAGTTTTCATACTACTATATTGGCACAGTGAGATAAACAAATCCTAGAGGTTCAAAAGTAATAACAGTATCAGTAGTAGAAAAGAGTAGATATCGAAAAAGAGAAAAAGTGTAAGTGTATTTCGGAACTTAGGCTCTAGAGGTAGACAGAGAGTAAATGTATGTACCACAATGCGAACAATACTGAACTATAACATTCAAAGTCGATAATTTTTGGTCGCTATTATGACGTGAACTCCAACTAGGATGTCTACAAACCTACTAACATGTACGTACGTACGTACGAAGTTCTACGCTGTAGCTGACTGACTAAACATGGTTCAGTAAACAACTTTATAGATTGATACCACATCACAGTTTGGTCGTTCAGGCGCTCAAAAAACTGATTTTCAGTCTTAGTATGATAAGTTACGATTAGTAACATAAACTTTGATTAATGGTAGCTATCCTTACTTGATGATGGCTGCTGTATGAGCAGGTTGGAAGAAAGCTAGGACTAGACACATCGAAATGTAAAATCAGTTCATCAAGCTATTCATAGTACAATTGAGGTATATTAGGTGCAGACTACCTAATTCCGCACAACTTTTTTAACCAGTGCCTAGAGGCTTGATAAAATAGTTCAGGTGTGTTCATTCTTCGTCTTCCCTCAGACCTCAAACTTCTAAACTACCTTAATAATTATTTTTATTCAGCTAGCGCATTTTTCCCTGCTCGGATCACACCTTCTATGCCCAATCTTTCCCGTTACTACCAATACCCTTCTACGGTGTGGGCAGCCGTGAAGTGACATCCGCTTTTATACCCATAACAGCACACCTGTACTACTACTCTTAGATTTGCATAAACAATTTCACTCCACTTTGTTGATCGCAACTTGAGCCGATATACATGTCACACTGTATGTAGCGTGTAGACAACTAATTCAGTCAATATCACTAAATATCTTAAACGAAATGGATGCATCAGAGTTTATTACGTGTGATTTTGTTGCGAAGTAACTCCTAAACTGTATCTAGTTTCACGTGGGCTTGTTAAATCGTATTACCTTAACATACACCGCAGTATTACGTTACACTGATGTTTGTTATTTTGTAATAGTGAATTTCTAAACTGAACTTCCAATAAACTACAGCTTCAACTGTTGCTGATAGTTTGCCAGATAGTATCTAGGTGAGGATTTCTTTTCAAAACTTATAATATACATTTATTTATCTAAGCTACCTCATCACTATCATCAACAGCAACGTAGAACTTTGCACGCAAGTACAGCAGTTCAAGTTGCCATAACACATTAGCACAGAGATATAATTGTCAATTAGAATCCGATTGAAGTAGAGGTAGTAAAAGTATTAGAAGTAATCGGAGAGATTAGGGTTCGAAGATGTTATTCAAGAAGTATAATTCAATGAGCTACCTGGTCGAGTTCAGCTCTGTAATTGCTCTTTATAATTGGAAACACACAAATGCATTAGATGGCGGGTTTAAATACACAGTCTTAAATCGACAAATAAGTTGGCACTAAACCATGAGATCCTTATCCCATTCTGGACAGTAGGAGTTTTCAAATGGGATACAAGACTAAAGGTCAGTGTTAGTAAGACAACTGATTAGGTCAGAGATTTCGCTTTATGAATGAGGTTCTTACTATAACAAATAATTGTTACTATTCGTGAAAAATTCGGACGATGGATTCCTAAATAAGATTTCGGTATTTGTTTGCACTAACGTAATTTCCACATAGTTGTTAGATATGCAATAAAAGTCAGTAACTAAGTATGGATGTGTACTACAGCCTGTTTATTGTAATCAGAACAGAGAAACAAGCATTTATTTTGGAAACTTGAAAGTAACCCTGAAGGAGTTTAGCTGACATAGTTCTACTCTTCAATAAGAACTACACAATGTTCTATATTCTGTTGCATAATCAACAACTTTTCATTGCTTCAGTTATCTGACAGACAGACACATTAGTGTTAAACCTTTCAAAAAGCATCAACCTAAGTTACCGCAAACTGCAATAGCATTGAATTAAAATGCGAAGTGATACTGGCGAAAACACAAGGAATAGGCAGAAAAAGAAACTTAACGCTCAATATCTGGCGTGTCATAAGTAAAGTATGACTCAGCAGTACCGAAACTCGTGATAGAGCATATTAATTATCTCGAGTATCTGTGAAACACTTCCCAATGCTCAAAATAGTGGTTGATGTACTTGTTGAGCAGACATTACATCTAAGTCTAGTCATTGTTATCTTTTCTTACAAACAGGACTGCCTCGATGAGGATCGGCCCAACATGAAACCAGAAAGCTCTAAAAAAAATAAACGAAGCGAGTGAAATAACAACAGATGCTGTTGCAATTCTAGTGTAATGTTTTGTTAAGAATTCAAGTACTCCAAATGAGCGGAAGAATAACGAGAAATCTCATATGTGCAACGTATATTAAGATGTAAGAATCTTGAAACATAACTAATAGGCTTCAGAAAGTCAGACGAATGAGTCTGGCAAAGAAACTTATCTTCACACTAATTTGCTTACAGTATCAATATTCTGACTTCCTTTTCTTTCTGCTTAAGTTTCTTTAGGATGGTAAACAACCCCATGGATAAGTTACAGTCTAGCAACAATGACCTTCACCGTTAAATCATTAGTTCACTAAAAGTTTGGCAAGAAGAAAATGCTAGTCTCGCAATCGGCATAACTCTCACTTGAATTCGTTAAGCTTTAAAGCCTAAAATACATTGATAATGTCACGGACATTCATAAATGGACAACGCTTTTGTCCATAACACCTTTCAGACGGAGGATACTCAAAGCCAGTTTGAACCATTGGTCAAAACTGATGTTTGGAATCTTGAGGAATGAACTAAGCCTACCATGTGATGTGACGAGTTGTGTAGCACGGCTTACCCCGAAGACGGTTTGGTACAGAGGCGTGAACAAACATCTTCACAGAGAGAGATTCCATTAAAACTAGTGTAGTATCCAATATATCCAATATCATTTTTACAAGCTAGTACAAACCGATTGACCTATTTGCTCTCGATTTTCGTTATTCCGGTACGGTTTCAGGTGTCTGGCAGTGTTATCAGCATCACTTTATTACTTACCTGTCTTAGAGTATTACCTAATGATTCAAAGCTATCGCATGGCCGCGTGCAGTATATTACAAATCTTGGCTAATAATAGTATATTCTACATTATTGTGTTTCCGGATAAGGGGAATCTCGATTTTATCCACCGTGTACACATTTATTACTTGATAAAAAATGTGCAATGTGATGCATTAGGAAGCTTTTTTCGCAAGTAGCAAATTCTAAACCATCCTAACAATTTCTGCAGGTTAATTTGAAGCTGCGGACTATCAGCCTCATTTTCTATCACTTTCCGAATCTCGACATCGCCAGCATTTAATAAAACTCATAAAGATAGGAAGCTGGGAAGGTTACTGATACACAGGAAGAATGACGCATCTCTCATAATTCATACGGTGAGTGGTTCAATATACGCAGTCTCAAAGTTACACAACTTAGGTATTCTTCTTTACTGCCCTAGTGGGCAATCTTACTGAAATCAATAAAACCCATATCAATAGGTAGTGGCTGGATATAAACAACTTTGGATTTTCGCATACTCATAACACTCTGAATAAACTGCTTAACTAGCTTTGCATCATAGGATACTCCAGACTTCAGGACGGTTATGGCACAAATATTTCGGGCTTCCCGGTAATGAGATTTCGTCTCATCAGTGCCAAATATCCTGAATTTTTCCACACTGCTGTCTTCCTACGAAAAAGTGTTTGTACCACCTTGTCGAGACAAGGTAAAAATGTCTTGGTTTTCTCGATGAAGTCCCAGGAAAGCACAATACGGAAACGCCAAGGTATAAAGTTTCAAATGGACCACTTGTAACAACTTTAGGTAAATTTATTACTCTCGCAGTCCGCTCTGAAACCGAAAGGTGTAGGTTCGCACCCGTCTCGCCCAGTCTAAATCCTAAAACGATAATTCTGGGAACGAACGGTTCTATATTTAATCAAAAAAGGAAATTCAGACAATTACCAAAACAATATTACACCTTCGAGTTTCTAATCACCACAATAGGTTCCGTTACTGGAAGAATAAGTGCACGCATTCAGCTGCTGCTAGAGTATCAAATCCGAATATGGCCGTAGCCATATTAAGTATCAATTTTAAACAACACATATATGGTTCAGAAGGGAACCATAGAAACTTCAATGTAAGTACAAGATGTAGAAATAATATCATGATACAAATGATAAAAACCCAAAATGGAATCAAATAGAGTACCAAAATATCGAACAGAAAGAGTTAGTCCTATCATAACACAAACATATATATATGCAGGGATTTTTCAAGAACAAAATCTTCAAAATAGATTCTACAACAACCTGGTTAAGTACTTTACTTTCGAAAGACTTTTCTGACATTCCGGTCCACATATTTTAGTAATCTATACAGAGTGCAACAAAGTCCCTTAGGATTAAACGTTTTTAGTGGTGACCGAGTCGAGATTGACTATGATAACCATTAAATACTAATTACTATCCCATCACAACGAATACAAAAAAATCCAGGGTATAGAATATATTTGAAGGAGAAAGTTGGTGACATCGGGAGCAGCAAGTTATCAATAATGACAACCACGCGAAAACAGAAAGCCGCGCGTAAGTAAGAGTTGTGTAGTACAGTTAAACAAAAGGTGTACAATAATAGATGTTCCTTTTCACCAATCGCATTTTCTTTGTAGAAGTGGTTGACTATACGTTAACCACTTACCATGTATCGAAATTATCTGACAAAACATCATTCACTCCGAATTTTGAAATGCGGAAAAGCACACTAGTCAGGGGCTCTTGTCCTTTGCATCTCGAGTGAACACTAACTGATTTGAACGTCTGACTTACGTGGGACATGTTGTCGATAGCGATATCAGGGTTGTTATTTTAACTAACAGTGCTTCACCTACCCCTCTACTCTTCTTTATTATCTTGGCTCAAGCTAATGCCACATCTTCAGAGACAATTTGTATACTCTCCATAGATTGAATCGGCCATTTTATGTGATGGGAATTACGAACGGTTGGTCTGAGAGAACTGGACCTTAACCTATGTTCCGTTGGTGGTAAAGGTGTAAGTAAATAAGTAACTATGTATACCTACAATTGTTCCACTAACCTTCGAAATCCCACGGACATTAACCGAAAAATCTACTGAGATAAAACAGTTTGTGATTGCCGCCATATCAGCCAACCAAATATCGGGATGGCGGGAAACAGATACGTTATGCACATCATACGTCTGAGGCATATAGTACAGTACTCTATGGGCGCAGTTTCCTGATAATTCCTCGAAACCCTCCGCTGCGTACAGCTTAGAACTCACGTTGAGTTTAGTATCTAATACATTTGCATCAATACAAATAATTAATTCTGCGCTATCTCAATGTTCAGAGCTGCTACAACTTTTAGCTTTATGTCCTGGAAATGCTCAGGAGTTGCATGGATTATGTTCTCCCACTGTGTCCCAACCGCAGCTACTACCTTGACGTGGCGGTAGGGCTTGCCTATCGTGATGACCCGGCCGAAATATACTGGCTGGAACATGTGTTCCTGAAGGTTCTACCTTGCCAAGCAGGTCGATTGGAGAACGATGAGACTAAAAGCAGCTACCCAAGGTCTGAGGGCGAAGTCGTACTGCTGACTGTGATGGAGGGGTGTGACAGCAGTAAGGTGTTTCCCTCGAACAACCAGCATCTGCAGTGATGCTGCGTTCTCACAACGAAGGGTTAGAAAAGGTTGACCCTGAAAATGTTACACCTCTCCCTACCTCACGGATTTCCGTCTACGTCGGTATGGGTGCCCACCAAGGGCTTTTAAGAGCGAAGCCGATACTCAAAAAACCTTTAACAGAAAGGCCGTGCGTGACGGGTCTCAAGCAGTTGTCCCTTGGGCTCTGCGGTCACACTCCCAGGTCTCTAATACCAACACTAATCTACCTTCCTTTTCAGGTTCCTCAACAAACAACCCTCAACGACTAACTGTTCACACATTCCTTTATCTCACTGCACCGCTAATGCAGACGATGCGAGTTCACGAAACGTCATTTCTGGTCTCCTGAAACTCCGTTCTTGACTACATGTTGGAGCATTTATTGTACGCACATTGTGTCAAATAGGGCAACAGGCATCGTTAGCTAGAACTTCAGAATATCGTGCCATTGATGTATGCTGCATCTCGGAAACGCGCATACAGGATCCGAGTAGCATCATTCACTTGACCTCACCATGTCAAGACAAAAAAACAGCCCGACTTACGCTTCGTGTATCCAGTAGCCTCGATGCTGCTTCCAGGGGTCTCGCTGGTGTAGGCATAGCATTGAGTCGTAGAGCTGAACAATCTCTCCTTGAATGGATCCCTGTAGATAATCGTTTGTGCGCCGCCCGACTGAACGGGACAGTAAGGACTCGGAAAGATAGGGACACCCGTCGTTCCCTATGCCCCCGCTGACTGCATTTCAGACGAGGTTAAAGATAAGTTTTACAGAAAGCTTTCGGACCTCCTCAAAAAGCTAGGCGCTCTGACACAGTAATAATGGCCAGTGACTTTAATGCTCAAGTAGGTAGACTAAGTGAGCAGGAGAAACACCAAGGTGGATGTTATGGTGTCGCGGCTCAGAGAACAGACAATGACGATCGTCTGTTGCAACTGTGCTCAGATAACCAACTATTCCTAGCAAACACTAAATTTAGGCATAAGGAAAAACACCTTTTGACCTGGCGACCTCCAAAGTCGTCTCAACGTTGGACTCAACTAGATCACATCGCCATCAGCCACCGATGGAGGGGTTCGACAGAGGACTGTCGCTCGTTCTGGAGCACATGTCTAGATTCAGATCATGCCCTAGTGCGAGCGCGTATTTGTTTGAAGCTTACTGGGCGTAGGAAAGACAACGTAAGGAAGCCTCTTGGGGTTTTACTTGATGATAATCAAGCTAAGAAAATATTTCGGGTGGAACTAGAAAAACAGTTAGGCGACCATGCAGGTGATTCCCTTCCGGATTCAGGTTGGAATGATATGAAGAAGGCTGTGGAAACAGCAGTGATATCTGCTAGTAAGGTAAACCATAAGGCTAGAATGAAACCGTGGATCTCAGTAGCATCCACCGATCTGATGGATGCCCGAAAACTCATCCCACCTGGCTCTGAACGTGATGAAGAACGAAGTCAACTTAGGCGCAGACTTATAAAAAGTCTGCGTAACGACCGTGAACAGTGGTGGGTGGCGAAAGCAAAAGCGATGGAAAAGGCAGCGGCGATAGGCAACACTAGACAACTATTTAGACTCATCAAGGAAACTGGTATTAGGAATCCTAGTGTAAGTGAGACTATCTCAGAATATGACGGGACTATTATTTATTCTCAATCCAGGAGACTGGATCGATGGGCAGAACACTTTAGGGACCACTTCAACTTGTCTTCAGCCACACATCGGTTATCCACGATCCCCAATCATCCTGAATGGCAAATCGATTTAAGTCCTCCCAGTCTACATGATGTTGAGAAAGCTATAGGAAATCTAAGGAGAGGTAGAGCAGCAGGTCCTGATAGGCTTACCCCTC